ACACCATGGAGCCAGGCAGGATCATGTAAGATTTAGCAACTTCCACATGAGAGAGGAGTGGAGAGCATGGTATATGATATTCTGAAAGATAGGAGCTGGAATTACAACCAGGAATAATCTACCCAAGCAAAACTGAATATAATGCTACTGGGCTGGGGGTGGGGGTGTGGGGAATGGATATTCAATGAAATAGAGGACTTCAAAGCATTTCTGATGAAAAGACCAGAGCTGAGTAGAATATCTGTCAGTCAAACATAGATTTAAGCATAAAAAGCAAACATGAGTGAGAAATCATAAGGAACTGAATAAGATTAAAGTGTGTACGTTACCAGAAGGGAAGAAGATACATGTTAACATCCTGAGAACTTTATCATCCTTAGGACAGTTGGAAGGAGTCTACTTAGAGAGTGCATGGATGTGTCTATCACAATTGGGGTGATCTCAAAAGAAAGATGGCAGGGTGAGAAAGAGGAATATATTGAGAGGAGGGAGGGGACAGGAAGAATGGGGAAAATTATCTCACATAAAAGACAAGGAAGAGTTTTTTACAATGAGGAGAACAGACAAGACTTTGACTTTATTCTCATCTGAACTGATTCAAAGGGGGAAGAATAAATATATATGTGTGTGTATACACACAGTTGCATATAGAAATTGATCTTACCCAACAGGAAAGTAGGAGAGAATGGGGCTAAGAGAAGGTTAATAAGAGGAAGGGTAGATTAAAGTGGGTAGTGGTCAGAAGCAAAATCGACATTTAAGGAGAGGACAGTTTAAAAAAAAAGTGAGATAAATAGAAGAGAATAGGATGGAGGGAAATACAGATAGCCATCCTAACTAAATGTGAATGAGATAAACTCACCTATAAAATGGAAGTAGATAAAATGATTAGAAACCAAAATCCAACAATGTTTTTTACAAGGGACACTTGAAACAGAAAGAGTTAAAATAAGAGTCTAGAGCAGAATCTACTGTTTCAGCTGAAGTAAAAGTAAAAAATGCAAGGATGGCAATCATTTCAGACAAAGCAAAAAGCAATAATAGACCTGATTAAAAAGGATAAGCAGGGAAACTACATCTTGTTCAAAGCAGGCATAGACAATGAGTTAATATCAATACTAAACATAGGCACCAAAGTTCATAACATCCAAATTCTTGTAGGACAAGTTAAATGAATTACAGGAAAAAATAGCAAAAACCAACTAGTGGGGAATCTCAGTTTACCCCTCTCAGAACTAGATATGTCTAACTATAAAAGAAGAAGCTAAGGAGATGAACAGAATTTTAGAAAAGATAAATATGATAGATCTCTGGAGAATATTGAATGGGATTAGAAAATAGTATTCATTTTTCTCAGCTGTTCAGGGCACCTTTACAAAACTTCACCATGTATGTAGGCATAACAAGCAGAAATATTAAATGTAACCTTTTTGGACTGTAGTGCAAAAAAATTATTTGATTAAGGGTCTTTGAAGCATAGATTAAAAATTAATTGGAAATGAAATAATCAAATCCTAAAGAATGAGTGGCTGAGAAAACAAATCACAGAAACAATAATTTGAAGATTATGAGTACAGTGAGAAAACATACCAAAATTTGTGGGATATAGCCAAAGCAGCACATAGAGGGGAAATTATATCTCTGTTTACATCAGGGGCAGCTAGGTGGCGTAGTGGATAGGGCACTGGCCCTGCAGTCGGGAGGACCTGAGTTCAAATCTGGTCTCAGACACATAAAACTTACTAGCTGTGTGACCCTGGACAAGTCACTTAACCCCATTGCCTAGCAATAAATAAATAAATAAAGGTTTACATCAGTAGAAGAAAACAGATCAATGAATCAGGCATGCAACTAAAAAACTAGAAGAAAAACCCCCAATTAAACAAAATGGAAACCCTGAAAATTCAAAGGAGAAGTTAATAAAATTGAAAAAAAATTAACTAATAAATAAAACTAGGAGCTGGCTTTATGAAAAAAAAAACAGATCAATCATTGGTTAAGTTGATTAAAAAGAAAAATCAAATTACCTATATCAAAAATGAAAAGGGTAAATGTATGACCAATGAAGATTAAAGCAATTATAATAAGCTATTTTGCTTATTTATATGCCAATAAAACTGACAATCTAAATGAACAGAAGGGGACATAGAATACTTAAATAACCCTATCTTAGATAAAGAAATTGAACAAGTCATAAGTGAACTAAGAAAAAACTCCCAAAGTACAGATGAATTTACAAGCAAACATTTAAAGAACAATTAAGTCTAATACTATATAAACTATATGAAAAAAATAAGGAGTCCTACCAAATTCCTTCTATGACATAAATATGGTTTTGATACCTAAATCAGGGAGAGCAAAAACAAGACAACTATAGACCAATTTCCCTAATGAATATTGACATAAAAAATTTTAAATAAAATACAACCAAGGAGACTATAGCAATACATCACAAAGATAATATATTAATGACCAGGTTGAATTTATACCAGGAATGCAGGGCTGGTTCAATATGAGGAAAATTACAAGAATAATTGACCATATCAATAACAAAAACAAGAAAAATACAATTATGCTGATAGATGTAGAAAAATTTGTTGACAAAATGCAACATTCATATTAAAGACAGTAGGAAGCATGGGAATAAGTGGGGCTTTTCTTACAACAATAAGTAGTATCTAAATAATTTTTAAGCAAGCATTATGGGTAATGGAGATAAACTAGAAGTCTCCCCAATAAGATCAAGGGTGAAGCAAAGATGTCCATTATCACCATTATTTAATATTGCACAAAAAAATGAGCTTTAGCAAAAAGACAAGAAAAAGAAATTGTGAAGGAATAAGAGGCAACAAGGAAACAAATATCACTTTTTGCAGATGATACTTAGAGAACCCTAGAGAATCAATTAACAAACTAATCAGAATAATTAACAACTTTAGCAAAGTTTCAGGTTATAAAATAAACTCACATAAATCATCAACATTTCTAAATATTACCAACAAAAACCCAGCAGGAATAGACAGAAAAATTATCTTTAAAATAACTACAGACAGTGTTAAATGCTTGGAAATCTACCTGCCAAGACACACACAGGACCTATATGAATACAATTACAAAACATTCTTCATACAAAGATAGATCTAAACAATTAGAGAAATATTGTTCATGAGTAGGCCGAGCCAATATAATAAAAATGATAATTAACCTAAATTAATTTATTCAGTGCTATACCAAACTACCAAAGAATTACTTTATAGCATTAGAAAAAATTATAAAACTCACTTGGAAGAACAGAAAAGGTCAAGAATATTAAGGGAATCAATGAAAAAAAGTGAAGGAAAGTGGTCAAGTAGCATGAGATTTCAAACTTTTACAAAAAAATAATCATGAAAACAATCTGGTGCTGAATAAGAAGTAGAGTGGTGGATCAGTGGAATAGCTGAGATATATAATATACAGAAGTAAGTAACCGTAGTTGTTTCGTGTTTGATAAACTCAAAGATTCAAACTACTGGGGCAAGAACTCGCTGTTTGACAAAAACTGTTGAGAACTGGAAAGCAGGCTGGCAGAAACTAGGCATAGACCAACATCTCACATCATATACCAAAATGATCTCTAAATGGGTAAATGATTTAAACATAAAGGATGATACTATAATAAGTAAATTAAGGGAGCATTAAAAAAAATTACTTGTCAGAGCTATGGATAAGGGAAAAATTCTTGACCAAATGAGACAGAGGATCACAGAAGGTAAAATTGATCATTTTGATTCCATTAAAAAGGTTTTGCATTTAAAAAAAGAAACTCAATACAGCCAAAATTAGAAAGAAAGCAGAAAACCAGGGAGAAATATTTGATGACAAGTTTCTTTGATAAAGTTCTCATTTATAAAAATAAATCATTCCTCAATTGATAAATGGTCAAAGGATTTGAATAGGTAGTTTTCAGAAGAGGAAATCAAAGGTACCAATAATCACATGAAGAAATGCTCTAAATCACTAAAAATTAGAAAAATACCCATTAAAACAACTCTAAGGTATTATCTCATAGGCATCAGATTGGTTAACATGACAGAAAAGGAAAATGACAAAGGTGGAGGGGATGTGGAAACCTAGTGAGACAACTTGTTTCAAATATGGGTTGGTTAATGTAACTTTGAAAAATAAGGATTGGGAGTCAGAGTCAGAGGACCTAAGTTTAAAATTCTAGTCCTGCTTTTTACTGTCTTGGTAACCTTGGGGAAGTCATATAACCAACCTCTTGGGGTGAGTTTCTAAATGTTAAATGATGGAGTCAGATTTGATGACCCCTAAAGTCTCTTTCAGTTCAAAAGCTATGTTCCATGATCATATCCTCTGACTTTTGGGATACAGCAGATGCATGAGGAAGGTTTGTCCATATTCAGATTCCTACCCATCTGGCCTGGCTTATATATCAACATAGGAGGAAGGTAGAAATGAAGAGAGTATGAGAAAATTCTATTACAACACTACCCAGATTGACCGCTTTGTTTGCTCTCCTGACTTCATCTGAGCAGGACTGTAGAATAGCAGAGAGGTGAGTGGAACACAAAGTATAGAAACAGCAAAACAATATACAAAAAAGTGAATATTAACATATTAGTAACCCAGAAGAAGCAACATGACATAGTGGATCTAGCATTCTCAGACTCAGAAAGACCAGATCGCAAGTCCTGTATCTGATACGTATTACCTGTGTGACACTAAGTAAGCCACTTTAGCTCTGTGACTTAGGCAACTCTTAATTAAGATGATACATTGTAGGACATTTGTGAACAATTAGTAAAGGTAGTTTCTTTACTTAGGCTGCAGAGACTCAGTTTCCTGATCTGTAAAATGGACTATGGGACTTCTGAAGTCCCCTACCAGGTCTAAAACTATGGCCCTATAATCTCTACTTTTATGAGATCACAGTCACTGGCCTGGCCCAATTTTTTTTTTTTACCTAAGGGAAGAAAAGTTAAGCGTATACTAGAGAGTAAGTAGTAGATTATTTTTTTAATCATCCAATTGGCACAGTGATGCCACTCCACGGTTTATCCAGTGCTTCTGGGGCAGGAATGTAGGGAGCTCAATGGAAAGAACATAGTTGGTTGAGTGGCCTGTAGTGGACAGGGTGCCTCTCCGGGCACTTGTTTTGTAGACAGGACACAGATAAATGCTCTGAGGCAGGAATGTGGAACTTTCCCCTGGTTTGAGCCAAATAATGGGAAGAGGGTCATAAAGGATTTTAGGGAAAGACTCTCCAATCTGCATTGCAATCCTGTCCCACCGAGCTCCTTCCAAGAAAAGGCCTTTGACATAGGCCCCATTTGCTGGCTTCTCTTCTACTGTTAATTCCTGTGAGATCACCTGGAAGAATGTATAAAATAGTTTTAGCATTTATCCTTTGGGACATTTATCTCATATGGCGTTGCATTCACATACATGAAAATAGCTTGGGGTTATTTAACACTTCCTCTTTCCCTCACCTCTCACATCTATCAGTGGCCAAGTCTCATCAATTCTATAGCTACGCCATCCTGGCTTCTATTCCCTCCTCTATTCCCAGGGCTATAGCCATTAAAATAGGTCTTAACTGCAACTTGCCTGGGCTATAATCCCCTAGTAGGTCTTTCTAACTTCACCATCTGCCCCTAACAATCTATCTGTCATCTACCAGAGTAATCTTTTCTTATGTAAAATCGGATCATGTCATTCTTCTGCTCAAAAAATTTAAGTGGCTCACAGTTGTTCACAAAGTATTGAACCTTCTGTATTTGACCTGGCAAGAACACCATCTTGGCACTGCCCAGCCATTTCAGCCTTATCTTATGTCACTCTTCTCCGTGTATTCTTTGTTCCAGACAAAGTAAACTATTCTATCCACCATCAATCACTATCAACATACCCAGCACTCTCCTGTCTCTATGCATTTGTTCATATTGTTCCCGGCCAGAATTTTCCTGCCTTATGAAATCATATATATTCTTTAAAGCACAACTCTTCTATGAAGCCTCCCCTAACAACGTGCCCCTTTGGACCTCACATAGCACTTTGTTTTGTACCTTTAACACATCTATCATGTCATATTGTGTATAATAGTCATTTTTTGTGTCTTTTCTCTCTATTTGACTGTAATCTCCATGAAGGCAAGAATTATGCCATATCTAAACTTTGTGCCTTCCCCTGAACACATAATAAGGCTCTTATACACAGCAGGCGTGTGAACATCTGTGAATGAGTGACTAATTTTTTTTTAAAATAACATTTATTTTTCCCCAATTACATGTAAAACAATTTTAACATTCATTTTTTAAAATTTTGAGTTCCAAGTTTTCTCCCTCCCTTCTTTCCTCTTCCTCCCTCCCTAAGACAGTAAGCAATTTGATGTAGGTTATAAATTTGAAATAATGCAAAACATATTTCCATATTGGTTATATTGTGAAAGAAAATACAGATAAAAAAATAAGAAGAAAATAAAGAAAATGAAAAACAGTAGGCTTTGATCTGCATTCAGACTCCATGGTTCTTTCTCTAGGACTGGATAGCATTTTTCATCATGAGTTCTGATAAAATTTATCATCATCATCACCCTCATCACCATTATCACTAACAATGATGAGGGTGGTGATGAGGATGATGATCAGAGGGAGTGTGGAGTAGTATATAGAGAGCAGATCTCAAAGTCATGAAATCCTGGATTCAAGTCTTACTTCTGACATGTCCTGGCGTTGTGATCCTCAGCAAGTCACAACCTCTCAGTGCTCTTGTCAATCTTTTAAGACTATAGCTTGAAGAGTAGATACTAACTAGACTCATTAAATAGAGTTTCTTCCATCCATTAATCCCCTATATCAGCAAAATCTCAGATCCATTCCTTATCCATATTTTTATTTATTGTGTCTTTGTTGAGGGTTTGGATGTTTGTTCATTTTATTTGGTTTTTTTATATTAAACATTTATTAATTAATTTATTTTTACTTTTCAACAATCACTTCCACAAGATTTTGAGTTCCAAATTTTCTCCCCATCTCACCCCTCCCCGTACCATAAGATGGGGTGCATTCTGAATATCCCTTCCCCTAATCTACCCTCCCTTCTATCACCCCCCTTCTCTTATCCCCTTCCTCTTCTATTTTCCTGTAGGGCAGGATACATGTTTATATCCCATTGCCTGTATATCTTATTTCCCAGTTGCATGTGAAAATAATTTTTAACAATTGTTTTTAAAACTTTGGGTTCCAAATTCTCTTCCTTCCTCCCTCCCCACTCACCCTCATTGAGAAGGCAAGCAACTTGATACAGGTTATACATGTGTAGTCATGCAAAACACTTCCATTGTAGTCATGTTGTGGAAAACTAACTATATTTCCCTTCATCCTATCCTACCCACCATTTCTTCTGTTCTCTCTTTTAACCCTGTCCCTCCTCAGAAGTGTTTGCTTCTGATTACCCCCTCCCCTAATCTGCACCCCCTTCTATCATTCCCCGTTTCTTATCCCCTTCCCCACTATTTTCCTGTAGGGTAAGATAGATTTCCATACTGAGTATGTATGTTATTCCCTCTTTAAGCCAAATCTGATGAGAGTAAGATTCACTCATTCCCTTTCACCTTCCCCCATTTCCCCTCCACTATAAAAGCTTTTTCTTGTCTGTTTTATGTGAGACAATTTATCCCATTCTACCTCTCCCTTTCTCCTCCCAGTATAATCCTCTCTCACCCCTTAATTTTATTTTTTAGATATCCCTCCATCTTCAACTCACTCTGTGCCCTCTATCTATCTATACGTATTTTTTCACTCCAACTACCCTAATACTGACAAAAGTCTCATGAGTTACAAATATCATCTTTCCATGTGGGAATGTAAACAGTTCAACTTTAATAAGTCCCTTATGATTTCTCTTTCCTGTTTACCTTTTCATGCTTCTCTTGAGTCTTGCATTTGACAGTCAAATTTTCTATTCAGCTCTGGTCTTTTCATCAAGAATGCTTGAAAGTCCTCTATTTCACTGAATATCCATTTTTTCCCCTGAAGGATTATACTCAGTTTTGCTGGGTAAGTGATTCTTGCTTGTAATCCTATCTCCTTTGGCCTCCAGAGTATCATATTCCAAGCCCTCTGGTCCCTTAATGTAGAAGCTGCTAAATCTTGTGTTATTCTGATTGTGTTTCCACAGTACTTGAATTGTTTCTTTCTTGCTGCTTGCAATATTTTCTCCTTGACCTGGGAACTCTGGAATTTGGCTATAATATTCCTAAGAGTTTTCCTTTGGGGATTTCTTTCAAGAAGTGATTGGTGGATTCTTTCCATTTCTATTTTACCCTCTGGTTCTAGAATATCAGGGCAGTTTTCTTTGATAATTTCTTGAAAGATGACATCTAGGCTCTTTTTTTGATCATGGTTTTCAGATAGTTCAATAATTTTTAAATTATCTCTCCTGGATCTGTTTTCCAGTCAGTTGTTTTTCCAATGAGATATTTCACATTGTTTTCTATTTTTTCATTCTTTTAGTTTTGTTTTACAATTTCTTGATTTCTTATGAAGTCATTAGCTTCCATTTGCTCCATTCTAATTTTTAAGGAAGTATTTTCTTCAGTGAGCTTTTGGACTTTCTTTTCCATTTGGCCAGTTCTGCTTTTTAAGGCATTCTTCTCCTCATTGGCTTTTTGGACCTCTTTTGTCATTTGGGTTAGTCTATTTTTTAAGGTGTTATTTTCTTCAATTTTGGGGGGGGGTTTCCTTTACCAAGCTGTTGACTTGTTTTTCATGATTTTCTTGCATCACTCTCATTTTTCTTGCCAGTTTTTCTTCTACTTCTCTTACTTGCTTCTCAAAATCCTTTTTAAGCTCTTCCATGGCCTGGGACTGATTCATATTTTTCTTGGAGGCTTTGGATGTAGGAGCTTTGACTTTGTTGTCTTCTTCTGGTTGTATGTTTTGATCTTCTTTGTCACCAAAGTAAGATTCTATGGCTTGACTTTTTTTGTGCTATTTGCTGATGATCCCAGCCAATTACTTGAGTTTTAAACTCTTTGTTAAGGTAGGGGTCTGCTTCCAGTGTGGAGAATATACTGTCCCAAGCTTCAGGGGTTTTGTGTAGCTGTTTTCAGAGATACTTCTAGAGACCTATACATTTTCCATTCTTCCAAGGTGGTATGATCAAGGGTGAGGTGTTTACTCCTTTCTTGGCCTGGGCTCTGGTGTATGAGTGACCACAAGCACTCTTTTCTGCCTTGGAACTGTGAGGAGGATTCCCTCTCCACTGCCACCACAAGCTCTACCTGGCCAGCACTCCTCCTCACCCCAGCACCGCCACCCAGAACTGCGACCCAAATCCACGCATGGGCAAAGCAAGAGAATCCTACCTCAGCACCAGCAAAGAGATCCCTGCAATCCCCATCTGATCAGCCACTCAATTCCCCCTCCATCTGTGGGCCCAGAGATCCAGAAGCGGCCACTGCCCCAGGGTTGCACTGGGACTGGGGCTGAACCAAGCTCCTCTCTCACCTGGGTCAGACAGACTTTTCCTACTGACTTTCTAAGTTGTCTTTGGTGTTTGTGGGTTGAGAAGTCTGGAAACCACCACAGCTCCCCTTGATTCAATCCCCTGAGGACTGCTCCAGGTTCTCTGAGGCCTAGTTTTTACCGGTGTGGCCCACACTGAACTGCACTCCTCTCCCAGCCCGGCACAATAGACCTTTGCAATCAACCATCCCAGGTTGTCTTGGGCTAGAAATTTGTTTCACTCTTTTTGTGGGTTCTGCTGCTCTGGAGTTTGTTTAGACCTATTTTTTACAGGTATTTGGAGGGGTTTAGGGGAAGAGCTCAAGCAAGTCACTGCTTTTACTCCGCCATCTTGGCTCTGCCGCTGGTTTCTTGAGTGGCTAACTTCTCAGGAGCCCAGAAAGCTACTTCTCCTTGTACCAACAAGTCTTCCTGGCTATAATGACCCCTGGACTCAGGAGTGTTTTATACAGCACTACTTTGTATGGGTGGTTAAGTGGTAGACTTCTCCCCAATCCCCTGGGAAGCCCAGGTTCTAATCCTGGTCAGTCTTTTATAATCCTGTTTGGTTTGGTTTGTTTTTTTAATAAGGATAGAATAGTGTGACAAATACAGTACTGGACTGGAAATCAGGACATCTTGTTCTAGGAGAGCTATATATAGCACAAAGTGAATGAGACTTTTCCCCTAGACATGGAGGGAAGGCAAGATGTTTCCTCCCAATGGTGATCTCCCTCCATTCACCTCATCTTACCCTTATAAAAATCCTCTAGCTCACGTGGCTATGCAATACAACTGCCACCCTCAGGTCCTGCTGTCCTGCCTTCTCTCTAATAGGTCCAGTTCCCCTCCATACAGGTACCAGGGACAATCTGTACCTTCTACTGAAATGACTACACCAGCCATGAAATTGTCTTCTACAGCACTGCTACCCCTACAGAACTGGTTTTTTTGTTTTGTTTTGTTTTGTTTTTGCCCCAGGTGAAAAAAAGTTCTAGTTACAACTCTAGATTCTAGTTAGTTCTGGTTTTGCCTTTAACTCATTGTGTGACCTTAGATACATTAATTTCCAAACCATCCCTTGGCCCAAGTTTCCCAACTGTGAAACAAATGTATTAAACTAGGTGATCTCTGAAAATTCTTCTAGCTCTAATATTCTACTGTTGTAAGATTATTATATGCCTTTTCTGCTCCCTTCCTCTATATGCTTTGTTAGGTCAATGCTTGACCTACAGTAATATATTCATTTACCTTTGCCATGAGCTTCAAAGTAATACTTTATCATACTCAGATGCAAAGCTAAATAGTAACATTCTCCAGAATGATGGACCCCACCAGACTGTATAGGCATGCCTAGAACTCACAGCCAGACTACTGCTTTCACTTAGTATAGAGGTGGCAGTATATATTTCAGTTGTATTTTTCCCTTTAGAAATGCACAGTGAAAATCGTGGGAATAGTCAGATTCCAATGGGAATAGCAAGCTAGGCCACCTTTCAGGAGAAAAGATGCCAAATCATCTATCTTTTTAGCTCAGTAAAGTGAAAGAGACGGGACAAGAAGAGATCCTAGGATCATCAGCTATTCTGGTTTTCACCTTGGCCCTTGAACTGAGCCATTGAACCCACCCTTACCTCAAACTGAAATCCAATGTGATCAATGGGAATGGAGTACTTCCTAGCAAAATTCTGGGAAACGCCTGTCAAAAAGGACTGTGTGAAGTAGAATCCTGAGATCCAGAACACGCTGGGGGTTCCGTGATTGATCCACTCCTGAGGAAGCACAGGAACAAAATAAAATCAACCCACAGATACTTGCACAGGGGGAAAATGGCCTAGGTCAGGGAGAAGCTTGCTTATATTGGGCAAATAAGACTCTTAAACACACACCCACTAAACTACTGCTTCTATTCTTCAAAAAAAAAATCCTCCCCTTTTAAAGCCTGGAAGTAGCAGAGTTTGGATGTTCTAGACTCACCTCCTCTACAAAGTATTTCCTTAACAAGCCCACCAATCATTTCATTATTCCACTACCCATTCTATATTGATATTATTGATGACATTTCTTTGGGCAATAATTCAAATTATATCTTTGTCATGTGGATTTGTCCTAGTCTTTTGTCTTGCCTTCTATTTCTTTATAAATAATCTCTCTCTATTCTTAACCTCACCCTCCCTCTACCCAACTCATGAAAGAAAGATGGTCTGTAGACAATTGGTCTTGGGACCATATTGTTGGTTAGCTGGTTGCTAGCCCCAAGGCCATTCATCTAGTGTCTTGCTGTCTTCTCCCGCCCAAATAAAGCTATTGGGTGTTACACTAGACTGGATCTCTATTACCTGGAAGAAGGCCAGACGTGCTAGGAGATCAGCCACATAGCCACCTAGCGGCTTCAGTGATGGGTAGGACTTAGATGCCCACATGCCTGGCACTTTTCCCACTAACATACTGCTGAAGACATCTTCTAACTCTGAAGACATTAGGACTTGGCCTTTAATGGCTTTACCCAGGTTGATCAAGCTGCTCCGAACCACTGTTGTAAGTCTGTGGGGGATAGAAGCCAAACTCAACATATACTTCTAAATAAGGATCACTTCCTCCTCCTGTCCCAAGTGTATTTAGGCAGATACCTTCCTTTTTTTACTGGCACAATAATAAACACAATAGATGAGGTGACTGGAAGTTGGACTGAGAGAAATTAAAGAGCTTTGCTATATTTCAGGGAGGTTTGCTGAAATCCACAGAAAAGTTTTCTACTTCAAGGGAGCCCAGACAACAAGGATTTCTTTGTCCCAAGACCCATCCCCTGGACCTAAACTTGACTGGAAACAAACTGAAAATGCCCAAGGAGGTATCAACAGGCACAGTCTGTTGTCTCCAAGGTCCTATGGAACTGCCACATCTGGCTTATATTAGTGTGTCTAGTTTCTTAGCATTTCAAAGCTGGAATCATCAGTGGAATAAAGCAAATTAGGGCCCTGAACCCTACTGAAAGGGGTGCTAGGATAGGAAGAATTATTGCTACCGTGTGGTTAAAAAACTAACAAACATAATAATGAATTGAGCCTCCTATGTCCCAAACTAATCCAATATGTTCCTGCCTTGCCACTATCACCAAGAAAGAGGGGTAGAACTTCTCTTTCCCTCCCTTCCATACACAGTCTTCAAGGCTGCTCTTGGTGTTCACCTTAACTTTATTCCACTAGAACACAAAAGTTGTGGGAAGTGGTTGGGGAAGAGATGCCTAGAGTTTTATTTATCTATACCAGGCAAAATAGTTGCTGCTCCATCACTTTACCTTTTAAAGGGCAAATACCCCTGTGTCTGCTGGAATAGTTTCCCACTAATCTGAAAGTCCTCTGGTCTGGACCTATGATTTGATCGGTATAGGGAATTACTGGATAAAGAAATATCCTCTCTATCAATGAAGGCCATCACCTTCTCTACAACTTATTATTGTTGTTGAGTCATTAAGTTGTGTCCAATACTTTGTGACCCTATGGACCATAGCACACCCATGCTGTCCACGTTTTCTTGGCAAAGATACTGGAATGGTTTGCCATTTCCTTCTCCAGTGGATTAAGGCAAATAGAAGACAAATGACTTGCCCAGGGTCACACAACTAGTTAGTATCTGAGGCCAGATTTTAACTCAGATCTTACTGATGCCAGGCCCAGAGTCCTATTCACACTGAGCTATCTAGTCATCAATTTATAGAGGGCTGCCTAAATCACTGAGAGATTAAGTAATTCATCTAGGATCATATCTAGTATGGATCAGAAACAGAACTTGGAATCCAAGTCTATTTGTCTTCAAGGCCAGCCCTCCATATACTACATGCTGCCTAGCAGCTCTCATGACCACAGAGATAAAGGACCAATCCTACCTGTTAAATCGAATGAGCTCTTGCCTCAGGACAGTGTTCATGGACTCTTCATAGACCACAGGGTACATGTTCATAACCACTTCCAGGTTAAAGTCCTGAGGAAGTTTGGATAGGATATCCTTAGCCAGCTCTTCAACCACTTCCTTAAATTTCAAATTGGCAGAGAAACAAATATGAAATAAGCTTTCTGAGCGGTGGCTTTTCAAAAAGAAATTAAGATGTAATAGAAAGTCCTTTTAAATATGCTTTCATAGAATTTCTTTGGAAATCATCTGCAGGGCATAAAATGTAAACCAATTACCATATGGATTCCCCTTCCATTCTTTATGTAGTTTATTCCCCCCTTCCATTCTCTGTGTGAATTCTATCTACCCTAACTGCAAGAAAGCATATGTAGGAAAATCATAACCTTTTGGTTCACAGCAGGCAGTGAGATCCACAAATCTGGCCCTAATATTAAAGGCTATGATCTAGGCACAAGCTTGCTTTTTGGCCAAGTGGGTCAATAAGGTGAGATTAGCACTGGTCATCAGAGAATTTCTCATTCTTCCAAGGGAATCATCCCTGAGTCTCCACCTGTGGGGTCCCCAGGGACTCTAGGGCTGGACCTCTGCAGGGCATTTATTGATGGTGTTGATCACCTTACTCAGCGGTTCCTCTCACTCATTGACTCTGTTAGCTGCAAATCTGGCTGCCTAGTACTTCCCTTCCTTCCTCCCCTCACTTATTCCTTTGCAGTATCCCCTCTGGCAAACAGAAAAGCCCATGATGAGTAGTGTCTGCTGAGGAGGTGATTAAACCTAGAGGAGAGAGAAGGAGGATGGCCTCTTCAGTCTTAGAAAAGTCCTGCAAAGCAGGAAGTTCGGTCTCTACAATCTTTCCTCTTCAGTGTTGGGGGAATCATCAGCACCCCTATACTGAGAAACACTGACACCATCCCTACTCTGTGCAGAATCATATAGGAATGCTCTCATAGCCAATTATGTGACATATTTCAAACACTGAATGAATGAGAACTATGCAGTTAGAAATGGTCAAACTAGGGATGAGAAGGGAGTCAACATGTTGTAGAGCAGAAACTGAGAGCCACAAGACATTGGTTGCTAATTCCAATTCCGTCATGAACTCATTGTGTTTCCTTAGGTTATTTGCTTCATCTTTCAGAGGTTTATTCTACATTCAAAAGGCCCAGTAGAAATAAAAGTGCATTGAAAAATATGAACTTTTTTCTATTTCTTTTGAGCAAATTTTATAACAAAGGATGATTTGCTAGGGAGGGAAGGGAATAGGAATATTTCAGAAATAAAGATGTTTTAAAAACAAAAGATATCTAAGAGCAAAATAAATATATACCAAAAAAAGATATCAATAAAATCTTACAAAAGGAAAATACAAAGCATTAAATGAATGCAAGGCATTATTATAACAAGAGGTTTGGATGAGATCACCTCTAAGGTTCCATTTCTAGTTCTTACATTCTATGATTAGAATTCTGAAGTCCTCCTCATTCTACAGATTGTAGGTCTTCTCTAGTCACAGAGAATATCTTAGATAATTTCTTCCCAACCCTCCAAATCAGCCCCATCTAGAAACTGATGCTACCCAACAATGTCATTCCTTTTTTGGGGGAGGGGAGGGGAGCAGGGTTTTGATATCATCTCATATCAATGTTACCTGAGGAGACTTGCCAGCTCCCCCACTTTGCCTGGGGAGTGTCAATAATACTCCATTAAGCAGTAGATTGGTCTCCTGGTTGTCCTTGGTGATATCTGCATTCTCATGAAGGCCAAAAACTTCAGGGTGGGTTGCTATGGGCAAGCTCCTTATGTAGTCAATGTAGGCCTGGAAATAAAACCTAAAATTAAGGGGGGGGCAAACTTAGAGTCCACATGGATCAGGCATGGCATGATGGGTCAGATCTTCAAAAAGTACTGACCAGTGAGAGACCCTAATGACTGATACCAAGCAAGTTATTGCACTTATCTCCCACCAAAACATGATAAACATGGGTGGCAACCAAAGCACTAACTACAGTATATTTCAAGTGGTTGACTGTAGAGATCATTTGCCACTGTCTAATATCCGTATTTGTAATTTTGTAGGAAAGCTGTGGAGATAAACCCTAGACATTACTGCATATTCCTAGTCTGCTGTTAACCTTAGACTACTCACACAGTCATATCCATGTACCAAGCCTCTGTGCAGAAAACCAAATCAAACCAAACTTCAAAACTGAGGATGAGGGGGGTAGTGCCAGTGAAGAAGAGCTGAGATAATTGTTGGAAGCCCTCTACCATGTCCTTTTCTCTCTCCTTCCCTTCCTCCCACCTCATGTCCTCATGTCCCATCTCATTTTGTTTTCTCCCTTACTCCCTTCTCCCATGCTTATATATTCAGGCCTCCCGAGATCAGGCAGGCATCAGAACTCCCATCATTTTGCATGCCTCAGAGCTAACGAGAGTCACTGAACTCTATCTTAATAGAAAGGTACTGAGAAATGTGGGATAAAACCCTGGAGCAACATCTTACCAAGTATGTACTATCCGGTGGAACAAAGTAGATGCCCCCAGGAGCCAAGCTGTAATAGTCGATTTCTATATCCTTATTGTAGAATATGGAAAGAAGGGATAGGAGGAGGCGTCTGTCTTTGTCATCAGTCACTCTGCCACCGTAATTACATTCACCTGGGGAAAGTCAACAGAAACTGGGCAGAAAGGCGGACTTTGGTTTGGTTATCATTCATTCAAAAGGAATTATTGAGCGTCTCAGATATTGGGTTAAGTATTGTAGGAGACACAAAAATGAATAAAAATAAGTTCTGCTCTTGAAAATAACTTATAAGGGGGCAACTAGGTGGCACAGTGGATAGAGCACCGGCCCTGAAGTTAGGAGGACCTGAGTTTAAATCCGGCCTCAGACAAACACTTGACACTTACTAGCTGTGTGACCCATGGCAAGTCACTTAACCCCAATGGCCTAAAATAAATAAATAAATAAATAACTTATAGTCTCATAGAGGGAATGAGAAATCTACACAAATAATTATAACAAATTAGAATGTAATAAATGCTATGGATAGCAGCAGAAATCAGAAATGGGAGGGGTTGGGAGGTCAGGGAAAGCTTCATGGAAGAAATGGTATTTAAGATGGGTCTTAAAGGATTAGATAAAAATTAGATGGAACCGGGGGAGGAAGGTGTCCCAGGGAAAGGATATAGCATAAGTCAAGGGACAAAGGTGGGAAACCTAGGGACAAGTTTGAAGAACAGCAACTAGTCTGGTTGATCAAAGCATAGGATATAAAGAGTAAAGGGAAATAAGGTTGGAATGATATGTTGATGCTAGATTATAGAGGGCCTTGAATATCAGGTTTGAACTTTATTTTGTTGGCAATAGGAAGCCATCAAAGGTTTCTGAACAAGGGGTAACATGATCAGAGTCATGCTTAAGAAAAATTAATCCAAGGTTCCGCTTCCGGGAGCCAAGATGGTGGAGTAAGAAGTAAGTTGCTCTCACCCTCCCTTATTAACCTTTGAAAGCCTAGAAAATATCACCCCAGGAAAAACCTTGGAACAGCTGAACCAGTAGAAAGATAGGGTGCAGCAGTCCAGTAGCCCAGGTAGCTTGAGGGATTAATGGGAAAGTCCCTTCTTGCCCTGGGGGAAGGGGAGCAGTACAGTACCGGCAGTGTCCCAGCAAGCTAGCCGAAAGCCCTACTTCAGCATACTGGGGGAGATCCTGAACCCCAGGTGGTGGAGCAGGCAAACACTAATAACAGGACCCCTGAGTGCCTCAGTAAGGGTAGGGGAACCAGTGGAAATTGGCTCAAAAAACCGCCACGTGCCTCGGCATTCTATGGCAACCAAGTCTCCCAGTGCCTCAGCAAAACTCTGGGAAGTGCTCCAAGGGTTCCCCCCAGGCAAAGAAACATCCCACAGCAGGTGAAACATCCCTCTGAAAGGAGCCGAAGAAAGTGAAAGGAAGGAAAGGCCCAGGTGACAGGCAACCTCCAGAGGCCAGACTACCCAATCCTACCCCTAGAGTCCCAGTGTTGCTGATTCCAGCCCAACACCAGGTAAGCTGCCAGAACCCTACAGCCTCCAAATGCTAGCATCAGAGGCCCCAGCATACAAAGCCAGTGTCCAGGCCCCAGGCTCCCAACACAAGAAGCTTGGGTCAGCACCCCCAGCTCCCCAGCAGGAGAGCTCAATCTTTTTAAAGGCCAGGAAATAAGCAAACACCATGAGCAGAAAGAAACGTACTATAGATTCTTATTATGGGAATCGTGAAGATCAAAGCAGAAATTCTGAAGAGGATAGCATTGTCAACAAACCCACATCTGGAACCTCAAAAGGGAATATGAACTGGTCTGAAGCCCAAAAAGCCTTCTTAGAAGAGCTCAAGAAGAATTTTAAAAGTCAAATAAGAGAGGTAGAAGAAAAATTGGGAAAAGAAATGAGAGGTATGCAAGAGAAAGTCAATAACTTGGAAAAGGAAGGACAAAAATTAACTGAAGAAAACAAGTACTTAAAAAATAAAATTGGCCAACTGGAAAAAAAGTATGCTGAAGAAAGCAAGTGCTTAAAAAAATACAATTGGCCAAATGGAGAAGGAGGTACAAAATCTAATGGAAGAAAACAATTTGTTAAAAATTAGAATTGGTGGGGCAACTAGGTGGCGCAGTGGATAGAGCATCAGCCCTGAAGTTAGGAGGACCCGAGTTCAAATTCGGCCTCAGACCAAACACTTGACACATATTAGCTGTGTGACCCTGGGCAAGTCACTTCACCTCAATTGCCTAAAAATTAAAAAAAAATTTTTTTTAATTAAAAAAAATTAGAATTGGGCAAGTGGAAGCTAATGACTCTGTGAGAGAGTGAAGAACAGTCAAACAGAAACAAAAGAATGAAAAAATAGACGAAAATGTAAAATACTTCATTGGTAAAACAACTGACTTGGAAAATAGATCCAGGAGAGACAATTTAAAATTATTGGTCTACCTGAAAAACCATGATGAAAAAAAGCACCTCGACAGCATCTTTCAGGAAATCATCAAGGAAAACTGCCTTAAGGTCCTAGAACCCGAGGGTAAAATAGTCATAGAAAGAATCCAACGATCACCTCCTGAAAGAGATCCCAAATTGAAAGCACCAAAGAATACAGTAGCCAAATTCCCAAATTACCAGGTCAAAGAGAAAATATTGCAAGCAGCCAGAAAGAAACAATTTAAATATCATGGAACCATAGTCAGGATTACACAGGACCTTGCAGCTTCTACATTAAAAGACCATAGGCCATGGAACATGATATTCCATAAGGCAAAGGAGCTTGGATTACAACCAAGGATCAACTACCCAGCAAAAATGAGTATAATCTTTCAGGGAAGGAGATGGACATTCAACGAAATAGGAGACTTTCAAACCTTCCCAATAAAAAGAACAGAGCTCAACAGAAAATTTGATCTTCAAACACAAGACTCAAGAGAGACATAAAAAGGTAAACGAGACAGAAAAACCAACATGTTCTTAATAAGGGCAAACTGTTTCCATCCCTAGGCAATGACACTTGCAAGGGAAGATGATACTTGTAACTCTTGAGAACTGTATTGTTATTAAACCACTTTAAAGAAGCTTAAACGGGGGAAATAGGATAGAGAGAAAGACACAGATAGTAATCATAACTGTGAATGTGAATGGGATGAACTTTCCCATAAAATGAAAGCAGATAGCAGAATGGATTAAAAACCATAATCCTACAATATGTTGTTTACAAGAAAAATTAATCCCACAACTTCTTATAGCTTGGATTGCAGAACAGTGTCTCTAGCATTTATGTATTTTTTTAATTTTTTTTATTTTTTAGCATTTATGTATTTTTTAAAATTGTCTATCTTTAATGGGTTTTGGTAGCAAATCTCAGATAATATTTCTTTTATGATTAGTTACTCACTTGTAGAGAAATGATGAAGTGGGATTTCATGGTGGCCCTTAGGAGCTCCTGCCATCCATCTCTCAGGTAACTACAATCAGTCAACTAGCATTTATTAAGCACTTAAGTGCTGAGAATACAATATAAACATACATATTTATAATCAATATAATTAAAACAAAAGACATTCTAATGAGGGAAAGTAAGATGTAAAAGGAAGCTGAAGGTGGATGAGAGGGAAACAAAGGCACACTAAGTGGTGATAGGCATGCAAATGTTAATTCCCTTGCAAAGTAAAGCATCTGTTCAGCTATGGCTGAAGTATTATATTAATTAGGAGATCTGAGTGCAGGTCCCAACTCTTACTTAGCTATGTACACTGGGCAAGTCATTTAAACTCATGCCCCAGAGGGTTAAGGAGTGCTCGGGTATCCATGGCAACATAGGAAATCAGGAAGGGGCACAGATTTCAGAAGAAAGAGGATGAGTCTGATTTAAGACAAGTTGAGTTCAAAGGGAAAGCTAACCAGTCTGCAACTAGAAATGTAGAATGTGAGATGTCTGGAGCTTAGGAGGAGGACATGGGAATGTGCTTGGCTTATTGCGGAGGTTTTGCTATTCCAGGTGGTACTGGATTTCAAGGGTGAAAAACTAATGGCACATGGGCCTTAAGAAGGAATTCAGAGGTAGCTTTGGAATGATCTCTTGAAAATGCTGCTGTTTGTTTGTTTTTAAGTAAACAGTATCCTAACCCTTCAAGAATCTAGTAGGGATGCTGCCCTATCAGTATCACTCATCCAGAATTTACACAGTACCTTGTATTGCTAGTCAAAATTTCATGTCTTCCTAACTACGTGTTAAGTTTTTCTTTCTTTCTTTTCTTTCTTTCTTTCTTTCTTTCTTTCTTTCTTTCTTTCTTCCTTTCTTTCTGTCAGTCTTTCTTTCTTTTTGGTGAGGCAGTTGGGGTTAAGTGACATGCCCAGAGTCACACAGCTAGTGAGTGTTATATGTCTGAGGCTGGATTTCAACTCAGGTCCTCCTGACTCCAGGGCTGGTGTTCTATCTACTGTACCACCTAGCTGCCCCTGGTAAGTTTCTTTAGATCAGGAACTATGTGTCTTTCAGCTCCTAACAGCCTTCCACATAGTAGGTCAGCAGTAAATATTTTTAAATATTTTGTTTAATGGATTAGGCAACAAAGAAGCATGCTTCCTCTTTAGGTGGCTGAAGAGAACAGGTGGAAGTGGTGTAGAAGATAAATATTTGCCACAGCCACTAAACTCTTTCAGTACCTGTTAGGTAGGTCAGAGCCTCAAATGGCACTTCCTCATATTCATTCAGGAACATCTGGATCTGCCGCATGCTGATTCTCAAGTCAGACTCATTGAATTCATAGGGGATATTCCAACCTGCCAGAGTCAGAGAAATATAGACATTAGTGCTCCCATTCACTGATCACATACAGGAGAGTGAAGTGCCATCATGGGGTATATCAGCATCTTTCTTCCAGAGGAAAAAATAAAATCTGCACTGATGTTTCTAGTCAGTATGGGAACCATTCTACCTTTGACCACATTGGTTCTAAGTTAATTTCTTTACCATTCACTGAATTGGTAGATGTCAGAAAGCTGAGATTTGTGAAGGGAAGATTAATTATCTTGGTTGAAATATTTTCTTATAGCAAAAAAAACAAAAACAAAACCAAAACAAAACAAAACCCTCCAAAATTAGTACAATAATAAAGTTAAAGAAGGGCTCTTAACTCTTCCCAGGGGCACTTTTTTGGTTCCAAATTCATTTACTTGGGTGAATTTGGAACCAAAAAAGTGGCAGTCACTTGGGCCATGGGAATTTGGGAGCAGGGGCCCAAGTCTGATCCAATCTATAGTAGGGTAGACAGGGCTGTGGGTTGCCAATGGTCTGCACATCCACCATTCCCTTCTGCCTTCATGTACCATCACTGCTTGGAAGCCTGGGCTGTTTATTTTCCCCCTCCTTTATAAAATTGACAAGGTCATTGCTTGAGCTTCTTCCAGCTCTAAAATTATGCAAGTCTAAGAGATTTGTACTCCATCTGACTCCACCTCAGTTTTACTTTCAGAAAGAGTTGAATGACCTTGAGCAAGTCATTTCTGTATGTCTGTGCCCACATGTGATTTCAAGCCCTCTTTCAGCCCCCTTCACCAAAACATCTATTTATTTGCTATGTTACCTACTTTCTTCCCCATCTCCCTCTCCTTCCTTAAGTAACTGGGCTTTTTGGATGCTTTGTATGAATAAAAACACCTAGTTAATGAGAGTAATTCGTTAAAATAGGAAGGTGCCAGATGGTATACCTGTTCTTCCCTGGAGTGTCTTCCAGCAGTTTACTTGTGGTACACATGTGTCTGTTCATGGTGTCCCAGGATCTCTGTCTCCCTCATACAGCAGTTTATGACACCCCACAAACCACATTTCCTACACATCCCTAAAATATAGTTATTCTGGTTCATAGTGATTACTAGTTCCTTTTCAAAATGCTCTCAAATAATCCCTATAATAATACCTTCTAGCATTTTGCCAAAAAACAAAGTCCAGCTCACTGGTATACAATTTGAAGAATGCAGCCTTTTCTATTTTGAGATAACTGATTTATTTGGCTATCTTCTGTCTTATGACATCTTTCCTGTTATGATTTTCAAACATTTTTTTTCAAATAATAATAATGTTAATGACTTTTAAGAGACCACTAACAGTAATTTGCACTTTAGTTTATCTAGAACTGGTGACTTTGAGTAACTAGTTCATTGAGAGCATCCAGGGGCTTTCTTTCTATTTCTTTCTATTTTATGTCAGTTTCCTATTAACCATTGTTTTCATTCTGTCCTTCCTGGTTTGAAGCTCACTCATAAAATCAAAGTAAGAGTTGAATATGTCTGTCTTTTCTATATCATCTATTGGCATCTATCTCTTCTACCCCAAGAAGTAAATATACATCCTTTCTTGCCCCCTAGCCTTTTTTTAAAAACCTCATTTATTGCCACCTATGTGACCTTAGGATTACCTTGGGTAATCTCTCAAGGCCTCAGTTTCTTTATCTGTAAAATGAGAAAATTGGATTAGACTAATGTATATCTAAAGTCCCTTACATAAAGATCCTATGTTCCTGTTCAATTGGAGAATGACTAAACAAATTGTGGTATGTGGATGCAATGGAATCCCGTTATGTTGTAAGAAACAATGAGCATGATCAATACAGAGAAGCATGAAAAGACTTATGTGAGCTGATGCAAAGTAAAGTTAGCAGAGCCAGGAAAACAATATGTACAATGACTACAACAGTATCAACGGGAAGAACAAAACCACAAAATAATGTTGCAAAATTTCAAAGAATAAGCTTGGCCCCAAAGAAGAAATATAAGAAGACATATCATCCCCCTGCTCTTTTGTAGAGGTCAGGGGAGAGAATGTTCTATGGTTATGGAACACTGCATATAATGTAGATTTTTTTCAATGTATTGATCGGTATTGCTAACTTTATTTTCTCTTTTTGTTTTTCTTTTAAAAATCGTTATCATGCTAGTGGGGAAGGATAAAGAGGGAAATCTAGGCAGTGTGAAAACAAAATATATTAATAAAAATGTATTTGTTACAAGGGATAGCTCTCTCTCTCTCTCTCTCTCTCTCTCTCCCCCCCCCTTTTTTCCCCTTCCCTCTCTCTCCTTCTCTGAGAGGGGAAGAGGAAGTAAAATTTAGGTAATATAAAAACAAAAAATGACAATAAAATTCTATTTTTTTAAAAAATCCTGTGCTCATCTGATCTTTAGCATTCATTGCTTTAGCACTTCTGACACTGTTCCTATAGAGGTATGCCACTCTTTTTTACTTATCTCCTGTTGTCCCAATTTTTAAAAAATATGTGTGCGTATCTTTTAAAGATCCTCTTTTCATTATCTTTTGTTTTCCTTTTTTTTAATCCTCTTTTCAAAAGAAATTTGTGGAGACTCCCAGAACTTACCTAGGGGTCCAAAGTTTCTTCTCTCTTGAACAATGGCATGGAAGAAACAGAGGCCAAACAACAATTTGTGCCAAATCTTGGCTTTCTCACAACTGTTGAAGAAGAGGGGATCTGAGATAGGGTCATTGAGGTAGGAGCGCAACAGATTGGCTCGGACACCTTTGGGAGGCTCATTGGTCATTTTGATTCCATTCTGGAGGATGCTGACGGGAAACTTCTCTGATGGATAACTGGTTAGCCACAGCCTAGAAGGAGAAAAGTGAAATTCATTTGCTTAGCTGAAAGTGAATTTATCACCTTAAGCCAAAAAAATATTCCTAGAAATCCCCAGACCTCTGCAAAAAATCTCTCTTTGTTTTAAATGATCTGAGAACTGACAAAAATGACTTATGGCCTAAACTAGACTTGATTACCTATTGAAATCTGATAATTATAATAATTGCTAGCATTTAGATAGCACTTTAGGGTTTACAAAGCACTTGGCATATGTTAGTTACTCCTTTGCTCCTCACAACAATCTTGTGAGGTAGGTACTATTATTAGACTTACTTTTACAGTATGGAAAATGAGGCTGAGAGAGGTCAAGCGACTTGCTCAAGATCTTACCTGGAAACATCCTTCCACTGCTAAAGCCCTCTTCTCCTTTTAGTGAGTTATTCCTGGGAGCCTTTATTTTGGGGAAGCCCTTCTGCTTCTGACTCTCCAAATTTTGTGTGGGTACTTACCCTATCCCCCCTGCTTTTCAGCTCATTTCTTGTTATCCTCCCCCATTAGAAAGTCAGCTCTTTGAAGGCAGGGACTTTCTTTTGCTTGCATTCGTCTCCCCGTGCTTAGCACAGTGCCTTGCACATATTAAACACTTAATAAATGTATGTTGCCATCCTGTTTGACTGCCTACCTGTTATCTTGCCCAGGGTCACACAGTTTAAATAAATTTAACAATAGGTTCCCATTCTCAAGAGGTATGTAAATAGCAAAAATGAATAGAATTTACATTCCTTTTAAATTTTTTTTACTTCAGAGCCAGTAATAGTTTGAGGTGAAAGAGACCTGAGAGAATATTTTTTGAATGCTGTCATTTTATAAAAGAAGGAAAGTGACTCATCTTTACAAACATAAATTCATTCAAAATCAGACCTGAACAAGGAACTGTTTTTCTAAGGCTGCTCTGAACATAGTTCATTCGACGTGAATGCAGAGACTGATTTCTGTTTGACATAAGGAAATGCTTTCTAACAATTAGAAAGAAGTATCCCAAACTGCAATGGCCTCTCTCAGGAAACAGGGGCTCTTAACCTTTCTTGTGTCATAGATCCACTGGGTAGTCTGGTGAAGCCTATGAATCCCTTCTCAGAAGAATGTTTTTAAATGTATAAAATAAGATATGTAGGATTACAAAGGAAACCAATTATATTGAAAACAGTTATCAAAATACTAAAAAAAAAAATCAACAAGTTCACGGACCATAGGTCATTAACTCTGGAGAAGATAACTCCCTGTCATTGATGGTCTCAAGTAGAGACTGGACCACTACTTTCTGGAGATATCTGAGAGGGAATTTGTATTTCAAGTTTGCGCTGGATTAGATCAATAGTCCAACCTGTGAGCCATGAACTGTTTTTTTTGGGGGGGGGGAAGCAAAAGGTGGGGTAGGGATACTTATGGCAAAGGCACCATCTCATTACATGAATTTTTATGACTAAAGAATTCACAGTAAGTGGCTAGCCTACTGTTCATGAACTTCTCTGCCCTTAGCTAGGCTTGTCCTTGGAAAACAGATGTGGTTTTGTTTTTAAGATTGTACTCAATGCCTTTCCAGCCTTGTAAAATTTATGAGAGCAATGGTGTAACTTTGAGAACCCAGGCTCACCTCCAGGCTCTGATAAGGCATAGAAAACAGTAAACATACTTTCTATAGATGGAACAAATGATGTCACATATATGTTCACTATTTCTCACAAGTCTTTAGGTACTATTGTGATAAATAAAACATATATTCATATAAAAGCAACAATTAAACTCATAGGAGCTTATCATTATGCATTTTCTCAATTAATGGATACTAATAGTACAACTACTATCATATAGAATTTCATGAAAATTTTTGACACTAAAAATGGGTCCTCATACTTGAAAAGGTTAGAAACCACTGAATTAGCAGTCTTCTAATAATAATAGGTAGTATTTATATAATGCTTTAAGGTTTGATTTACATACGTAATCTCAGTTGTTCCTCACGACAAGGAGGAAAAGGCTATTATCCCTATTTTTCCAATTAGGAAACTGAGGTAATGGAGGTTAAGTGACTTGCCCAGGGTCATGAAGTTAGCAAATGTCTGAGCTAAGATTTGAACTCAGGTCTCCCTGACTCCAAGTCTAACCCTAGCCGCTGCACCACCTCGCTGACTCACAGAAGAGGGAATGTGGATATTTTCTCGCTTTAGACTCTAAGATTCTATGATTCTGTCATGCAGAAACTGGGCAAACTAAGATAATAGGAACTGACAATTGGATTATTTATGTGAATCAACATGTTTTATTTTGTTTCATTTTTACTTCATGGCATTTCAAAAATAAAAATAAAAAAGGGACCTGCACAAATAAGGGTTAAACAAAGAAATAGGAAACTATCCGGGTAGATTCTTACCGGAAGGCTGGATTGGTGTTCTCAGGAATAATCACTTCCTCACATATCTTCTCCAAAGTAGGCATCCAGCTGGTTGCTAGATGGCAGTTCTGTAAGACCACCCAGGTGCCCTCAGTGATGGCTCTGTTAATCATATTGGCAGCAATGGGGCCCTGGCCCTGGCCAAGGGAGATCGTTTGAATGCTGCTACCTCCCATGCCAAGATCATCTGCGAACTTGAGCAGACCTGTGAGCAGAGCCAATGGAGTTTTTAGAAGAGACCAGGATGACTCTGCGGAGTTTAAAATGATCCCATGAAAGCAATGACGTAAATTAAAATTCCAGCACCTTGTGAAAAGAGTTCAAAAAAATTCTCCCCATGGTGTCAACAAGATAAAAAGCTCTTCAGAAAATAGTTTCACCTAACTCTCACAGAGAAAGCTACTCTTGGTATGATCATCTCAAGGGCTAAAGTCAACAATTCCCTCTATCTTTTGATAACTACATACTCTATAATAATATATATAAAAGTATTCAAAAGTAATTAGTAATAAGCCTTTATGCTGAGATATCAGTATCATGTGTTTAATGTTAAACCTGTGTTTAATGTTAAAGCCTCTGTTGCTTTTTCTCCTATATATAGAAATGTTCAGATTTTAAGTTTCCCTCTTCTGAGTGCTCAGTACAGCACATGTGTAATTGTAACAATTCAATCCAGCTTCTGTGATTATAATGTATATAATTATATTGAATACTCTGACCCTTACCTAATTCTCTTTATTATTCCTTGGTTTTCCTCTTGAATTTCTTTCCTAAATATCCCACTTAGAGATATAAAAGGAATACTCAAAAATCCTGAAAATAGAGATTAACTGTGTAGAACTCTCTTCTAATGGCAAGTGCAAAAGAACTATTTTTTTGTTATCAACTTGAATGCAAAATTTATTTTTTACCACCTAATCTTGGCTTCCTCACCTGCCATTGGGTCAGCACCTGGAGACAACACAAAAATCAATGGAGCACAGCTGTTAGAATCATTGTAGGATCCCTGAAGGTCAAATGTAGGTGGTTCAATGTATGTCTTTCCCATGTTATAAACAATGAAGTCCTGGGCAGCTGGAACAATTTTGTCAGGTCGCAGACATCGGAGAACCACCAAACGATCTAATCCATAAAGAACTTCCCAGTTCCTAGGGAATGGTTCTTCATGGGGCTTGGCAGAATCATAGATCCCCTTCCAGTCCAAAACATAGCTTTCCACATCCTCTTTCAGACCTCCAAGAGTGGGCAGCTGGGATGCACGGACAATCTCAGCCCATGACTTTTCAGACAACCATTCAGGAGCTGGATTGGGATAGGGGTTATTAAGAGCTACACCTCCTGTCAGAAGAAAGCGCCAGACTTCATCATTAATTTCACCTTTCCTTTTCATGATCCCAATAGTCAGGAGGAGAGAGAAAAGTAGCTTGTCCTTCTCAAACAGGGAACGACAGACGTTGTTGTAAATACTTATTGTGAAGTGGTCAATGATGTTCCCTATACGATGTTCCAAGTCCTCACTCTTCTGGCTATGGGCCAGGGACTGTACATACAAGTTGATGAACCAGGTCAGAGAATATTGGTACATTGGTTCAATGTTAGCCAAGTCAGAAATACAAAAGAAGACAGTGGAAGAATGAACAGCCACCGGCTTGTAGCCCATCCTTGTATCATCAATCTGTGTTTCTGTCACTGAGGCAATTTTCTGCTTCTCAGAGATTTCTTCAGACAGCACTTTAGAAGAAGACAGAATTTTAATGGCAGTTTCATCCTCTAAAATGTTGCCTTCAGACTTGGAGAGGACCTCTAAGATCTTATCTTCTATCTCTTTCAGCTGCTTCTTGTTGTCAGCACTTTCAATAATCAATTGGTTCTTCTTCTCTTCTAGCTCTGGCTTTTCCTTGGCAGCAACAATACCAAGAAGTTGATCTTGGAGACCCAGAGGAGTGATCATAAAGTTGAGGAGACAGACTTTCACAGCTATTTCAGGGAGATAATGGGGATTTCTCAAACGGGTTGTAATATAAAGTTTAAAATCTCTCGAGTATTCAATAATATTTTCACCTAATCTCATGTACTCTACCCCTTGCTGTTTGAATGTTGACTTGAGTAAGATGGGCTCAATGAAAGCATCCAGCTCTTCTCCAATGTTTTCTAGTAAGACTGGAGTGCCAAATTGAATAGCATTTTCCAGTACCCTCACATAGTTATCATCAGAAAGCTTGATTACAGAGAGTTTATTGGATTTCTCCATATTTTTGACCCACTTATTGGCCTGCCCCTGTGGATCAATCATTAAAGCCCATCGTCTTGAATTGGACACAATGATGCCATTATCAATGGAAAAAGAGTCTATGGGTAGTCCAGCAATCTGCCAGGCTTGAATTTTTACAGGATCTCCTAAGGTGTTACTAAGACTGAAGTCATTAGAGCCTGGGATCTTTCCTGCCTTGCAATACTCTAGCCATTGCTTTTGGCAGTCAGTGCGATAATCTACTGTAAAGGCCCCCAGATAAGCCACAGTGCCTGAGGACAGCAATACATCCCCTGTTAGGTTAGTATAACGAATCCCCAATAGCCGGGCAGCTTCTGTCCATCGGTCTTTCTCTCCCCCAAGGCCACTGATCAGTTTCTCTGCCCGGACTAACTTCTGGGAGCAGAGTTCAATATTGTCTTCTAATGCCTTTTTCTTCAAGTTCATGGCCTCAAATTCATCATTCAAGGCTTGAAGACGATCTTCCACCAGCTTCAACTCTCCTCGTTTTAGATTTAACTTTGACATCTGTTCATCCAGCTTCCCTTCTGCCACTTTCAATCTTTCCCTCTTGGGGGCCACCACTTTGGCCACTCGATCATATACTTCCATGGCCCTCACCCACTTGCACAAGCCCTCACAAGCTGATGATACATTCTTAATGACTGCTGGCTGGAAGTCTGGGTGGTCAATGAATCTTTCTCGGATCCTCTTCATGATCAAGGGAGGGATATTATCTTTATCATAGGTCTTCAAACTCTCCAAGAATTTCAGATCCCCAAGGACCTTCCTAGATGTACCCCAGTAGTCTTCTATCATCTTACCTGTTTAGTACAAGAAGTATTAATTGAGTACCTATTATGTAAATCATTCATTGTCAATGAAAAGTTAAGAGCCAGTTTAATTCACAGTGTTGTAAATACTTTTAAAGTTTGTCTAAAAATAAAAAGTTTAAAACATTTTTTTATGTGAAGTCAGATTACTTCAACATTTCACAATTTTGACTGAGAGGAATATCTTTCCCAGTACAACCCCTCAGTAACATAGCAGATGGCCATTGAGAATTGCTACAGCCAAAAGAAATTTCTCACAGTGTTGAATCTTCATTTACTCAAAGAGGAGAAATCTCAAAAAGATTTGAAGAGAGACCACAAAATGACAATTCAGGTAAGCAAAATCCTAGATATTCTGTAAATTAGAGCGATTGTTGAGATTTCCTACGGCGGTGGCAAGAGACTTTTGATGCTAGTTTTCAGAGATTACATATAAAAGAGATATTACTAGCTTTGTTGGATCTGTTACCCATTCTATTCTTCACGTATGTACTCAACTCCAAGAAACTGGTCTTAAAGTTTAAACTTAATCTATTTTTTAAATAGAGTGAAAATAAAGGTCTTAATACTGCTATGTTTCTAGAACTATTCAGATGTGGTCTCTCTCTGTTCTCTCACATACTTTTTAATCTTCATGCTTGTCCTGTTGTCTATATGCAATACTATTTCTATCTATACTTATCCTCCCTGTCTTAATTTTAATATCCTCAAAGTCAGGAAGCTATACCTCCCTTGAGAAAATTTTTACTCTTAGGAAATAAATGTTTTTTGATTGGTTGATTTGGTTGATTAGTTAAATGACTGAAAGGGAGAACTGATTTCAAGATCAGCTTTTCTGTTTCTATTCAATTAAGACCTTAGTTTCTAGCTCCGTTAATGTGCTGTTAAACAAGTCCTTCCCTGGAGGTGATTTGGTTGTGTGTTCATGCCACATGGGCTACAGAATTTTCAGGGCTTTTCAAAGATACAGGGAGGAAGAATGGGGAGCTTACCACTACCACTCAGATCAGGTTTCCTCTCTGGTCTCAGTCCTTTCATGACACAGATACTCTCCATGACAAGTTTGACAGGGCCAGGAGGGTTCTGCATTGACTTTACCATGGTGATATCTGAGGCATTCAGGGTATCCAATGCAGCAAGGGCAGCCTCCAGTGCTGGCATGACCTCTGCCAGGTCACCCTCACACTCATCCTGTAAAGCACAGGAGTAGAAATGGTTAGCTCTACAGGGGTGATGCCATACTGTACCATCCTCATAGCAAGGGGTTCTTCACCATTTTTTGTCAGTACCCTTTTAGCAATCCAAAGAAGCCCATGGATCCCTCTTCAGAATAATGTTTTTAAATTCATGAAACTCAAATAGGCTTATAAAAGAAATAAAATATATTTAAATAGTTATTAAAATATTTTTTTAAAAAAATAAAAGTTCATAGACTCCAGGTTAAGGCTTAAAAGAACTCTTAACAGGAATGAGTTACCCTCACATAGTTGTTATCAGAAAGCTTGATTACAGAGAGTTTATTGGATTTCTCCATATTTTTGACCCACTTGCTGGCCTGCCCCTGTGGGTCAATCATTACAGCCTTAAATTGGATGCAGTGATGCCATTATCACTCCAATGATGCCACTCTCAATAAGAGAGGATTACTGTTTAGGGATTTGTGGTGAAAATCAGGCAGAGGTCTTCTCTGCCAAGGGACACTCCCCACCAGAACATGGGCCATGTAGTGCTTGTTCAGTCAATAAATGTCATGGAAAGGGGACCGGGCAGTTACAATTATTTCAGGGGCTCATCATCCAGCGGGTAGATAGTACAAGTTATTCTACTCCTCTTCTTTTTCTGCCTTCCTTGAGCATTCTAATATTCTTCAGCATGTCCTCCAGAAGGTAAACAGCAGGAAGACGTAGATATCACATTTCTCCTGTGGGCAGCCCTGACACAGTGTTTGGTAGGGCAGGAGGTCAAAGCTGTTGGCTACAACAAAGCTTTTGGATTACAGTGGCCTTAAGTTATCCCAGTCCCCTGTGAGCACCAAACAAACAAACAAAAAAACACAAAAACAAAAACCTGGCTGTGCCATCTTCCTCTGAAAATATGAAGCAACTACTAGCCAATGGACAGATTAAACCTCTGCTCCATTTCTAAAAGGGAAAGGACTAGAGATAATCCTATTCTCAGTTCAGCCTCACTTTATTTTTTTTTTAAAACCTTTTTATTGATACCTTTTGTTTTTACATCATCCATGTTTCCCAATTTAGCCCTTCTAGGCCCTGCCTCCTGAGAGCCATCTTTTCTAACAAAGAATAAAAACAAAAAGGAAAAACAGTTCACCAAAACTAAACAACATTTTAGAAAAAGTCTGACACTACATGCTGTGTTTCACACCCAAAAATCCTTACCTCTGCAAAGAGTGTGAGCAGAAAAGAATGTTGGGCTTACTTCCTAAATGATTTTAAAAGGACCCTCTTTGAGCCCAAGATACAAAAACCAATGAGGGTAAGCCCAAAAGGGCCTGAGGTCCATGTTTCTTTCAAAGTGGTTGACTCTTAGAAGCGATGCTGGTCCCATTTCAGATCATGATTATGGACTGCTAATAATAACTGACATTTGTATAGTGCTTTAAATTTTGCCATGTGCTCTTTACATAGACTATCTCATTATAGAATCACAACAACTCTTTGATGTATGCTTTATAGGTATTATCCCCTGTTTGAACAGATTAGGAAACTGAGGCTCAGAAAAAGTAAGTGGCATATCCAGAGTCATACAGATAGTGTCAGAGGTGGGTTTGAATCCAGTTCTTAGCTGACTTCAGAGTCCATCACTCTTGGCTAAACATGGCTGCCTCCTAATTTGCTTCCTGATTGTCACTCCCCAAATCTTGCATATAGCAGTAGTTCTAGATTTCATCCTTTGTACTCAAAACTAAAGGCCTACATCGAATGCACAGGAAGTAGGAGAAGTAGAGAGGCCGGGGCATTTTCCCAGCATACCTTGTGCTAAGGTTTAAGTCCACTGTGACTGCCACCTCCACTCTTTAATTTGTATGTCCTTTTTCTTCCTAGTCACCACAAATGCCCTAACTTAGTGAAAGGATATTTATCTTTCACAAAGCTCCTTTAATAGCAAGCTGTGTCCCCCAAAGCGCTGTCCTAGACCCTCTTTTAGACACCTTCCAAGCATTCTACCTTGGTGCTTTTATCTGGGCTCAATTATCATCTCTATGCAGTTTGACTCCCAAATCTATCTTGCCCCAATATCTCTCTTGAATTTCAGTCCCCCACCATGAGCTACCTGCTAGAAATTTCTATTTGTCTTTCCTACTAGCAATTTAATTAGAACATGTTTAAAAACAGAAATAATCTTCTTTCCTAAACTCATCTAGGTCTAGGCAGCAAAGTGGGATGATGGACAGAGCACTGGGCCTGGAGTGAGTGAGACCTGAGCTCAAATCCAGTCTTAGGATTTGAACTTTCTAGCTTTCTGACCCTGGGCAAATCATTTAACCTCTATCTGCCTCAGTTTCTTCAACTGTAAAATGGGAATGATAACAACACCTACAACTTTACAGTGCTGTTGTGAACATCACATGAGATAATATTTGTAAAGGGCTTAGTGTAGTGCCTGGCACATAGTAGATGCTATTAAATACTGAAGAGGATTGAGGTCACTACCATCTTCCCAGTCACTCAAATTCATAAGTTTAGAGTCATCCTTGACACTTCTCTCTTCGCTGCCCCCATATCTAATCATTTGTTAAGTCTTATTTATACTATATAAGGTCAACAACAATAACAACAACAACACATAAGGTCACTCCTCTACATTTCGATAACCATACTCAATTCAAAACCTTTTCAACTCTTACAGAGACTAGCAATAGCTTCCTAACTGGTTTCTTTACTTCCCATCTCTCCTTTCCCTAATCCACCCTACACAAACTTGCAAAAACAATCTATCTTCCTAAAACAAAAATCTAATCATTTGTTTCACTTTTTCTATTCAAAGACCTTCCACATTACATTCAAGATAAAATACAAACCCTTCAAGCCTTAGACTTGTGGTCTTCTACAACCTAGCTCCAGCCTATATTTTTCAGAATAATTTCCTATTGTTGCCTCATTTATGAAATTAAATGCCTATCACATTTTGCCTTTGTAAAACTTCCACCTTAAGGATGTCAGTCAATTCTTCTTTCACTACAATTAAAGGAACATTGAACTGAATATTAGAAGACCTGGGTTCTAGTCCAGACTTTTCCTTCTTTAAGTAGCTGGGTGACCTTAGGCTAGTCCTTTCTATCTTGGAGCCTGTTTCTTCATCTAAAAAGGGACAGGGACTTGACCTGTGATTTCATTGCTATAGGGAATTCCCAGATGAGGAAATTCCCTATAGTATTAGTCTTAGAGAGTTGCCTAGAACAGAGGAGTCAAACTTGGTTGTCCATAGGCCTGCATGAGGCTCACAACACTCGTTAATGTTGCCTATACCAGATTAAAATCTAATTGGGAAATATTTAACAAAGTAAATAAAAATACAATAAAACATAGGTAATGTTAATATGTGTTTTTCTAAATTAATATGTAGTCCACAGTGATCCTTATGTATGGTATAGTGGCCCCCATTTCTACTTGAGTTTGACACCACTGGCTGAAACACTGAGGGATTAAATGACTCGCCCAGGGTGACATAGCCAGTATGTGTCCTCAGAGGAGGAACTTGACCCCAGGTCTTCCTGGCTCCGAGGCTCTCCATCCATTACAACACACTGCCTCAAGGGATAGTTACAAAAAAACAGAAGATAACTTGTATTTAAAAGGGCTTCAAAATATATAAGGCATTTAAAAACTCAAAATATTATTATAAATAGCATTTGCCTTCTGTTATTTGAGAAGTATAAAGGAGGTGATCAGGGAAATGTATGACCAGAAGAAAACATAGGCTGACTACACAGCAAGAGAGGGGGATTCCTATGGGTGTGCTGGTAAATGTTTAATAACTGACTCTCTTAAGAAAATGTACATACTCTACACTTTTAAACTTTATCTGCATTATTAACATTTTCTCCATCACTTTCTTAAGCACAGACAACCAACAAAACAATAAATCAAGTCCTAATTTGTAGAATTTGTTGATTCCTGAGATGTAAATGCTCACACTGAAAATGTAACAGATCAAGCTAGCTTTAGGACACCCCTTTTCTATAGGTTTCTCTAGTCAACCAATGGGATCCACAAGATGAAGACTCTCTTCTCTAGAGGAAGGTAACTTAGCATGTTGGGTGGATACCCTTTGGCATATATATGAGAGAACATGGACAAGCGTTCCATAGGATGGACAGGTATGGATTGGTTGTGATCTGTATCAGTGGGAGAGAATACCTACATCAAGCTCAATCATAGACCCATCCAAGTATCCAAATGTAAGGATGTGACTGAGAAAAATCCAATCCCTAAAATGGCCTGTTGCCCACCTACTTCTTGTGTCATAACTGAGACTTCCATGAGGGACTTGGTCTTAGCAATTATGCAATGGAAAACCTGTACCTTAATAGCTTGTGCAATGGCAGCAGCAGTATTGGCCTTTTGTTCATCTGCCTGAACCATTAGCTTCTTAGCATCTGCTTCCACTGTCTCTGCTTCAATTTTTATCATCATCTTCTCAGTCTCTTCAGAGGTCTTGATCAACTCGGGTTGAAGGGCAGTTAGTTCTACCTGCATTACAGCCACCTAATAGAGAAACAGAAAGTAAGGAAAGGCAGCAGATCATTCCTTACCAGACGGTGTATTTCTGAACTGGAGTCTTGTTCAACAGAAAGCTATGGAGATGAGTAGAACTCAAAAATATGGTTTAAAAGGACACTTTGCCTACCACTTGAACAAAAAAAAAATGGAGAACAGCTATCAATTTCAACAAGGATCTAGTTATAAATAAATGTGTTGGTCAGGAATATTTGTCTTTCTGATCAAAGATGCTTACAGATGGGGGAATAGATGGAATATCTGTGAAGTCTTCTCCTGTCCTCATTTTTAGATTAACTATATATGGCCACAACCTAATATCTTTTAAACAGCAGATTTAAATATCTCCATTTTTTGACATTTCAAAATATGCTCTCCTCCCTTTTATTTTTATTTTTTTATTTTTATTTTTTATTAATTTATTTTGATTTATCAATAATCACTTCCATATGCTTTTGAGTTTAAAATTTTTCTCCCCCTTCCTCTCTACCACCCTCCCAAAGATGGTGCACAATCTGATATAGGCTATACATTTACATTCATATTAAACAGATTTTCACATTAGTGATGTTGTAAGTAAAAATTAAAACCAATAGGAGGAACGATCAGAAAGAGGAAACAAAACTCAACAGAAAAGAAAAAAAATAGCAATTCAACTTCCATAGTTCTTTCTTTGGATGTGGATAGCATTTTCCATCACAAGGCCTCTGGAGATGTCTTAGATCCTTGTTAAATATCTCTATTTTTAACATTCTGAAAAGCCATTGATTGTTCTGGAGTTTTACTTCCTGACTTCAGGGCCAGTGTTCTATCCACTGTACCACCTAGCTGCCCCTGTACTAAGAATTTTTTTTAAACAAATATTATCTCATGTGATTTGGTAAGGACCAAATAGTAAATACTAAATGCTCTAAGTCATGGGAAAGTTATTGGTGCTTGTGTTTTTTGTTTGTTTTTACCGATTATAATAAGCCAGCTGTTTACATTTGAAGCCCAGACACATACTAAGATGCTGAAAGCCTATCTTTATTTCTTTTCAGTGACAACTCACCTGTGATGATGCAAAGTCAAGTTTTTGAAGCCCCACCAGGTAACGGTTCCTCATCATATCCACCTCATGTCTTTTGCTATTTAGTAGTGTTTTGAAGGTCAGAATCAATTCAAGATAAGATGTTGGAGTAACATAATTGTGTCTTCGTAGTGTACCAAAAAAATCTACCGAGAGATGTCTCACACTTTCCTGGAAATACTTGCACATGGACACAACCCTACAGAGAATAAATGGCAATCACACTGTGTCTATTTTTATCCAAGTAAATTATGATAATGCTGGCCATTAAAATCTGTAGCTCTATTTGACTCCACTGGCTTTGGCTAACTCAAGTCAGAAAGACATTTATTGAGGGAAACATTAGTCATACTCCCAAGCCTTTATAGATAACCATCCCAATACATACTGTATTCGAACGTCATCATCGAGCTCCACATCTTCTAAAAACTTGTTGGCCACCATCTCTAATGCATCTGTTGGCCAAGTCTGGAACCAGTCAATGGTACAGCAATTGATCAAAGAAGGGAACATTCGTAGACGGTTACGGAAAGCATCTCCAATAGGACTCATGGCTTTTAGAAAGAATAGGTTTTGTTAGTTCCTTTCATTCCAGTTCCAGGCAGAATTGGACTTCCTTAGGGGTTAATTCAGAATTTTGAGGGCACTCATGGAGTAATACATACCCTTGTTACTTTTGGAAAGGTTCAGAAGCAATTAACAACCTAATCCCGTGGAAACTCTGGAGTCATAATGGGAAAGGCCCACCCAAAATTTTGGAAACTGTATCACCTATCAGAGATTTTTGGATTCCATTAAAATGTCAAAAGGCAGAGGTATACATAGGTAAGAGGTAGTGTGTGTGTGTGTGTGTGTGTGTGTGTGTGTGTGTGTGTGTGTGTGAAAGAGAAAGAGAGAGAGAGAGTTGAGTGTTGAATATGGGATCAAAGAACTGGGATTTAAATCCTGCTTCTTACTACCTACATGTATCTGTATCTTACTACTTACATGATCTTGGACATACCCTTTAGCCACTCTGAGCCTCAGTTCTCTTATTTGAAAAATGAGGGATTGACCTCTAAAATTCCTTCTGGTTCTAAATTTATGACCCTAAGTGAAGGATGAGTGTGTTTTTTCTTACCTAGGACAATGTGTAGATTTTTTTTCACCCTCTCAATAAAGAAGGTATACATAGCAAGAGGTGTGGCATCAATTTTCCTGCCTTCAGTCCTGGCTGCTGTTTGCATCTTTTCCACAATGTCGGCCTTCTCGTCAGCAGGAAAGATATTGGGCACATCACCTGTGTTCAGGAGCATATTGATGTCCTCAACAAATGATTCATCCTTGATTTGATTGTCAGCAAACAGGAATACTGTGCTCTTACTGGTCACTCCAACCTGAAGCATAATCTTCTTTATATCGTCCCGCCAGTCATTGTTGGTGTAGTTCTTGGTGATCTCAATCTGGTACAACTCATATGAATTCATGAATGTGGACAACTTGGAGGCACTCTGTCGCCCGCTCCCCCCAATGCCCACTAGCAGTAGATGGCCATTGTCCTGCTTTAGAACCCGGCAGATCCGAGAAATGTGCTCGATGGCAAATCTGAACATGACCAATGACATTGGGGCCTTGCTGATGTTATTAAACTCTTCCAGGTAATATTCCATGACTGAAGTGAGAGTTTTCAGGTCGGTAATCTCATCATAGACTTTTACATCAGCCTCAGGCTTTAAATAGTCTCCAAAAAACAGACTACGGATGTTATCATCCACGATCTTCCCAGTGGGTGATAAATGAATCAGGACCTGGAGTAAATTCAATTTAATGAGCATTTATTAAGCACCTGCTATTTTCCAGGCACTGGAGATACAAAGAGAAAAAGCAAAAGTTTCCCTGCTTAAGGAACTTACATTCTGTTGGATGGTGGCAGAGGAAGTAATGTGTATACAGATGAATAAATACAAAGTATATACAAATTTAAAGTAATTTAGCAGGAAGTCCCACTTCTATTTTTCATTCACTATTCAAGTACTATAATACAAAGTACTCTGTTTTTATCCTTTTCTTAGAATTCTAAGCATTTTAGTATCATTTATAAAGTCTTTGCTGCAGACAAATATACATAGTAAAGATAGGAATGTGGGTTGGTTGGGTGGGAAACAGTGAGTTTGTCTCCTTTAGCCTACCTTTCTTTTCTGGCTCAAATTCATCTGCACCTAATCCAGAGAGGACATTGGGATTATGAAAGAATTTCAACCCTAAATTAGATAGCTATTTGTAGCAGAAAGTTTTGGCCTCTGTCCAGACACAGAATTCAAGAAGGAATGACCTAATCTTGGTCTGATTGTACTCTGTAGTACTCTTGAACTCTGCCTGGCCTTTGTTAGTTAGGTGTGATGGCTGTGATTAAACAGCCCTTATGGAGTAAAGGGTCTAGCCACTCACTATACCCTAGCAGACTGACTCTGAGATGGTTTGACTAGCCCTGAAAAAACGAGATCTGAAGATAGTGGCAGGGAGCACCACCCAGATCGACACCCCAGTCTGGTGACGAACATAGTCAGTGAACTTAGCACAACAATACGCCCTGTGAAAACACTGAGGCCAGTGTGGAATGGTGTGAGGATATCACCAAAAACCACTGGGGGCCTGGCAGTGTTGGAAGTATGAATCCCCCAGGTGTGGATCTCTCAAATGTGAGCCCTGTGCTTGCTCATTCTCCTTAGTGACGGGGTGTTTCTTTATGGGAGGAATGTTCTATCACAAATCTTTTTATTGTACTATTTCATTAAAAATGCCTTTTTTTTTTTTTTTAGCCAGTTGTGTCATCTGGCCAGCTAAAGAAAAGCAAACACATTTATGGGAGTTTATGAGCTATTTTTTTTTTCTTTTTTTTCATATAAAGAATGGGAATGTTTAGTGGAAGAAGAGAAGGCCTGGGGCCAGCCAGGGTTGGGGCCATGATAGATGTCTTCAAGCCTATAAGCTATCATTTTGAAAAGGTATGAACTCAGAGAGTACCTGGAACCTAGGATAGCTATTCTGGGAGTCCCATTTTGTGAGAAGGGGGTACCACACATATTGCATAAATATGAGGAAACTGAGGCCCAGATAGATCAGGTGATTAACCCAAGGTCACATGGGCTAGTAAGTAGTGGAGCTGGAATTTGAACCCAAACCTCTTGATTCCAAATCCAGAGTTCTTTCCATTGTTTCACTGAGCCAGAACATCAAAATATTCTCTGAACTGAACCAATAACTCTGCTGCAAGTCTCTAGGAGTCACAGGACATAGATGGGGTATTCTTTTAGGGATTTTATGAGTGTTCTTCTTAAAGGATCTGCAACTATCATCAGTCTTAGAGAATTCAAAATGGAAGAACCTGTTCTACATCAAGGCTATTCAGAACAAGTTGCCTGACGCACATTGAGATTAACTTACTCACAAACTAGATTACATGAAATTTAGCATACCTTCTCAACAGTCTGTTTGAAGCAGTTAGCTGTTGTCTCCTTTACCATCCCAAAGAACAGCTGTCTGTCCTCATGATCAATTAAACGATCATAGAAGACTCGATAAACTTCATGAATCCAGAGTCGAATCAGTTTTTCTCCATCCTGCAAATCCAAAAGTGAGTATCTGAATTATTTGGAGGCAGAGACTACAAAGCAAGTAACATCTTCCTCTATTTAATCAATAATAATTATGGTATAAAAGACTCTGTGATCGGTACAGTGACATGATTCATATAGAGATATAGTTTGTGCCTTAAGAAGCTTACTGTTTAATGAGGGAGCTAAGAGAAATTTAATATCAAAAGATATGTCATGTAAATGATAAAAAAGAAAGAAAACAGAAAAGAGTCAAACAAGAGGCAACTGTATATGACATTGAAAATATAAAGTTAAGCACTGAGTAACTATATATTTGAAGACGGTGATCAAAGTAGTGGGGATTAATCTGGGAAGGCTTCCTGAGATTTGATACTAATTGAACATCAGCCAAGCCACCTAAGTGTCATCAATTCTGGGTTATGGAAGAGGAATGATAAAGACTGAAAATGGTAGGTGTAATTCCTGGTAGTTTTGCTTCTCTGACATAGTATATACACATCAGATGTGTTCTGTATCTCAAATAAAATTATGATCAATAGCATCCTGAGAATCTATTCATTTATTCAAAGAGGCATGTTTCCTGCCCTGAAGACACAATCTACTAGGAAAGAGAAAACACACAGAAAAATAATTTGTTCAACTTGATAAAGCCATGCACCTAATTTACCTAATATTGTACCCTTTGAGGAAAGGTAGTATTTAGTTATTTTTATGACAACATTTATGGAAACAAAAGCTAACCTGTAAGTGGGTGTGAGGACACAGCAATACCCCTTGAATAACTCGTGAAAAATCTCGTAAATTAAAGACATAATGAGATTTGGAGGGAGTTGGCAGGAAATTCTCCACTGCAGCTTTGTAAATAGTCATTGTTGCTTGAATCAACATTTTTCCAAACCTTAGAGAAACAGCAAAGCCAGTGTGGATGTTGTGAAAAATTTGGAAAGCAATATCCTCTCCACCCAATCTCTTTCAGGATATATGGTTTCCTTACCTTAAGAACTGTACATCAAACCCTTTCCCAAAGTGCCAGTCAACAATGGAGCTAAAAATTCTGCTCAAAATTTCATCCTCAAAAGCATTGATGGAAATGATATTCAGATGGCGGGTGAATCGTCCTGAAAAACAGAGAGACACATGTACACGCATACCTGACTTCTGGACCTAATGACAGAGCCAGTTCCCCCTCCCACCAAATGCAAAGAAGGGTCTAATATTTGATTTCTTTCTAAGATACATATTGAAAATAGAGATTTCTCCCAAAATAATGAGGTCTTATGTGAGGGTTATTTCCAGAATTTTTTCTCTGGATATATACATGAAACCCTGACTCCATAGAGTCTGAAGATTTGAGATCCTGCCTCATGCAAACTCTGAAATGCTACTTATTGTCCCTATATTTAACAATGTGCTTATAGAACCCAAGTCTAGAAAAGGCCCTGAAAGGTTATTTGCTCCATATCTTTTCCTTCGGACAACGTGACACAAAAACTATCATGAAGGCATAGAACATTGAATCTTACATTTGGAAAGAACCTTATATGTCATCTATTATTTAAAAAATATCTGCTTCCAGTTTCAGTGAGGGAAAGTTATGTAGAAGATGGAGCAAGAGAAGACTTGAGCCAAAAAAGAAAAAGAAGGAACTGTGGAGATTTGAAGGGTTCTTGAACTATGAAAAATACTAGAGAGTGGGGCAGCTGTGTGGTGCAGTGGATAGAGTACCAGCCTTGGAGTCAGGAGGACTTGAGTTCAAATCTGGCCCCAGACATGTACTAGCTATGTGACCCTGGGCAAGTCACTTAACCCTAATTGCCCCCTCTCCACTGAAAAAAAGAGCAGTGATTGCTTTTGGTGTGGTAGGACAGGAAATTGAAAGGTTCTGAAGAGAAGCTGAAAGAGGAAAAATATGTGAAGGACATGGACTAAAGAAGAAGGGTTAAGGAAATGCAAGAAAGTGAAGAAATCAAGTCAAAAGGGAATTTGAGAAAAAGGAACACTAGTAGAAAGACCTAAGAAGAGAGAGATTAGAAGGAAGACCCTGAGGAGGAAAAGAGAAATAAAAAGAAGAGGAGGAAGAGAAATAAAAAAGAAAAAGGCCTTAAGGAGAAGATGAAAAATAAGAAGGAGGAGGAGAAAGTTGGTAAAAACAAGGTAAATAAAACAAGTTGGTAAAGCAAGTCAAGGGATTATTAAATCAAAAGAAAAGAAGGACAGTGTGGCCATCAAGGCACTATTGAAGTGAGAAGGGAAATGGCACCTTTGGAGCTGAGGACTTCAATGAGTAATTTGACAATTCAATTTTATTTTATTTTCAGTTCCAAATTCTTCCACCTCCATTGAAAAGGCAAGAAAAATAAAACCCATTACAAACACATATAGTCCACAAGTTCTCCAGGAAATCTAACTAGCAAGGACAACAAAGCTCTGAGGATCTCACTTCCAGCAAATATACAAAGCAGGAAGAATTTTGCAATGACTTACATAATGGTTGCAATGTTTGTATTCATGCCATAATTAAGTGATTTTTTTGTTATCTATTCTAAAAGTTCTAAAAGATCAGTCTCCCAACTAGAAGAGAGGCAAGGGAACTCCAGGAACCTCTCCACTCTCCAGGTTATTAATAAGAATGAAGTCTTCCAAAACAAGCAAAGCAACAGAATAAAGGCTCCAATATAAAAACAAAAAAGAAACATGATTGAAGAGATAGAGGAAGAATCCTGAACCACTGAGGCAAGAGATTGTGGAGGGGTCTGGGAGAATGTGACACAGAAAAGGAAGAAGAATCATTAAATACAGTTATTCCTTCCACATTGAGGGGGTTAGGGGCACAGCATGTAAAATTTTTTGACCCTTACCTTCCTATGTCATCACAGCTTCTACAAAACTCCCCCAAAATTCTCGTCTTATGTCTTATGCTGAGCCGTGATATACTGAAACCACGATAGGTAAAATTACAATGTGGAAAGGATAACTATTTGGAGCTAAGCAACAGATATGAGGCTCTTTCTGAAGAGGTGGAAAATAGATGTTTGACTTACAAAGGAATGATGATAGTGATACACAGGTGAGAGATAATCCTTCCAAAACGGATGAGAGGAAGAAAAGACAAGTAGTGGAGGTTGGTGTCTCCCAGCTGAGGGAGACGTACTTAAAATGGGCATGCATAGAGAGTAACCCAGGTATGTGGGAACATCCAGCCCATGTTCTGTGTGTTTCTAATATTATTTGTCAACCTGATGACAATAGAGAGGTCTGCTATGTTTCAGGGACCATATATCAAGAAACATATATTGGAACATGACCAAGAATCTCCCAAGACTTTTTGAACCAGATAATTATGGCCCACTTGTGATGATTAACATGGACACAAATGACATTACCAGAAGGAACTTTTTTTTTTAAGAAAGCTTTGTTAAAGATTGTTAAATCTTGGAGAAGAAACTGAAGACTTTCTGGTCAGAGGTGATGATTTCTTCACTGTGTCAAAGACATGGACTTCAGAAGAAAAAGGCAGATTTGGGAAATGAACAGCTGGTTAAGAAGATGATGTCTGAGAATAGAATTTGGATATCTGGACTATGGCATAAAATACAGAAATGACATTCTCCTAGCCATTAACAAAGTTTACCTTAAAAAGTTTATCTAATTTTGTGACTGGGTTCTATGGGTATGTTGTTAAACAGCATTTCAGAGTTAGAATGAGTACAGAATATCAAAACTTTAACCTCTATCAAATTGGAGTCTCATGTATCTACACAGAAAAAAGATCCTGGAAATGACTCCTCACCAATAGTAGGAAGAGGGCCAACACATTTCTTTTCTATACATAAGACATTACAAAATCTAATCAAAAGAACTGAGGAGGAACAACTAATATTTGCCCACCAAGCTAGATTCCATAGAAAATTACTATAAAGTAGGAAGAAAAATAGCAATACTGCCACCCAGAAATTCACAGGAGACTAAACTCAAAAAAGAAGTCCACAATACACCCATGTATTGTTTAAGTTTACCCATAAATGCACAAAGTCTGAACAATAAGCTAAGTGAACTAGAGATCTCAATGTAAGGAGGCAGATTTGACTTCATAGTTATACTTAGCGGGGTAAGATCCATGACTGGAATATGACAATACACACAAACCTTGTTCCTCCAAAGAAGATAGATAGGTGGAGGTGGGGAGGGTAGGTGGTACAGTGGATAGATAGAGCACAGGACCTGGAATCAGGAAAGCCTGAGTTCAAGTCCAGCTTCAGACACTTACTAACTGTGTGACTATTGGCAAATCACTTTACTTACATCAGCCTCAGTTTCCTCATCTGCAAAATAAGGATAATAATAGCACCTACCTCTCAAAGTTGTTGTGAAGATTAAGTGAGAAAATATTTGTAAAGTGCTTTGCAAACTTTTGAGTGCTTATGTAAATGCTAGCTATTATTATTGTTGTTATTGTTATTATTATTATTGTAGGTAGACATTTGAGAAAATACAGAAAAATATGGTGGAGAGTCCTTGAATTAAAACAAATGGAGGCAGAAATAAAATCCATACTGTTATCAGAGAATACTACAGACCACTTGGGCAGAAGGAAGAACTAGAGTTTGAGCAATAGTTTATAAACCTCTCATGGCAGCATAACATATGTGTAATCATAGCTATGATTTCTTTGTTAGAGGAATTTTCCTCTACCAATGCAGAATGGACCTTCTACAACTTTAGAGAACTGACTAGAGTCCTGAGGAGTGAAGTAACTTGAGGAAGGTCATGCAATCACTATGTATCAGAAGCAAGACTTGAACCAAAGTTTTCCTACACTATTGCTGTACTGGCTAAAAAGCTGGTCTCAAAGCCAGGAAGAGGCCTACCTCTCTCTTTTTAGCCTTAGACCTATAATGTCTATGATCTTTGTCCTAGAAAGGACAGAACAAAAATAACTACTAGGGAATTTATACCCAAGATAAATTGGGAGATAATAAGAGAACACTAAGCTTCTTTCTGTGATGTGCTCAAGTCATGAAATTAGATTACATCCTAAAATGCCAAAAAAATTTATGTGATTGATAAATTATGATCAGTGGCCTTTGAAAGACTATGGAGAAGAGAAAAAGTGTGGATTGGATTGGAGCAAATGTTGTCCAGATTTTCAAAACTAGAAGCAAATGGAGTCTTTAATGTATAAGTGAGTAAGCTTTACTTCAATTCCTACTCAAACTTTAGATCATTTTAAAAGGATGGTTAGTGAATACCTGAAAAAAGAAATGGTAATCACAAAGAACTTGAATGGCTTTATCAAGAATAAATCATTCAGTCATTCCCCAACAGATAAGCAATCAAAGGATATGAACAAACAGTTCTCAAAAGAAGAACTGCAAACTACTAATAACCATATGAAAGAATACTCCAAGTCACTAATAATAAGAGAAATGTAAATCAAAACAATATTGAGATTTTATCTCATACCCAGTAACATACTGGCAAAGATGACAAAATATGGGAATAGTCAATATTGGAGGGATTATAGAAAGATGGACACACCAATACACAGTTGGTGGAGATGTGAATTGATCCAACCATTCTGGAAAACAATTTGGAATTATGCAAAGAAGGTGATTATAACGTCCAGACCTTTTGACCCAGAGATTTCACTGTGAGGCATATACCTCCAGAAGGTCAATGATAGAAAAGAAAGAGTCCTCATGTGCCAAGATATATATAGCAGCATTTTTTTTTTATAGCAAAGAACTGGAAACCAAAGTAGATGCCCATTGACCAGGAAATGGCTAAAAATGTCATGGCCCAAGAATGTATTAGAATATTAAAGTGTTGTAAGAAATGAATATGATAAAAATAGAAAAGCATAGAAAGAACTGATGGAAATGAAGTGAGAAGAACCAGGAAAACAATATAAATGATGACTATAACAATGTAAATGGAAATAACAGCAACAAAACAATTGAAACTGAATGAAACCAAATTATGATGACTAAACTTGGTCCTAAAGAAAGAACTATCAGAAGGCATCTTTATCACTTCTGGGGCCAACCAGACAAAGTCTAAACTTCTTCCATGTGATATCCCTTCAAATCCTTGCTCTCATGCCCTCCTCAATGGTAGGGGGCCATGGTGTGGAATACTCATATAATATTAGACTTTTCTGATTTCTTTTCCTCTTTTTTTATTCTTTGCTGTAAGAGAAGGTTCTCTGGAAGGGGAAAGGGATACAATGTAAAAATATGTAAAAACAAAAGATACCAAAACAATGAATTTTTTAAAAGAATGAGTCATGCCAACTTAACTTCATTTTCTTGTGACAAAGTTACTAAACTGGTAGATCATGGGAATAGCTTACCAAGAATTTAGCAAAACATTTCACAAAATTTGTCATATTATTCTTATTGAAAAAATGGAGAGATATGAGATAGATGACAGTTCAATTAGGTCCTTAGGTTCCAGTTAGATTAAGAAATGATTGAATGGACACAAAGGGTGGTTTTATGTCAAATTGGAAAGAAGTCTTTAGCAGAGAGCTTCACAAACATGTACTAAAAAATAGAATTTTTCTTGATGACTTAAAGACATAGATGATATGCCTATCAAAATTTCAGATGACATAAATATGGGAGGGAATAGTAAACATATTAGAAAATAATCAGGAGCCAAAATTATCTTGATATACAAGGTAAGAGATATGTAGTTATTGAGCATTTTTTTTTTAAAGATAAGGACTACAAGTTCAATATGATTCAATATGGTGACCTTGGAGCCAAAATACTAATGTGATCATTACCAGAGGCATTGTCATTACCAGACAAACCCATTGTACTCTGTGCTAGGTCAGATCCATGTTCAGTATCATGTTCAGTTCTGACATACCACAGTTTAAGAAGGACTCGAGCTCGAGAATGCACAGAGTAGAGCAACCATGAGGGTAAAGCGCCTTGACATTGTGCCATATGAGGATTGATAATAAGGACTAGAAACGTTTACCTTGAAAAAGAGAACATTGGGAAAAGGGGAGGAGAAGGGAAGGAGAGCTGCTTTGAAGCATTTGAAGGGATACAACATGGAAGATCAGACTTGGTGTACTTGGTCCCAAAAAAGCAGAGTCAGAAGCAATGAGAGAAGATTGCAAAGAGGCAAGTTTAGGCTTCATGGAAGGAAATAATTTACAATTTGAGATATATAGAAATAGAATGGGCCACTTATAGGAGATAATGGATTCCTTATCACTGGAGGTCTTCATGTAGAGGCCAGAGGATCACTTGTCAAATTTGTTGTAGAGGAGATTCCTATTTAAGTATGGATAGCCTTTGGGGTTCCTTCCAAGTCTGAGGTTCTATGGAGTCAAGTCCAACTGCCTCTTGGTTCGGGTCTTCCTTGATTGGCTATTCTAGTGTTCCATAATTCTCTGTTATGAAATTCTTCTTTATATCTAACCCAAATTTCTAGTTTGTTCTGCCCTGGGTTAATATGGAAAATAACTGTTCATGAGAGTCTCATTGCTCTGCTAATGCTGAAATAACGGCTAGATTTTTTTTTTTTGTTTCTTTTTCCCTTTACATACCTGTAATGTTGTTCCTTCCCCCACCTGGTGGACCCATAGCTGACACGAATAGTACATCCACTATGTCCAACCTGGATGTGTCCTTCTTGTCATACCAGTGGCCATGGTCGATCCACTGCCTCAGGAGTTCAATGGGAGGCTGAGCCCCATATATCTCTTTGGCCGGCATGTTGAGGTCATCTGAGAAAAGCAGTTAGTCTTTAATGAGGGAGCTAGGAGTATGTTTGGGGACCTGATCCCTGCCTTCTGCTTTATGCTTACTTTCCCTATTGCCTAGGGGTGCAGAGACCCTCAGTTGAGGAATCTAATCCCAGGTGTTCCAGTATCCATTTCAAATCCTGGCCCAGTTAGTTTGCCCTTTGCACAGGCTGGGGTCAAGGAACAAGCAATTTAGTTACATGGTTATGGAAGTAGGATGAAAAGAAAAAGACCTGGGGATTTGTTCTTGACTCTCTCCTTTGGATCTCTGTAATTTTTAATGTGATTACTTAGTGTTATTAAAGGGGTTCCCTCTCCCCCCAAAAAGATGTAAATAAATGGTTATAAAAATGAATCAACTCAACCTCACTTAGTATATTGTTTTACACCTCTCTGATGTACTTATTCAGTAACATTTGGGTATTATAATTATCTGAGTTTGTGTTTTGCCCCATACAAGTTTCCATGAGGACAGATACTGTGTCTTACAAAAACTGCATTGCCCCTAGTGCCTAGCATAGTGCTGTATACACAGTGAGCACTTAATATGTCTGTTGAATGAATGCATAACACTTTGCTAGGTGCTGTGGGAGAGCCAAAATAGTATTAGACATAGCCATCACCCTCAAGAAGATTATATGTCTATTGGGGAAGACATAGAACATGCAAAAGATTTATGATTTGGTCACCATAAGGAACTCTGGTTCTAGTAACTCCCTTTACCAGTCTTTCTAAATCTTTTAAATAAGTCCTAGGAAGTTGTCTGAGGCACACGATCGTTAAATGACTTGTCCAGGGTCACATAGCTAGTAAGTATTTGAGGCAGAATTTAAACTTGGATCTTCCAGACTCCAAACCCACCACTTTATGGATATTGTCCCCAAAGGGAGGCATAAATGCATAGGATCATAGACTTAGAGTTGAAAGAGATCCTTTAGTCCAATCTCCTCATTTTATACTCTGACTTGCTCAAGATTCCACAGAAATTTTTCAACTCATAAAATAAACTCAATATGTGAAAGGTGAATGGTACATTCTACCTTGTATGACATTTCTTAATGTAATTCATATCTCCCCTATTAGATTATGACCCTTTGAAGTCAGGGACCCATGTTGTTTATTCACTTTTGTATCTCCAACACACTTACAGTGCCTTGTACATAGTAGGCACCTAAAAGTTTGTTCTAAAAGGATGGTGGGGGCAGCTAGGTGGTGCAGTAGAGAAAACACCAGCCCTGGAGTCAGGAGGACTTAAGTTCAAATCTGGCCTCAGACACATAACACTAACTAGCTGTGTCACTCTGGGCAAGTCACTTAACCCTCATTGCCTCACCAAAAAAAAAAAAAAAGAAAAAGAAAAAAGATGGTGATATCCTGCTCTCTGTATTTACTAAAGAACAAAAAATGGGTTTAAATTTCATTTTTAATATAAAGATTTTTTTTTTTAGAAAACCCTGAGGTATCACAAGACAGCAAATAATTAGTTGCTGAATGAGTACTACAGAAAATGAGACTATGCAAATGTGTAACATAAGTTCAAATTCAGTAGGAATGCACTAAAGCAGTCATTTTCCTTCTTTTTTGGTGAGGCATTTGGGGTTAAGTGACTTACCCAGGTTCACACAGCTAGTAAATGTCAAGTGTTTGAGGTCACATTTGAACTCAGGTCTTCCTGAAGCCAGTACTCTATCCACTGCACCACCTAGTTGCCCACAGTCATTTTAATTGACTAATTTATTAGGCGCTTACTGAGCATCACCTATATACAAGGTCATAGGATTATAGACCTAGAGCTAAATGAGAACTAAGAAACTATCTAGTATGTCACCCTCATTTGACAGATTGTAAATTGAGATTCAGAGAGATAAAATACTATACAGCCAGGAAGGTAGGATTTGAGCCCAGGTCTTCCAGACTGCAAGTGAAGTACTCTATCCACTACGCCATGCTGCCTCCCTGAGAGCCTCCAAATCCAACTTCCTCAATTTACAGATGAGGAAAATGAAGCCCAGAGAGGAGAAATGACCTGCCTGAGATCACAGACGTAGAAAGAGTAGAGCTGGGAGTTGAAATGAGATTCTCTGACTTTGTCTAGTATTCTTTCCACTTTATCATAGGTCTCTTATTGTTTCCTCATAACACAGAATTCACCATAAAGGAGTACTATGAAAATGGACAATCCATAATCCTTTTTTAGGAGTATGTGATGCAACTCTAAGCAGGCAAAAATTACAACTATCTTCAACAGGTAGGCATCTTGGAGCAATCTCTTTTGACACAGAGGATCCTTGCTCCTTTCCCACAGCAACATTCCCTGACTTATATGTTGTTGAGAAACACTGAAATGGTAGCAGGGACAGTAACAACCTGAATCTGTCCCATGATCATAAGCTATCAAGAGGCTGCACTAATAATAAAAGTTTTTAAAAAAAGCAATAGCTAGCATTTATATAATGCTTTAAGGTTTGTAAAGCACTTAATATATGCTTACTTTTGATCTTCACAACATGAGTTAGGTGCTATGGTTATCTTCACTTTACAAATGAGGACACTGAGATTGACAGATGTTAAATGACTTGCCCTGAGTCACACAGCTAGTAACTGTTTGAGGCTGGATTTGAACTCAGGTTTTCTTGACTCTCAGTCTTTAGTTCTATTCACTGAGTCATCTAGCTGGTTACTTCTTTGAAAAAGAGAAGGACCCTTCTTCTTAGACTGTTTTTTTCCTAAGGAAGCACTTCATTTTAAAGGAGCCTAATGAAAGAATGGAAGGAAAGAGAAGGCAGGGGAAGGCAGCCTCTCCTCAAAGAAGGGACCACTTACCCACAAATACCACAGCTTTTTTCCCCATGGGTGGGCCAAAGAGACCTTTTCTTCGCCGATCCAGCTTTGACATAATAATGTCCTGGGTCTGATTGGCTGAGGTTCTGGCAGAGAAATTGATGAAGTTGGGCAAAAACAAGTTCTTGGGCAGGTTGACCAGGAAGTTGTTTGTGATAGCTGACTTGCCAGTGCCTGTAGGACCCACAAAGAGCATGGGAATCCCATGGTTCAAGTAGACCCTCAGGAAGAAGGACTGCCGGGCTGTTTCCATGGTTGGGATGATGAGTTCAGAAACCTGTTCAGAATTCAGAGAAAAGGTAAACCTTAGTGCCAAACATAGAAAGGTTATATCTGCAGGCCCTACCAAGGGCTAGGGTTGTTGGCTTCAAAGTGAAAGAAGATTACAAAGACAGAGGTATGGAAAAGCAGGCATCTGGAGGAGTCATGTTCAGGGTTTCTAGAATAGAATCAGAAAGTGAAGAAAACTGCATGTTACATAAAATAATACTAGAATTCATATGGTACTTTAATGTCTGCAAAAGTGCTTTACAAATATTATTTCATTTTATCTTCGCGATAACCCAGGAAGTTGGTGCTAGTATTATCTCCATTTTACAGATGAGGAAACTGAAGCAGACACAGGTTACTCGACTTGCCCAGGGACATATAGCTAGTAAGTGTCTGGGGCTAGATTTGAATTCAAGTCTTCCCTGACTCCAGATATGTGCTGTATCGATGAGTCACCTAGCTGCCTCAAGTCATCATCATTGCAAACATTCACTTTCCTCCTTAGTCCTAGTGATTTTTTCCCCAAAGGGCTCAGTATACTTTCATTGATGTTATCTCCTATAACCTTTCCACTACCTCTGAGAGTTAGGAATTTTATCCTCCCCATTTTGTAGAGCTGAAAACTGGAGAAGTCAAGGAACATGCAATGAGTCAAGAGCCAAGAGAGGAAACCCGATCTCCTTCCAGCTCAGAGTACTTATTCCACTCTACAAGTGGTAATCTGTCTTTCTCAGATCATAGATTAGAGTGAGATAATTCCTTCTCTTACCTTCCCAACATCTATTCTCCCAATTGCCATTTTAGGGAGTCCATGAATTGTGATAGAAAAAATTCTAGACTGAGAATACCTAACACAGTACCTGGCACATGATAAGGGCTTATTAAAGGTTTGTTGATTGATTAAAGCTGTAACTCAATCACAGGTAACAACATACGAATCATTTCAAGAGGGCTAGAGCAGTAACAACCAAGGGGAGGCTATGTTAGGAACGGCTCCCTGTAGGATATGACATGATGAACCTTAGGAGTGGGAGGTGTGGAAATGAAGTAAGGTCCAGGCATGGGAGATGGTCTATGCAAAGGCACAGAAAGAGATGTTATTTCAAGTTTATGGAACAGCTAGTAGGCCAGTTTGCCTGGAAATGGTGAGTGCATTATAAGGGAGTAATGTGAAATGAGTCTGGAAAGTTAGGCAAGTGCCAAATTATGGTGTGATTTAAATGGAGATTGGCATGTCATAGTATAAACCCTGATGCCCAAAAAAGTCAATGCATAGATGACCTAGGGGATTCTTTGAGGTCACTCTGAGAATTGGATCTCCAGAATATGCCATCTGCTTACTGTGTCTGCTATGTGCCACACTCCTGGGTGACTGTAATGACCAACCTTCATCCCTTACAACAGATGATGACTCCCTCTGCTTGGTTGGTTGGTTGTTGTCCTTTGTTCTCAAAGAAGACCAAAATGACATCACTATATTAGAGGCAAGTTATAGTGTGTCTGACTGTGGCTGGTCAGACCAATATAAGTTTGGAAGGCTTGGACACAAATAATTCACGTGAATATTTGGGATGGATTCTCTAAATCTGTACATCTCATGTTTCTTTTGAACTACTTCAATTCTGCTTTGCTCATAGAGCACAGTACCCTCCTTGATGAGAGTACACCATGCTGGGCAATCCCGTGCCAGTATCTTCCATGTCATGCAACCAATTCCAAAGTTCTTCAGAGAAGCGTTGAGAGTGTCCCTGCTTGGTAGAAAAGTAGGAAACTACTGATACAGAACATTGCATATGTTGATTGTTGGATGCAGTCACTGTCATTTGATTTTGTTTAACTGTTTTTCTTTGTATGAGGGAGAGTTGGGATGGGGGTGAGGCTGGAGGCGTTATATCCAGGAATAATTGAATTAAAAAACAAAGGGCATTAAGAATACTTCAAAAAGTACTGTCTTCCATGATGAGACCAAGGAGATGATTTCATAATATGGAGACAAAGGTATGGTTTGGGGGGCATGGGATTTGGCATAAAGAATACTAAGAATCCACAATGAATTTAGCTTTATGTAAATTCTGGTGGCTCAGATAATTATGTGATGAGATTAAAACAAAAAACAAATGTTCAAATGTTGCCCACACATATGGAGAAAACTAGTGGGCAGTCTTCATCCAGAAAAATTTCAATGTACAAATTCAACACATACCTTTTAGGACAAAAAGGTAAATCACAGAAAATAAACCAATAGTAGGTATATATTTAAAACACATGGACCACCAGCCTCAGACACTTAACACTTACTTGCTGTGTGACCCTGGGCAAGTCACTTAACCCCAATCTCGTCACCAAAAAAAAGCAAAAAAAACAAAAAAAAAACCCCCAAAACAAACACATGGACTGGCTAGGACACACTCGCCTCCTACATAGGCAGAACTAGAGTGTATCCTAAGCAAAGAATGAATTTCAACACAATCTCATGTCCCTTTCTCTACTCCCATTCACAGTTCCAGATATCAGCATGGTACAGTGATAAAAGCACTGGTCCCAGAGGCAGAGGATCTGGGTTCAAATCCCCTTTCTGCTATTTACTACCCTGTATGACCTTCAGGCCCTCTTTGGCCCTCAGTTTCTTTATCTATAAAATGATGGGGTTAGACTAGATGGTCTCTGAGTTTCCTTCAAACTCTACATCTTTGATCCAAAATGATGGTCCTGAAGCCCTTCAAAGTCCTCAATCATCCCACAGAGATTTGGCTGTATTCACTAGACTCTGCTTACTGAGGCAGGGAAATAGACATTTTAGAAACATTTTCAAAAATGATTAAGACCAAACAAAAGTAGAATATCCTATTAAACAAAGTTCTTTCCTCCCTTTCCCTGAGTATTCTGCTTAACTAGGTCTTTACTAATGTCCATTAGGTAAAAGGAAATCATCCTCCAGGATTTTCTCTAGGAAAAAGCAGATACCTCTTTGGCTGGATTGATTTTAATATAGCGTTGCTACAGGGATGTACCTCTTGAAGGTCCCTCCCAGCCAAAATGATTCTATGAGGTACAGAGAAAATACTTAATTATGCTGATATATAGTTGCTGATATAACACTGAGATTGCCACATGAGATTATCTGTTCATCTTGAAAGATTTTTCCGAAATCTCATCTCTCATGAAGATTAGCTCCCCTCTTACCTTCGCAGTAGCTGGGATTATCTGCTCTTCCTTGGTGATGTAGTCTGTCCACAAATTCCACTGTCCACTGCCATGCTTAAGGAAATAAAAGTCATAGATGCTCCCTAGGCCAAAGAAGTAGAGAAGACCATAAGGATCAAAGTGTACATTCATCTTCTCTAACTCCCTTGCTTAATAGAAGCCATGAGAACTGCCTTGGAGTCAATAGGTAAAGGTTTGATTTCTAGTTCTGCTATTTATTACATGCACGATACCCTGGACTGGTCACTACCTCCCAGGGCCTCTTCTTCCTCTGGACAAGGGAAGGGAGGGGCTAGACCAGTGGTGTCAAACTCAAGTAGAAATGGGGGCCACAAAGCCATACATAAAGATCTCTGTACCCAGTATACTGACTTAGAAAATCACATGTTTACATATTTCTTTTTTTATTAATTTATTTGTTAAATATTTCCCATTTACATTTCAATCTGGTTCAGGCTGCACTCAGGACTACTATGGGCCACATAACACCTGCAGGTGATTGACACCTCTGGGCTAAGTACACCCAAGGTCCCTTTCAGCTCTAGATTCTGTGATAAAACCCCATGGGAGCTTAAAAGGGACTCATTCTCTTGTATTTACTAATGAAGAAACAAACCCATCTAGGGCTTATTAGGGGAACCCACTGGTCAAAAAGAATAGAGCTGACTTTATACGGGGGATGTGGAGGTGTCTTCTGTACTGTGCCACCGGACCAGCCACTGATCCATTAGGACTGCAATCGTTCATCCCTCTTGGGTTGTGTGTCCATCCTAGCACCTAGAGGAGAGGTTCTTTACCTGGGGTCTAGGACCCTCAAGGATAGATTACAGGGGGTCTGTGAACTTGAATGGCAAAAAAATTATATCTTATCTTTATTTCAATATAATTGACTTCCTTTGTAACCTATGTATTTCATTTTACATATTTAAAAACCATCTGAGAAAGGGTCCATAAGCTTCATCAGACTTCTAGAGGGGTCCATGATGAAAGAAGGTTAAATACTTCTAGCCTAGGTAATTTTTAAAAAAGCAACCAGACGTACAACCTCAAGACCTAAAAACATTGCTTACCCTTCCCCTGTAGAGAGAAGTAAGAATCATCAGAGGAGATGATAAATCAGTGGCCTAAAATCACAAACAAATCCTTGGCAGGTGAGAAAAACCAAGGTCAGCTCTTGTTCAACAAGTGGTTCTACGGCTATTCAAAGTTCCAAAGCATAAGATACAGCAGGCTCTGTAGAGTGACTGCACATTTTGCCCCAGCAAAATTTATCAGTGCCCCACATCAGCGTGGGGACCCCAAATGGGAGACTGTGTGGGCTAATGAGTATCTAATCTTGAAGGTATTCAGTTGCAGTTCCAGTGACATCTCTGCATGTCCCAATTCTTCACCATTTCTCCTTGCATTTGGCAGAAGCATTTCATAAAGTAGCTCTCAAATCTGATCTCATGACAGACCCAGAAACCAACTCTATTTGAGGTCAGGTCAGATCCTTCACCCTAAGAATATCTGTTGGAGGGATCTAGAAAAAGAGCCTTGGTTATCCTTGGTTTCCATTTCATTTTATCCCATCAGTTTTTTTTCCCCATGTAGGGCTGTCACACAGAGGAGATACCACCCTTTAGCATGAAATCTTCTCCCTCCACCTACTTTGTGATTATTATACTTATTGTACTTTACTTTTTTATATATCCTGGAACCTCCATCGGAGCCTTGTTCCCTTGGCACACAGGGTCCAAACTAGAAGAGAGCAATAAACTAGTTACCTTTTTCTGGGAATATGTTGTTTTTGGTGATTCTGACGCTTTTGGGACGAGGGCTGGAGTCATCTGTGCCCATCAGAAGGTTGCGGAAAAAAACATCAAATTTCTTTCTGCTCTCCGCATTGATAGTTCCTGCCACTGTCCACACCAGAGAAAAGAGGAAGAGGCCTTGAAGCCAGAGGAATATCTGCTGGCTTGTCAAGTTTTCTCCTTCATAGTCTGGGTCATTCACGTCTCTGATTTCATCTAAAAAAGAACAGCCCAGAACTTTAGAACCATTATTGGCACCACAAACCTGTCTGTCCCTTAACATTCCTGAAAGTCATGAGAGGATTGAGAGCTGAAGAAAGTGACCAAAACCAGAAGTCTGAGGCTCTGGGAGATCAGGGTTTCTGGGAAAAGGAGTAGGCTTTGTCAACATGGAGAAGTAGGCAAAGTTCTTTTTCCTTCCCCCTTAATCCTCTTCCTCCTTTTTGCTGTTTTCCCCTTTAAAGTTCTGAGCTACTTCTCAGTTCTCCTCCATCTCCTTTCCCCTCTCCACTTCTATTACACTCTCTAGATGAGCAGCCCTTGCCAGGGCACTGCCCTGATCAGGGTCTTTTTGCCTGAAACCTTTGTGCTGAGATATTAATCAATAATAATGGCTTACTGCTTAATTTTTTTTTGTTTCACCTTTTTTTTTTTTTGAACATCATAGGCCTGAATTAAATGTATGCAGAGCCAAACTGACATTTTGATAGGGGCCTTCAGTGACTGAAGTCAAAGGAGTAACAAATGGTGAAATTTGGGGACTATGGGGGAGGAACTTTTGAATACAGGGGAACAGCGTTTACCTCTGTCACGCTTTCTTGGTGTCATCTATGCCTAAACCTTTGGACATTTATATCTATGGATTTGGGAAGGGAATGGAAGAGCTAGTTTTCAGCATATTCTTCTCAAGGTGAAAAGTGGCAGCAGAAAGAGTTTAGCTTGAGGAGTGATTACTTATATATAGGCATCCCTTATTTTACACAAGGAGTGTGTTCTTGAAAGTAGTGTGTATACTGAGGTTTTTTGGTTTTGTTTTTGTTTTTTTGGGGGAGGCAGTAGGGATTAAGTGACTTGCCTAGGGTCACACAGCTAGTAAGTGTCAAGTGCCTGAGGCCACATTTGAACTCAGGTCCTCCTGACTCCAAGGCTGGAACTCTATCTACTGTGCCACCTAGCTGCTCTGGTATACTGAGTTTTTAAAATTGAATCACATTTGACTAAATGAAATACACAGTTTCAACTCAACAGCTCAGCATTTTGGATTTGTCAGTCTTTTTGCTCTAAAATAGCTTGAAAAGTTGACTAATTTAAGAAAATTTTGAAGACTAGACACCATCAAGACATTAACTCAAATTTGACTTGTGCTCCAGTCCACAATCTTGAGACAAAATGGCAACCAATAAAACTTTTCAAATGAATATATATCTTCTGTCCACTAAAGTCCTACTCTGATGCCTCTTCATGGAGTAATGACCCTGGGTTCTTGAAGGCTATATCCATGGAATGCCAAATCTGGCAGGTCCTGTCAAAATGGAAAGATCTAGAAGACAACTCTAACAACAGCCCATCATCCAAAGACCAGCATAGCTAAACTCAGAGAGGCTCATTTTCAAATAGGTCATAGGGTGATGAATTTTTCCAACACAACAATTCATGAAGACCATCAACTAAAACCTAGAGAAATTTCAGTTTGTGTTAGTGGATAAAATCAGACCAATAAAATCACAGATCCCTACAGTAGTGATGTAACTGTGTTAAGTTACTTTATCAGATTTCAATGGACTGAATGAGGTTTACAGATTAAGGAAGCACTTGTTTAAATGCATTAGAGGGGCTCCTTACTTAAAAGTTCCTAGGACTAATCTAATCCTTTTGTAATTTAAATAATCACACCTTATTTATCCTTTCCATGAATCTGGGCTTTTTTGAATAGCAGTAAGCTTTCATAAAATAAGCATGTCTATACTTCACATTTATCCAGTCTTTGTTTTTAAAGCTTTTTCATATTTAGCATTTCATTTTATCCCCTCAATATCTATTTGATCTAATGGTGTTCATGAGGAAACTTGAGGCCTGACTGGAAATGTTGTATGTCTTGCCCCAAATCACCTAGGATGTTGAAGGCTGAACCCAGATTAAAATTATGGCACAATGATTGATTTATAATCTTTGTTAGAAAAGATGGCTTGCTGGCTAAGAGAGTAGGGAAGAATATATTTAGAAACAAAGGTGATAAACACAGATAGTGAACCTATACACAGATGAACCTTCCTGACTTCAGGCCCTATACCCTGTACACTGTACCACCTAGCTGCCCATTCTTCCTACTTTTCAATGCCCCAAATATCAATGAAATAAGGTTTTTTGTTTGTTGGTTTGTTTAAAGAAAAACCCTAATACAATTTACTAGTATAAATTACATTGTCTATGATTTGGCTTTTTATCTGCAGTATCTTAAGAGTCTCTAAGCTATTTCTCAGGAAAAGGGTGGAGGGGGTGGGGTATAGCAGAAATACCAGACCACTCTTTATTTGCCTTAAGGAATGAGACCAACATTTACCAAACAGACAGTTGTATAGCTTCATCATGGAGTAGGCAAGATGGATGGGTGATGTCTGGACCATACATTTACAATGGTGATGGATAAAGTCTAAGGAGGGCTGGACTAGCCACAAGAACATGTCATTAACCTGAAAATTTAAATTCATATAATTAGAAGATGTTAACAAAGACTGGATTTTTCTGAAGATGGTCAAATCTCCTGGAATACTCTGCTCTTCCCTTGAAGGAGAAGCCAGCAATAATTCAGGAAGTTTTTGACTTATGAACTTTACGCTGGTTAAATACCCATAACTATGAATGACTATACCCAGCTAGCACCTTACCATGGGACTTCTCCCCACTCCACAGTGCTATAGAAAGCTTCCATGACCTTAAGACCAGCTCCCTTTCCCCTATCTCCCAATCTCCCTTTATAGCTCTGTCTTCTCCTTCCATTGTCTAAGAAGGATTTGGAACTGGGGTAGTAGAAGGCTTCTAGGCCCAAGGTTCAGAGCTCTTATTAGTTCTAAAGTACATCTATCTTATGAGCTAAACAAATATTTATGGGCTATCCCAAGAACCTTTTATAGCACCATTGTAGCAGAAATTCTTAAATTTTTTGTGTTGGGGGCAGCTAGGTGGCGAAGTGGATAGAGCACTGGTTCTGGAGTCAGGACAACCTGAGTTTGAATCTGGGTCTCAGACCAGACACTTGACACTTACTAGCTGTGTGATCCTAGGCAAGTCACTTAACCCCAATTGCCTCAAATCCTCCCAAAAAATTGTGTCCTTGGTCCTTTGGCAGTCTGATGAAGCCTGTGGATCTCTTTTAAGAGGAGTGTTTTTAAATGCATAAAATAAAATACTAGGATTGTGAAAGTGGGTAAATCAAGAAATTATTAAGTACCTACTATGTTCCAGGCATTGTGCTATGTACTGGGGATACAAAAGAGACAAGGAAACAATTATATTGAAATGTAATTATCAAAATAAAAAAAAAAGTTCACAACTCCCAGATTAAGAACCCCTGATTCATAGTATTGTGTCTATGGAAAAATCAATTAATCAATCAATAAATATTTAAAATAAGCACTTGCTATGTACCACCCCCATGCCAGGCATTGGAGATACAATAACAAAAGCAAAAGCAATCCCTGTCCCATGTTCCAAATTCCCAACAACCAATAAAAAATGAAGTCATGAAATGCAGCTTCTGTAGAAGGCTGGCTGAGTGACACATTTGTGGAAATATACAACCTGGATGCTCTTCAGTACCATTTAATGGCATTTCAAATGAATTTTGGTTGGTTTGATGAAAATAGGGGAACTTTTTCCCACTTACTGTTGTTGTTTTCAGGTGTCAAGAGCCTTCAGCTTATGCTCCCCAGACCTGCACTGGGGACCATGTATGTGATCCTGGCCAGAGTCTAAGTATCTGAGAGAGCAAAAGCTTAGTCCAGAGCTGAAAACTTTGGAAGAATGAAACTAACAGAATGGAAGCTCCTTGAAGGCAAGGTCTGGTTTTGTTTGTTTGTTTGGTTAGTTGGTTGGGAGTTTGCTTTTTTTGTCTCTGCGTCTAGCTCAATACATTGTAATGGTAGCTAGCATCCCAAAGTAATATATATTCACATTTATTTATCTATTCATTCATTCATTCGTTTGTTTGCTTGTTTTCATTCAATCCTCACAATCTACCTTATGAGGTAGGTGTTGTTTTTATCCCCATTTTACAGATAAGGAAACTGAGGCTGACAGAAGTTAAGTGACTTGTCCAGGGCAGGTAAGGCTTGTAAGTATCTGAGACAGGATTTGGGATGTTCCAGTAGAGATTTTAGTGAAGGGGAACTAGAGATCTTACCAGTTCAGTGTGCTCTTCAGTGAGGTTGGGGGGCAGTGTTTCCATGTATGAGTCCTTCAAGGGCTTCCAGCCCAGTTGGTGCGGTTCCATGTAGATCATCCCACATCTGCCAAGCATAAACAGAGCATCACCCAGTCCAGGGGTGGGGAACCTGCAGCCTCAAGGCCACATGTGGTCTTCTGGGGCCTTGGGTGTGGCCTTTTGACTGAGTCCAAGTTTTATAGAACAAATCCTTTTATTAAGGTGATTTGTTCTGTGAAGTTTGAATTCAGTCAAAGGGCCGCACTTGAGGACCTAGAGGGCCACATGTGGCCTCGAGGCCGCAGGTTCCCCACCTCTGACCTAATCAGTCATGTACTACCTAACAGCGCTGAGTCCCATTCCATTGGCTGTCCCATTGGTAGCCCCAGAGGATATGTGGAAGAGGGCTTGCCTAGAGTTAGAAATAGAAAGGAGCAGTTCCAGAGGTGGGGAAGGAGGAGAGAAGACCAATAATATAGATAATCAATCACTAGATTTGGAAGAAAAGGTTAATGGCTTTTTCTGTGAACTATCAGCTGTTGATTTTCTGTAGCAAGTTTTTAATCCTAGCACATCTGGTCTGCCTTCTCACCACCATTTGCTATTGTTCATTCTGGGAATACAGACTAATTTTAAGATTCACCAAAGCAAAATATAATTAGGAAGGTAAGCTGCTGGCGGGGATAAGGAACATATCAGATAATTCACTCCAAGGCCATTAATTTTTGGGTTATCTGCTATTTGAGATTAACCAATACCAAGGACAAGTTATTTATGTACTCTAGGCAAGGCTTGAAAATTATGCTCTCTGTACATTACTGTCCACCACAAGCTTATAGCTTTTGCTGTAATACATGCAATTTGACATCATAAAATAAAAAGTATATGCCTTGGAAGGGAGAATTTTCTCATGTGCATTTATATAAAAATAACTTTGTAGCATGAATATTAAACCTTCCCCCTTCTTTCTGTTGTGCCCTTTGAGGCTGCCTCACTTGCCCACCCCAGTCCCAGCTTTGGATTAATGTTCCATTAGTTGATCAACTACCTGCTGACGGTGGCTGGGGAGGCCTGCTCTAAATCTGCTGGCTCGAAGATCAGACTCATCTTGTCATTCATCTGGATGATCTCTCCACTCATTAAACACAGCTGGAAGTGCAAGGGAGGGGAGGCAGAAGGGATGAAGGATAATTAAAAAAGGAGAAGAAGAAGAAGAAGGGGTTAAGTTCTGTTTTACCATTTGTAAAGGTTCTGGGAAAAGTCAGTCCACATCCCTGCAAAACAGTTTAGAAACACAGCCACTTGCATGCTTGACAAAGACGTCTGAAGCACTGTAATACAGATTTTGGCCACTCATGCCAGCATTCCAACAGCTGGCCTTCTCCCTCTGCCCTCACTTGGCACTTTCTTGTATATTGGTTTGTTTTATTCGAATTATTTCATGTACATAGGTTTTATCTCTCTCCCAAAAGACTACACTATTTCTTGATGGCAAGGAACATGTCACATACTCTTTTAGTATCACTATCAGCATTTAGTAAAACCCTAGGCCTATCATTCTACTCTCATTTATTAAACTCCTACTATGTGCCAGACTAGACATTGGCATACAAAGACAAAAGTGAAACAGTTGCTTACCTCAAGAAGCTTATATTCTGTGGGGTCGGGGTGGGGAGAGAACATGACCACAGCCAAGTACAGGGTGTCCCAAAAGTCTTTTGTGGTTGTTCTTGTTGTTTTGTCACGTCTGACCCTTCATGACCCTGTGGACCATACTGTACGGGCTGTTTTCTTGGCTAAGATACTGGAGTGATTTGCCATTTCCTTCTCCAGTAGATTAAAGCAAACAGGTTAAGTGACTTGCCCAGAGCTCAGGTCTTCCTGACTCTAGACCCAGTGCTCTATCCACCTTGCCATCTAGTTGTAGCTTAAAAATTCACTAAGACTTTTGGGACAGCTTGTATAGATAAAGTCAGTCTATATAAACAAAACATATGCAAAATAAATGCATGGTAATTTTGGAGGGAAGTACTAGCAGTTTAGAGAATCCGGAAAGGCCTCATTGTAGGAGGGGACGTTTAAGCTGAACTTTGAAGGAAACTAGGGATTGACAGAGGGAGAACAGAAGGAGTGCACCCTAGGCATGGAGCCTGGGGATAGAATGTCTTGAGTGAAGGGAAGCCTGAAGGCCAGTTTGGCTGGACTGAAGAGTACAAGAAGGGAATGATGTTTTAAGTCTGGAAAACCAAGTTGCAGCCAGGTTGTGAAAGGCTTTAAATGCACATAGAATAATTGCTCAATAAGGATTTGTGGAGTGGAATTTGAGTGACTGACACCCTTTCTGGTGCCTGCTCATAAAGCATAAATTATTACTGCCCAAAGTATGTGTGAGAGTGGGCTTTTAGGTAGAATCTCATGAAGGGCAAACAGAGGTGTGCCTCTTCCCAAGTACAACATGGCCAAGATGAGACATGGGTTCACATTGTGGTGGATTCTTTCCATACTCCTTAACAATCCAAGTCTGACTTGTGTAACTGAAGGTGAGACTGAAACTTCTATGGACTCACTGTTCTCCACACCTATAAATTGAGGGCTCCTTTCTAGCACTAACATCCTATGGATTAAACATCATTCATTCAGTTATGAGGCAACACTACCATATAGACCTCATTAAGACTGTTCTGCTCACTATAATTTGGGAATAAAAAGTGGGTAGCTAGGTGAAGTAAAAGAGAGAGTGCTGGGTCCGTAGTCAGGAAGACCTGAGCTCAAATCTGGCCCCAGACACTTACAAGCTATGTAACCCCCTGGCAAGTCATTTCATTTCTGTTTGCCTCTGTTTTCCTCATCTGTAAAATAGGGGTAATAATAGGTATCTCCCAAGGTTGATGTGAGGATCAAATGAGATGATCATTGTAAAGCACTTAACACAATGCCTGGCTATATTAAGTGCTATATAAGTGTTAGCTATCATTCATTCAGTTATGAGGCAATACTACTATTCAGCCTTAACTAAGACTGTTCTGCTTATTGTAATTTGGGAATAAAAAGGTGCCCTGTGGAAGAAACTTGGAGCAGTCATTCCGAAGATATGAAAGTATACTATGAAGGAAAACTAGGGATCAGATTTGAATTATAAAAAGAAGATACAAAACCCCATGTACATATATGTACACATACATATATGCACCATGAAGAAAATGATGTGTAAGTGTATTGCTATACAGAAGAACATTGAAGAATGTGTTATTGGTAATCAGAAAACAGCAATATTGAATTGGCTGATCATCACTCATTGGTGTGTAGAGTAAGCTCCTTCATAAGACAGTAGGAACTGTATTGTTCTGGTCTATGTTTCTTCAGCCCCTAACATAGTGCCTTGAACACAGTAGGGACTTAATAAGTTGAAGCTTGTTGAATTGAATTGATTTCAACTGTAGTGGAAACAATACTGGCCTGGGAGCTAAGAGAACTGTTTTCTATTACTAGTCCTGATGCTAACTGTTAGCGTGCCACTGAACACTCCGAGGCCAGTTTACTCATTCTTAAAATGAGGGATATGGATTATCAGTGTACCTGAGATCCTTTTGAGCTAAAACATTCTGTAGATTTATGATTCACTCTCACATGCCTTATACCAAAGTTCTCCACATCACTGAATAGATATGCATGTGGTATAAATCATAACTCTTGTTGAACAAACACAAATAAATCAATTTTATTGTGTCATCTCTAGATACTTGGGCTAATAAAATAGATGTGACTGTGTTCCAATATTTTGGCTAATGTTCTCAAGCAGGGAAGGACAATTAGGACATTTACTAACTGTTATTTACATTTCTTTTCTCAATTGTAAGCTGACATTCGTTACAGTAAGGCCTTCTGCTTTGATCAGAGGTTTCCACACATAATTGCATTTTCTGAACCTGATTCACAGGAGGCAAATATCAGCCTTTAAAGGCCTAGGCCCAGCACAGCCACAGCTGCAGCATAGATTTCCAGAAGTTGGGGCCAGCCTAGACAGGGTATGCACGAGAGCAGAAAGTATGCAGTAAAACATTGAACAAATAGCTATTGCCTACCAGCAGTTGCAGTCTCCCTCAAGGTGCCATTTCACTCACTCCCCCTTGAAATATACCTGGGAACCCAGCCTGAATGTGGTTTTGATTCCTTGACTTCCCCAGCTTATCTTGCTTCTACAGACTGCCTTTCAAATACCTGGCTTTGAGCTTATCTACCTCAATGAAGCCCACAAACCATGTCTAACATTACTAGACCCTGGGACAGCAGCTATCATCCATATGTGGCATAAAAGACAGATGCACTATAATCAAGACAGAAACTCCTACTTTTAAAATGGTTAGCTTAGAGAACAGACATGCAAACAGAAGTATAATTCACTAATTTCCTTATTGTTCTTACCCCCTGTGAGCATTAGCTTTTTTTGTTTTTGGAGGGTGGGCATTAACTTTTAGTGTGACCAGTGTATAATATACAAAAGTATATCATTCACACCAATCAAGAAGATTTAATTTCCCAATAAGATTAAAGTGTTAACAGTTATAAGAACTACCTTCTTATTGTCATCCAGCACAGTGTTCATATTTTCAATCCAAACGGCATCCACTGGGCCATCAAATATAATCCACTTCCGGTCATCAGTCACTGATGCTGCTTGCTCTCGAAAGGAGGTGGCGAGGACCCCATCAGTCCACTCATGACTCACTGGGTCAAAGCAACCATACAGCTGACCCATAGTGATGGCTTTAGGATTGATGATTTTGTACTCAACAGCAAACTCATCTCCTTGATTGGCTGGGCAAGGAGAGAAATTACAAAATCAATGATTTTTGATGAAATTAGGACATTAGCAATGAAACTATGCTCCATTATCAACATCTGTCACATTTATTTAATGTTCTGCTTGTTTACACAGAATCTACTTAGATCTTTGTATACTTTCATTGTATGCTCTCAAAGCCCATTGGATTTTGATAAATCTCCGTAAACACCCCGAAAAAAACAGGTACCATTCATGCCTTCCTTTACTTAATGCAGAATGTAGAAACTAGGGCATTAGGATGAGACATAACCTTAAATAGGAATCCTAGCTATCCTCTTGCTCTAGGCCCTAAGCTTTCTCTTCAAGGCTTAACAAAACCAGAAAAATCAGGTCTATGGGTTTAGGGTAGCATTGTGTTGCAATGGAAAGAACCCTAGATTAGGAATCACAGGATTAGGATTCAAATACCAGGTCTACTATTTATTAACCTGTGTGCAAATCAATTTATCCATCTAGGCCTCTGTTTCATCTATAAAATGAAGGGGTTAGATTAGATGAACTCTCAGGGTCCTTCTAACTCCAAATCTAGGAAACCAGAATGGGTCAAATGGTGTAATTAAAAGATTATTGGATTTAGAATTGGAAAACCTGGGTTCAAGTACTAGCTCTATAATTTATCAGTTATATGACTTTGGGCAAATCACTTTCTCTTTGAAGGCTTCCATTCTCTCAACTTGTGAGAGTGAAGGGAAACACAAAGATGATGTTTAGAGTCTCTCTCAGCTCTCGCATTCTATGAGTCTAAATTGTTCAGAAGGAACTCCCCCTCCCCCCAAAAAAAAAACCACAGGCAATACTCATTTGAACATGTCAAGGATGTGTAATTGCATCGGGGGCAACACCTTCCACCAATGCAGATCACAACCTTTCTACAACTTAATAGATGACCTTTTTTTTTTTTTAATAGATGACCGTTGAGGGTTGTTGTGGCCCCCAAACTCATTAACATGAAGATGGGCCTCTTCCAATGGACTGGATGACAGGCATACTGTCCATCACCAAGTCATGCTTATAGCAATTTCCATCCAGGCCAGAGCTTATGTTCCATTTGCATGGAGTTCTCAAATGCAGGGTCATCTCTATGCCAAGATCATAGAATCACAGGGCTAGACCTTTCAAGGGCCTCAGATGTCATCTAGTTCAACCTCTCTCATTTTTACAGATGAGGAATTTGAAACCCAGAAGGATAAGACTTGCCCAAGGTCACAAAAGTAGAAATCATCCCAGGCAAAATTTGAATCCAAATCTTCTGACCCCAGCATCAGCACTTTTCCCAGTGGACCAAGAAGAAATTTTATGAGGAAGAATTTTAGTGGAGAATAATTTAAGAAAGATTAGGAATACGACCCAGGGCTTGAGTCTTTGAGTATTCCGTCCTTTGATGCTTACAAGGTCATAATGTTAACGCTAGTTGAGTGATACAACAGTATGTATTTGCATTTGTATAGTCCTTTGAAGTTATAAAGTACTCTACTTGAATTATCTCATCTCTCAAAATTCTTGCAAAGCCTACTTTGCAGGGCGATTGAGAGGAAACTTTAAACTGTAACATAGTAATAGTTCACATTTGTACTGTTCAGTCATTTCAGTCGTGTCCTACTCTTTGTGACCCCATTTTCTTAGCAAAGAGACTAGAGTGGTTTGCCATTTTCTTCTCCAGCTCATTTTTACAGATGAGGAACTGAACCAAACAGGGTTAAGTGACTTGCCCAGGGTCACCCACCAATAAGTCTGAAATCAGATTCTAAGTCAGGTCTTCCTGACTCTATCCACTGCTGCCACCTAGCTACCCTACATTGACTCTTTAAGACTGACCAAAGTGCTCTCCTCACAGCAATCCTATCAATCAATCAACAAGCATTTATTAAGCACCCACTATGTGTCAGGAACTGTGTTAGGCACTGAAGATACAAAGACAAAAATTAAAATAGTCCAAGCTCTCAAGGTGTAGTGTAAATATTATATTATCTCATTTTAAGTCTAAGGAAATGGTCTGAGAGACACTTCCCTGCCATCATAAAGCTAGTATAAATGTGAGTTATTATTACTGCACAGTCCTCCTCAATTTAGAGCTTAAAGGGATTCATCTAATCCAACCTCCTCTGCTTACAGAGCAGGAAACTGAGGCTCATGTGACTTACTAATTGTCACTCACCTAGAGAGTAGCAGATCTATGACTTGAAACTAAGTATATCTCCAAGTAAGAGGGAAGGGTAAGGGGAAGTGAAAGGAAGGGGAAGAGAAAACAAAGGAGGGAAACAAAAGAGAAGAGAGAGGAAGCAAAGAGGAGAGAAAAAGAGGAGGTGGGGGAGGGATAGAATAGGGAAAGGCAGAAGGAAAGGAAGGGAGGGCAGGGGAGGAGAAAGCAGAGAAGAGAGGAAAGAGAAGAGGAAGAGAAGAGGAAAAGAGAAGGTAAGGAAAGGGGAGAAGAGAGGAAGGGCAGGGGAATAAAAGGGAAAGGGAGGAAGAAGGGAAGGGGGAGGGGAGGAGATGGGAAAGAAAGGAGGGGGAGGGAGATGGAGAGAGGAAGAAGAAGGGGAAATAAAAATGACCTATTTTTTTTAAATCAAACTATTTGCTTTTATAACATTTCTATTTAGGTTAATTGCTTTAATTGAAAGTGGTTTCTCCCACACCCAAACTCGAAGGCTTCCTGTAAACCCTCTCTCCATCTGTGAGCTAGCCTGGGTTTAATGACACCACAAGCAGTTTTCCTGTGCCATCATGGAATTCTACTCAAGATAACAAGGATTTTTTTTTTGCCCACAGAGGAAAGCCTGCACGCTGTTCTATTTCTGGCTACTACACAGGAATCCAATGACAGCAAAAGTAACACCCCAACACTATCTCTCCAAAGCCAATTTGTGGAGTGAAATTAATTCTTCTTAAAGCTATAGGGCTTTCATCTTTACCTGCATGCATATCACCCAGAGCTGCAGCCAGGACTTTGTAAGCACAGGTCTTCCCACCCAAGGGGTCTCCAACAATCATGTAACCGTGCCTCACCAGCATCATCTCATAAATCTAAGAAAGCAACATCAGATGAGGAATTACAGCAAATTCCCTTCAAAACTCAAGTTTGGGCATTTGATTAATGACACATTATGAGTTAGATGCCCAGGTATTTTATTATTCCCATTTTCCTAATAAGGCTGGGAGAGTTTAAGTGACTAGACTGGGGTCTCAGTAAGTGTGTGAGGCAAGATCTAAATCCAAGTTATCCAGACTCTAGGTGCATCACACCATTCACTATATCATAGTCTTTCTCTAGGGGTATGGGTCAAAAGTGAATGTGTCCCCACCTATTTACCTCTGAACCCCAATTTGTGATTCTGACCTATTTTTAATTTCAGTTTACAGCCATTATAAATATATGTCAAGAATTCTTCAGCCAGCTGTCTAGCATGAATATATAAATTCACAAATTGTGTTTCTGCTCAATCTTCTGTTCCCAAGGCTAATAGGTTACAGTCTTTTGCTTTGACTGGCACTGATAGAACAGGGTTTTACTGAGCATGGCTCTCTAATTGCACAATTCAAATACGTTTTAATATAATGGGGTTAAAATCAAGGCACAAATCTTCACTTAAATAATGGATTATGGAACTAGAAGATTAAACAGAAAGACAATTCTTGAATTTTCCATTTGTTCTTCCTTCACCGAATACATTAATCCATATTTGGTCTCTTGTGGTGGGATGTATATTTTTAATGTTTTTATCATTAAAATTGTTCAATCTTGCGAATTTTCTATTAGATTATGAATTTCTCAAAAACAGTACATCTTTCTTTTCTCTTTCTCCTTCTCCTGCTCCTATTCTTCTCTCTCTCTCTCTCTCTCTCCCCCTCCCTCCCTCTCACCCACACACACAGAAACACACATTCATCTTGGGTTTTTGGTTTATATAGAGTGTCCCAAAAGTCCTAGTGCAATTTTAAACTTAAAATTGCACTAGGACTTTTGGGACAACCAGTATAATGAATTGATTGAATATTCAATCAATGATACTAACTTCAGAGCAGAGGAACACAGCCAATGGCAATCCACCAGCCTGCCCAAAGGGAGATAATCAAGAATGAATGACATCTACTTTCTATCTGCATAGTCATACTACATTTCTAGATTTCTGTTCTAGCATCCATTTTGGATCATTTTGGTTACCTACTGGGAGGCAGCCCAAAAGATAACAAAAATAATAATAGCAAGTATTTATATATTGATGTAAAATTTACAAAGCACTTTACATACATTAACTCATTTTATGCTATTATTATCCCCATTTTACAGATCAGAAAACTGAAACTGAGAGGTTAAGTGACTTGCCCAATATTTTGTAAATGTTTGAAACAGGATTCAAACTCAGATCTTCCTGACTCCAGGTCCAAAGCTCTACCAAATCAAGTGGCCAAGTGAAAAATACCATGCATGAATCAGTAGCGTTCCAAGTATCACTCATATTCTTGCAAAGGGAGTTTTTGCCATGCTACAGCAATGACTGAAAACTTAGGAGCTTCCCTAACACTATTTGCTAGAGATGGTGTTTATTATAAGGTGTGAGATAAGAGTCAGGAAATCCAGGTTTTCCTTTTGTCTCTGCTTACCAATAATTGACTATGTGGCTTTGGATAAGTCATTTCAACCTTGATTTCCTCATCTGTAAAGTCAAGGGACTGGACTAGATACAGGTCTCTTTCTGCTCTAAAACTCTATGATTTTTTGAGGTGGGTTCATCTGAGACCTATCTCAACAGAGTATCCAAAAGACTGTAGTTTCACCTAGAGGAAATAATTTCACCTTTGAAGCAGCATAGCACAACAGATAATGCAGAGAACTTAGAGTCAGGAAGGCATGGGTTCAAATCCTGCTTCTGACACTTATTAGCTGTGTAACTCTGGGCATGTCACTCAATTTCTCTAAGTCTCAATAAAATGAGGGGGTTTCAGCTTTAAATTAATAATCCAATAACAATGTTAAGGCATGGATTTAGAGAAAGACATGATCACAAAGTACCAATATATTAACTAATTCATCTTCTTGTTGTTGTTCAGTCATTCCAGTTGTGTCTGTCTCTGTGACTCCATTTTTGGGGTTTTCTTTCTTTTTTTTTTAAGGCAAGTGGGGTTAAGTGATCACACAGCCAGTAAGTATCAAGTGTTTTGTCTGAGGTCACATTTGAACTCAGGTCCTCCTGACTTCAGGGCTGGTGCTCTATCCACTGCGCCATCTAGCTGCTCCTATTTTGGGGGTTTTCTTGACAAAGATACTAGAGTGGTTTGCCATTTCCATCTCCAGTTCATTTTACAGATGAGAAACTGAGACAAACAGGGTTCAGTGATTTGTCCAGGGTCACATAGCTAGTGTCTGAGGTCAGATTTGAATTCATGAAGGTGAGTCTTCTTGATTCCAAGCCCAGTGCTCTATCCACTGTGCCATTTGCCAAATTCTTGCATCCCATGCTCAAGATAGATTCTTAGTTCTCACATTAGAAACATAATTCATAGGAGGCTGTCATAAAGAAACTGAAGGAGAGCTTAAATTTGAGCTCTTAGCAACAAAATTGGATGGCATCCTGGATTGCTGAATGATTTTTTTTTTTTCACTTCTGTCTCAGTGTAGGTGCCTCTAATTGCAGTGGTTTTCAAGATGCCTGATGAAATCTTTCTGAATCCCTAGCCTTAGCTTAGTAATTTAAAGTTATTTTGAGATGATCTTGAATGAAAGAAGATGATGGCTGAGACTCACAAGTAAGACAGCTACCTTCCCATGGGCATATGACAAACCAACCTGGATAATCTTTCCGATAAACCATGGTACTGATTGCAGTTTCATCTTTTTGATGTTTTCATTTAGTGCTTCAATGAAAAGCTCATAGTCTGGCTTAGGAAGAATGACTCCTGGGAACAAATCCGATATGATCCCCTGTTAACATAAAATAGAGAAGACTATTGAGAGCCTGGAGAAATTCAATTCGATAAACATTTATCAAGCATCTAAGTGCAAGGCACTGAACTGGGGATTCAAAGATTAAAAAATAAAAAAAGGCACAGTCCCTGCTCTCAAGTTTACAATTCAACAAGCATTTATCAAAAATCTAATAAGTACAGGCCTTAGAGCAAGATTTCTTAACCTGGAGTCTATGAACTTAAAAAATTTTTTTTGATAACTGTATTTCAACACAATTGGTTTTCTTTGTAATGTATTCTATTTTATGCATTTAAAAATATTCTTCCAAGAAGGGGTCTGTAGGCTTCATCTGTGGGTGCTAAAGCCAGCTCCAACTGGACTCTAGTGAATTAACTTTTCAGGGGAAGCATTTACATCTCAGAATTTGGCCAATGCTAAAAATCAGAGCTTAATTTATTATTTTGTTGATAGTCTAGTCTTAAGAAAGCAATAAAGAAAATGTTAATAATGTAAATTAAACTTTTTTCCAAAGAGCTGGTTGTTAAACATTTACCAGCAAACCCCTAGTTTTATGAAATTACCCAGGGGGTTCATAACACAAACAAGTATAAGAACCCCCCTGCCTTCAAGAGTTCCTTAGGGCACTAAAAGGCTAAGTGATTTGCCCAGGTCAAGTAGCCAGGATTTTGACAGAGGCTAGACTTGAACCCATATCCCCCTGATTCCAAGACCAGTTCTTTATCCACTATGTGACACTACCTGGCTAAGACAACTTTGTAAGTCTCTAAGTAGCCAATATGCTTTAGTGGAGGGAATTTCCTTACAGGGAATTCCTTGTACCAATGAAATCATGGATCTGGTTAAAAAAAGAAAAATCAGCACAGAGTTTGATGCCAGGGAAAGAAAGACAAAAATGAAATAGTGTCTGTTCTCAAGGAGCTTACATTCTGCATGCTACTACAGTTAGTAAAGAGAATAAGATCTGTGCAGTTTTCCTTTTCTAGCTACTCCTACTGCCTAGATCTCAGAGCACCTGCTAGCAAGGGCTGCTCAGTAAGCAGAATAGGCAGCTACTTGGACCTTCTGCTTATAACTATCTTCCCTATAGTACCCTATAGTCAATGGTACTTGAAATTCCACAATTAAACATGCAATTCTTGAGGCCTTGAAAGCTTTTCCAGCTTCCAGAATGCTCTATTAAAATTCAAATACACATTCAAATTATATATTAAGCAACTATTTTATGGGAGTTATTGTGATCACTATAGTAATAATCATAATTATAAATGTCTTAGATTTATATAGTGTTTTTACAGAGCTCTTTCCTTACTAAATTATGAGAGGGTACTGTGGCAGTGCAGGTATAATTATCCCTCTTTTACAGATGAGGAAACTGAGGCTTAAAGAAATTAAGTGATTTGCCCATTGTTGCATGGATAGTATTGACTATGTAAGAATAAGGCTCTATCATTCCCCAATTGATAAATGATCAAAAGATATGATCAGTTTTCAGATGAAGTAATCAAAGCTATCTTAGACATATGAAAAAATACTCTCACTATTGATTGGAGAAATACAAATTAAAACAGTTCTGAGGTACTACCTCATATCTATAGATTGGCTAGTAGGATAGAAAAGGTAAATGATAAATGTTGGAGGGAACGTGGGAAAAATGAGACTTTAATGTACTGTTGATGGACTTGTAAATTGATTCAACCATTCTGTAGAGCAATTTAGAACTATGCCCAAAAGGGCTATAAAACCATGCATACCTTTTGACCTAGCAATACCACTACTAGGTCTGTATCCCAAAAGAGATAAAAAAAAACAAAAAGGAAAATGACCTATATGTACAAAAAAATTTATAGGAGCTCTTTTCTGGAGGTAAAAAATTAGAAGTTGAGGGGATGACCATCAATTGGAGAATGGCTGAACAAGTTGTGGTATGTGATTATGATGGAATACTATAAGATGGAGTACTATAAGAAATGATGAGCAGGATGCTCTCAGAAAAACCTGGAAAAACTTGCATGGGCTGATGCAAAGTGAAATGTACTGTGTACAAAGTAACAGTAATACTGTAAAATGATCAGCTGTGAATGACTTAGATATTCTTGGTAATACAGTAATCCAAGATAACTCTGAAGGACTTATGAAAAATGCTATCCATCCCCAAAGAAAGAACTGTTGGTGTCTGAATACAGATTGAAGCATACTTTTTTTAACTTTATTTTTCTTGAGTGTTTTTTCTTGTCTGTTTTCTTTCACATGACTATTATGAATATATTTTGCATGACTACACATATATAACCTATATGGAATTGCTTGTGTTCTTAATGGAGGGGGAGGGACGAAGGGAAGGAATTGGGAACTCAGTTTTAAAAACTGTTAAAAATTGTTTCTAGTGACTAGAGCTCTGGCCTTGGAGTCAGGAGGACCTGAGGTCAAATCCAGCTTCAGATACTTAACACTTACTAGCTGTGTGACTCTGGGCAAATCACTTAACCCTGATCACCTCACCAAAAAAAAGAAAAAAAAAGTTGTTTTTACATGTAACTGGGGAAAAATAAAATACTAAGTAAAAAAAGAATAAGGCACTATGAGAATGAGACATGGGACAACAGTCTAAATATATAGAAGCTGGAAGGGCAGTGTACCAGGGAGGAATGAAAGGTTCTAGAATAGAAAGCTAGAGAGAAGAACTGAAGATTTTGTATATTTCACAATGTTGCCTAACCTTGGCCCTGTAGCTGGGCCAGTGTACTTCCTTCAGTCTCTAAAAGAAATATATTGAAAATGGACTTGTGGGAAACCTAAATTGGGGTCCAGGTGCTCCACAGGACTCCAATCTATTGTCAATTGGAAGAGATCTAAGCTGGGCTGCCTTTAATCCATCAGCTTCATATCTACCCAGTAGGGATGAATCCAGGAGGAGCTCGGGTCTAGAATGACTTGCTGCTTACCTGAAACAGAGGCACATCTTGGGCCAAGAATTTGGCCAAGTTGACATCCAATAAGGCCCGGAGCAACAGGACACTCTCATCTTCTGCTGGATATTTCAGCTTCAGGTTCCCAGCGGCAGTGAGGACAGACTTCACTGCCCGCATCCCATAGTCATAGTGATGCTGAGATGATAGCTGCTCAGAGCATAAACGGTAGGTAGCAACGATTTTCTGGGCAAGACTGTGAAAGTTAAAAAGAAAAAAGAAAAAAGTGTGTGTAGGCCACTGGGTTAGATTTCAGGCTTCTTGTGGAATGGACTGACTTGTGTAGTGGTGAGTTCTCTATGTCTGCCTGGAGGTTTTTAAGCAAAGTGCCATGTTAAAGCATTTTATTAGGCCCTCGACTTGTCTAGGATGTTGTACAGACTTATGCTTCAAGTAAGGGCTAGAACAGAGGTGGGGAACCTGTGGCCTGGAGGCCACATGTGGCCTTCTAGGTCCTTGGGTGCAGCCTTTTGACTGAGTCCAAGTTTTACAGAACAAATCTGCACTTGAGGACCTAGAGGGCGACATGCAGCCTTGAGGCTGCAGGTTCCCCACCCCAGGCTAGACTAAATGACCTCTGTGGATCTTTAACTTTAAGATCCTATTCTTCAGACAAATAGGCATCATAAAACTGTTTTCTCCCTTCATCTATTAGTCAGCTTCCCTTGGCAATCCAAAGGATGAGTCAAATCACTTGAAAGTTCACTCAAAGAGTGATATCTGAAGAATCTGGCTTAGTTCAATAGTCCTGCTTCATAAATAGGGATCCTCAATACACTCATATACTTAAATTCTTCCAAATAATAATAATTAGAATTTATTTAGTGCTTTAAGGTTAGCAAAGTGCTTTACAAATATTAACTCACTTGATTCTCAAAGCAACCCCAGGAGGTAGATGCTATTATTATCATCCCCATTTTACAGTTGATGAAACTGAGGCAGAAGTTAGATGACATGCTTAGGGTCACATAGCTAGTAATTGTCTGAGGACATAATTTGAACCTAGGTCTTTTTGACTGCAGGTCCAGCGCTCTATCCATTGTAGCACCTAGCTACCTGCCAAAATGATACCTTATTGTGAATTACAAGATTTCTGATAATGTATTTGTATGCTTCAGTAATGATTAATACTCAGATATCATTTTTCACAGAATTCAATAATAATAATAATAATAATAATAATAGTTAACATTTATATAATACTATGTGCCAGGCACTGTGCTAAGTGCTTTACAGTTATCATCTTACCTGATCCTCACAACCCTGAGAGGTAAATACTATTATTATCCTCATTTTACAGATAAGGAAACTGAGGCAAACAGAGGTTAAGTGATTTGTCCAAGGTCACACTTCTAGTCAGTGTCTGAGGCTGGATTTGAATCCAGGTGTTCCTGACTCTAGGCCTGGTGCTTATCCACTGCACTGCTTAATTGCTTGACATATGATACCTTATTATGAATTACAAGACTTCCAGTAATATAATTGTATAATCCAGTAATGATTAACACTCAGATAACATTTTTCACAGAATCTAAGAGTCAGAAGAGACCTTGGACGTCATCTAATCCAATTCATATATGAAGAATTCTCTCTACTATACAATAATCCAGTCTCCAGTGAGGGAGATTCACTACTTCCCTAAGCAGCCCATTCTACTTTTTTGTGGAATGACTCAGATAGGACTGAACATCCTGTCTGAGTTTCATGACTTCATTGACTATGGCATGTCAGCCCTTCTATCTTCCATTATCTCCTGAAGTCTGTCCAAGCTCATATTCATGGCTTCCATGACACTTCTATCTATCTATCTCATCCTCTGCCATTCCTTTCTCCTTATGCCTTCAATCTTTCCCAATATCACGGTCTTATTCCACTTTTGGAAAGCTCTAATTCCACTTTTGGAAAGCTCTAATTCTTAGGAAGTTTTTCCTTACATTGAGCTTAAATCTGCCTCTCTACATCTTCTACCCCATTGTTCTTTGTTCTGCTCTCTGGAGTTAAGTATAACAAGCTGAATCCTTCTTCCACATAACATCCCTTAAAATTCTGCAGACAGCTATTTTATTCCTCCTAAGTCTTCTCTTCTCTAGGCTAACAAACCCCAATTCTCTTAATTGATTTTTGTGTGGCATGAACTTGATACCCTTCCCCATACTGGTTGCCCTCCTCTGGATGCTTTCCAGCTTATCAATATGCCTCCTAAAGTGTAGCACTCAGAACTGATCATGATATTCTAGATATGAATTGACCAGAGAATAGTGGGTTTGGCCTTTCCTTATCCCTGGATGCTAGACCTCTTGTAATTATAGCCTAAGACTGAATTGGCCTTCTTGGCTGCCATATCACATTTCAATTTAATCAAATTCACCCATGTGCCAAGAAAGTCTTCTAGGACACAATTGTGATTGCCTGGCTAAGCTTTTTAGAACATAATGTTAATGAAGTTGGCTTCCAGACTTTCACCCCCACATGACCCAGTTAGCTCCATAAAAAACAACAACCCAAAAAGACTTTCAAAGCTACAGACTTCACCCCTAAGTTTCCCCAGATATCTTAAATATGAACCACTGATCACAAAGGGTGCCATATAAGATAGTGTGGATGACTCAGAGCAGCTTTCCCCACTAAGGAATTTGTTGTTATTGTTCAGTCATGTCTAACTTTATATGACCCCATTTGGGGTTATCTTGGCAAAGATACTGGAATGGTTTGCCATTCCATTCTCTGGTTCATTTTACAGATAAGAAACTGAGGCAAATAAGGTTAAGTGACTTGCTCAGGGTCACAAAGTAGTAAGCGTCTAAAGGCTGGATTTGAACTCAGGAAGATGAGCCTTCCTGACTCTAGGTCTGGCACTCTATCCACTGTATCACATAGCTGCTCAACAACGACAAATCTACCTTAGGCCTAGGCTTCTGGGAGAGAAGTAGGCACATGCTTGGAATATAAACTTACCCTGCAACATCTCTCAATAAATGATAAGACCAAAGGTTGCCAGACTGACTGGTTTAAAGACTCAATATGATTGAGCACTGAATCTAGGGTCAGAGGACCTGGATTAGAATCCTACTTTTGACAGTACTTATGTGACCTCAGGCACTCTTATGGATCAGATTAGATAATCTCTGAGGTCCATTCCAGCTATCTATGATTGTATGATTCCAATTGTCCAACCTGCCACATGGAATCCAGGTCATCTAGGCTAAACCCTGAACCCTAAACTAACTACTCCTGGTAAACTTTGCTGGTCATTATGGAACTTTCAGAATCTATCAGAAAGTGAAAGATCCAAAGCAGCTTACCTACGGGAGTCCAGAAACCCCATGGAATATAGGGAGATTTCCCCAATTAATGCATAATCAGGTACCATCATGGCAACTGTTCGGAACAAGGCCTAGGGAAGAAAAAAAAAACAGCTAATCAGAACATACCAGAAATATACACATAAAGGGTGTGTCTACATTGGCAAAGTGAAAGAATAATAATAAAGGCATATGTTCCTATAAAGAGGCAACATGGAATAGTGGATAGACAATGGACTTTGGAATCAGGAAGACTCTTATGTTGCCAGACTGCATTTGTAGACAGCACTTCCTCACTGGAAGTCCCCTATATCAATGTGGAAAGACTTTGATTGGTCAGGACTTCTACATAAATACTACCTCATTTGACACTTATGTCAACCCTGTAAAGTAGGTAGTTTGAGTTGTATTGCCCTCATTTTACAGATGAGGAAACCAAGGCTTGAAATATCTAAGTAACTTGGCCAAAGAGATATATAAGAAATAGTGGGACTGGGAATTGAACCTATGTTACTGTTGTTCAGTCATGTCTGACTCTTTGTGACCCCATTTGGGGTTTTTATAGGCAAAGAAACTGAAGTGGTTTGCCATTTCCTTCACATTTTGCAAATGAGGAAACTGAGGCAAACAGGGTTAAGTGATTTGCCCAGGGTCACACAGCTAGTGAGGCTGGATTTAAACTCACAAAGATAAGTCTTCCTGACTCCAGGCCTGATATTCTATCCACGGTGCCACTGAGCTGCCTGGAATTGAATCCTGAGGACTGCAAATCTTTTTTTTTTTTTTCATACAAAATATGTTTCCATATTAGCCATATTTCCAAAAAATCAAGAAAAATACAGAGAATGAGAACATTATACTTGTTTGTACTCAGAGTTCATCAGTTTTCTCTCCAGTGGTGGATAACATTTTTTTTTCATTATGAGTCCTTTAGAATTATCTTGGATCATTGTACTGATCAGAGTAGCCAAGTCCTTCACAGTTGATCATCATTACAACATTGCTGTTACTATGCACAATGATCTCAGTTCTTCTCACTACACTTTGCCTCAGTTCAAATGGGTCTTGTCATGTTTTTGTGAAACCACCTCCTACCCTGTCATTTCCCACAGCACAATAGTATTCCATCACAATCATATGCCACAACTTATTCAGCCATTCCTCAATTGATGAGCATCTCCTCAATTTCCAATTCTTTGGATACAGCTGCTATATATATTTTTGTACGTATAGGTCCTTTTCCTTTTTCTTTGATCTTTTTGGGATACAGACCTAGTAGTGGTCTTGCTGGGTCAAAGGGTATGCACAGTTTTATAGCCTTTTAGTTCCAAATTGTACTCTAGAATGAGAGTTCACTAATATACCTATTTTTCCCTCATTCCCTCCAGCATTTGTTATTTCTAATAGGGGTGAAGTGGTGCCTCAGAGTTATCGTAATTTTCATTTATTTAATCAATAACAATTTAGAGCACTTTCATATAACTATAGATAGCTTTAATTTCTTCTTCTGAAAATTGACTTTATATTCTTTGACCATTTTTCAATTGGGAAATGGCTCTTATTTTTAGAAATTCTATATTCAATTCTATATTCAATCTATCTTTGAGAAAGGAGGTCTTTATCAGAGAAACTTTCTGTAAAATTTTTTGATATTACTTCATTGTCTATGGTACCTTTTAGCAAAATGGTTTCCCTGATTCTTTTAATTAGGTCTGTTTTTGCTTTTGCTTTGTCTGAGATAATGATTGCTATCTCTGCCTTTTTTTTTTTAAGTTTTGCTGAAGCTTATTAGATTCTGCTCCAGCCCTTTATTTTAATTCAAATTTAGAGGTGAGCTCATGTCATTCACATTTACTGTTATGATTACTAACTATGTTTTTCCCTCTATCCCTTTTTTTTTCTATTTCTTCTTCTCTCTCTCTTTCTAACCTGTCCCTCCTCAAAAGTCTTTTCATAATTTTCTTTCATCACTCTTATTTCTTTTCCCAATTTTTCCTCTACTACTTTTATAATTTTGTTTTACTCTTCCAAGAATTCCTGTTAAGCTTGGGCCCAATTAGAATTTTTCTTTAAGGTTTTCTTGGTAGCTGTTTTCACAGTTTTGTTTTCTTCTGAGTTTATGTCTTGGTCTTCACTGCCACCGTAGTAGTTTTTTTATGGTAAAATTCTTTGTTGTTTGCTCATTTTCCCAGCCTATTTCTTGACTTTGAATTTTATGTTACATTTAGGCTTTGCTCACTTAGGGGTGGATAGGCACCATCCCAAGATTTAGGCTTCTTTGTGCTGCTATTTTCAGAACTAGTTCTGGGGATCTGCAAGGTTTGGGCATTTCCAAGGTGGTGTGATGTGGGGAGAGATGTGGTCACTGCTTTCTTGGGCTATGCTCTGATCTTTACCCAAGAAGGACTCCTGGTCCCCTGCAGCCACAAGTGGTAGCACTCCTCTTTGTCTTGGAACTACAAGGACCCCTGCTTTCTTGTGACTGACCCCTAGCTCCACCCTGAAATTGCAACCCAGGACTGCATAAGGGTAACAGAGTTGCCATTCAGTGCCAGCTGTACCCAGTGCCAGCAAAAGGTCTCCTGTAATCTCTGATCAGTTGTCTGACTCCTTTAGCATTGTTAGGCTGAGAAGCTCCTGCAGCTACAGCTATTGTGGCTGCTGCCTTGTGTATGGGCCCCAGATGGGCCTCTACCCTGGTGTCACAAAGTTCTCCTGCTGACATCTTATGTTTTCTTAGGCCAGAAAAATGTTGATTTTTGTTGGCTCTGCTCCTCCAAAATTTGATTTGAAGCATTATTTTAAAGTTAGATAGACTTGTACAGATAGATTTATATGAAATAATGAAGAGCAAAATGGACAGAACCAAGAGAATGTTATATACAGTAATAGCAATATTGTTTTAAGAATAATTTTGAGTGAATAAGTCATTTTGACTATTATAAATACCCAAATTAACTACAAAGGACCTATGAAGGAAGATTCTACCTGCTTCCAAAGAAAAAACTAATAAATAGATGTATAGAGTGATTTTACATATACATACATATTTGTGTCTAATGATAGTCAACTCAATGGTGGGGGAAGGGAAGAAAAAAGAAAAAAAAAGAAATTTACAAGATAACTTTATTATATATTTAAAAGGAATGGCAAGTTGTATATAATAGATTTGCAGTTTCATGTACAATCATCCTTTTTTATTAACTGTGTTATGGAAATGCTTGTTTTAGTCCATAAATTACAAAAAAAAATTTTAAGTTCTTTGGAGAGGAGTGTTGAGAGAGTTCAGCTGGGTTACCTCTAACCCTCCATCTTGGCTCTACCTCCTCTATGACTGCAAATCTAATAACCTTTTCACTATATTATATCTGGATAAATCAAACTATAAAAACTTGCAACTAGGAAAAAGGGAAAGAAGGCATGAAGCTGAGTAATTCAAATGGACCATCTTCATGGGTCAAGCTCAATACATCACTATGCAACTATCCTTAGCATTGGCCCCAGGTTGGCATTGAACTGGAGAGAAATCAGAGAAAGATACCTAAGATGGTGAAGGGCTTTGAGTTCATGCCATAAGATGATTAGTGAAGGAACTGGGGATGTGTTGTTTCAAGAAGAAAAGGCTGGTGGTGGTAATGTGGAAGAGGAACATAACGGCTATCTTCATATAATTGAACAATTGTCAGATGGATGGGGGATTAATTAATTAGATTTATCCTGTTTGGCAGAGCCAGAAGCAATGGTTGGAAATTATTAAAAAAAAGTCAATTTAGGCCTGATGTAAGGAGAAAAAAAACTCCTAACAATGAGATCTATCCATAAACTGGGTGGATTGTCTTGGGAAGTAGTGAGTAACCTCTCAGTGGAATTCTTCATGCACAAGCTGGAAGATGACTTGTCATGTATGTTGAAAGATTACTTTTTGGAATGAGTTGGAAAAGATGGCTGCTGATATTCAATTCAACAAACATTAAGTTTCTGTTGTGTGGAATGCACTGTACTGGACATATCACTTGGGATTATCATCCTTATTTTACAGATGAGTCAACTGAGGCCCAAAGGGGTTATGTGACTCACCTGGGGTGTTATGATTACTAAATGTTAGAGGAGTACTAGAACTCCTGTCTCGTACCTCTTAGCATAATTCCTTTTTTGTTACACAACGATGCCATTCTATGAAGAAAAAAAATTCCACTGACAATATCTCCTTTGACTGTCAGGGAAAAACCTGTGTGCCTGCTGTGGTTGTGACAATAACATTATGCACACCATAAAAAACAATATGGTATGAAGGAAAGAACATCGAACTTGGGAGTCAGCAGATCTGAGTTCAAATAGTACTAACCTACTAACTGAGTGACCTTTGGAAATTATTTTGCCTTGAAAAAGACATAGTTTTTTTTTAAAAATAATATTTTATTTTTCCCAATTACATGTAAAGACAATTTTTAACATTCATCTTTTTAAAAAAATTTTTGAGTTCCAAATCTCTTCCTCCCTCCTCCCCTTTCCTGAGAAGATAAGCAGTTTGATATAAGTTATACATGTGCAATCATGCAAAACATATTCTCATGTTAGTCAGAGACATAGTTGTCTAGATCATAAAATGCTTATAATATCTGTAGTCAATCTTATACATCTTTAAAGTGTTACATAAAAGTGAATGGTCACTATTCAGCCACCTACCACTCCATTAATTAAAATAGGATTTATAGGAGCAGTTCTGTTTGTGGTGGCAAAGAATTGGAAACTGAAGAGGTGCCTCTTAATTGGGGAATGGATGAATAAGTTATAGTTTATGAATGTGATGGGATATTACTATGCTGTAAGAGACAATGAAGGAGATGGTTTAAGAGAAACCTTGGAAGATTTGTGTGAACTGATGCAGGGTAATGAGCAGAACCAGGAGGAAAAATTATACAATGATGACAATATTGTAAAGACAAACAATAGAAAGACTTCAGAACTCTGATCAGCACAACAACCAACCACGATTCCAGAGGACTCTTAATGAAATATGTTACCCATCTCCTGACAAAAATGTGATGTGCTCAGGGTGCAGATTGAGACATATTTAAAAGGGGAAAGGAACTTGGCCAATGCAAGAATTTATTTTTATTGACTATACATGTTTATAACAGGTGTGTGTATGTGTGTGTGTGTGTGTGTGTGTGTGTTTTGTGTATAGGGAGAGTTAGGAGAGAATGAGGACCTGAAATTAAATAAAATTGAATTTTAAAAAAGATAATAATCACAGAGGCTTCCCAGAGATACTGATAGCTCAGGTCAGGGTATCAATGTTATTCAAGGGATGATAGGAATTACAAAATACGAAAATAACATTTTACAATTATAATTACAATTGTAATTGTATTGTATTTTAAACTGCCCAAAGTACTTTCACATCTGTGATCTCCTTTGGTTCTCAGAAGGCATCTCTGGGAGGTGGGTAGGACATTTGTTACTATTGTTCTTTTATAGATGAAGAGACCTTTCACAGAGCTAATTAGTGGAAAGGCTGTGATAAGAACCTTGACTTTCTGTCTCCTAAGCTCAGGTTCTAGCTACTATACTACACTGCCTCACAGAGATGCTAAGGCAAGTATAATGGTAAGCAGCAAAAAATAAACAATGGACAGGGACACCTGTTATCAAATATTATCAAATGTTATCAAATATTCTAAACTCCACTTCTACAGTCACTGTCTGATAATGCCATCTGATCTCATGACTGATAGCTGTCCCTGGGATGCCCCAATTCCATACCACTTAGTATCTACCTTGAGGTTATCAGGAAGCTCTGCCCGACCTGCATAACCAGGATTCATGGTAATGAAGACAGCACAGGTTGGATTCAGAGAGATCTCAGTGCCTTCAAATATGAAAGTCTTCAGCTTTCGGATGATAGCCTGTTGAATGCTGAGGATCTGCTGGGCCACCACAGACAGCACCTCCACCTAGAGTGAGAAGAATGCTTACTTGCTGCAGTGGCCAGAACCTCTCACTCCCATCTGAATATAACAAAGTCTTTTCCAGGAAAAAAGTATTTAGATACTTAAAGCAACACTTTAATCACTTAAGAAATATTATTCATTGAGAGTTGGATCTCAAGGTTACTAAGGAATGCCAAAATTAAACTGTCAAATTCTCAATGAAAAACTAGAAGGGTGACTAGGCTATTGGCAGAGAATAAGACAATGTATGAGGGTGTGATAGGATCATAGGATTTAAAACTGGAAGGGACCTTGGAGGTCCAACCACTCAAGACCCAGAAAGAAATTACTTGCCCATGTATGTATATAGGTATGTGTGCTTATATTTGTGTACATGTTACTGTTTGTATTTGTATGTGTACTTTGTATGTGTGTATGAATGCGTTTATGAGATGGGGGAGAGAGAAAATATGATGAGAGTTTAACATGCTTTCCTCAGTGGTAGTTTTGTTTTGAAATTAACTCAAAGCAATAAATATTTACTTGCTATATCCTGGGTGCTATGAAGGATAGATTAAAAACATAAGACACTCTCTAGTGATAGAACTCAGATTCTCCAACTCCTCTTCCCTTTTTTCTCTGAATTCTTATGTCTTGGCACTAAGAGTTACCTCAATCCTGTTGAATTCATCAAAGCAGGCCCACGCTCCAGCTTGGGCCAAGCCCTTGAAGAACTTTCCCATGGCTTTGTAATCCAGACCATCAGAGCAATTGAAGACCACACACTAAAGATAGGGGGGGAAAGTGCCATAAATGTTACCACTTCCCAAGGCAATTTTGGCTCTCCATTCTTCCCCAAGAATGCTAGAAAATCATAACTGGAAGGCTCAGAGGATCATAGGTTCAGATCTGGAATAGATCTCAAAGATCATCTAGGCCAATCCCTTCATTTCAAAAATGAGGAAATGGAGGCCTCGAAAGTTCAAATGATTTACCCACAGTCATATAGTTAAACATCAGAAAATTTGAACCCAGGGCTTTGGTCCCTGCATCAGTGTGCTCTTTCCCCTTTAGTATGATGCTTCCTAGTTCAACCTTCTATTCAGTGTATGATTTTCAACCCCTCTCCCCCTTACGATTCTGTTGTCATCTTGAATCTCGTGTTCTCTTTTCTATACATAGCTCCTCAAAGGGACAGGAAGCAACCATTACAGTCAGGGCAATATTGTTTTTATTACCTGCTTAGCCAAGGCCTTAGCCAGATCTTTTGTAGTTTCTGTTTTGCCTGTGCCAGCAGGGCCCTCTGGGGCACCCCCAAGATTCAATTTCAAAGCTCCCATTAAAGTCCTAAAGAGAAGAGAACATGACCCTAGGTCATTCATTGAGTCCTAGAGTTTACAGGGCAGAGAGAGTTTCCGGTGAAGCTGTTATGCATTGGATAGACCTTCCCCAATCTACATAATGATTTTCTCTAGGGATACATAGTCCAGGAACTGGACCAAATGGCTCACTATGTGTTGGGGTCAATAGAGTTCCCTAGCTTTTATCAATATCCAAAGATGGTGTCACCTCCCACCTCCCTGCCCACACACACTTCCTATTCAAATTTGGACACAAACCTCATCCAGCTGGTTACAAGTGCCAAGAAGATGGAACAGAGAGTATACACTGGCTAGGAGAACAGTACTGAGCTAAGCTATCCGTGTTTAAAATTGAAGGGCACCTAACTGGGCACTTATAGAATAATGATAATAATAATAGTAGCTAGCACTTATATAGCCTTTAAGGATTACAAAGCACTGTACATATGTTAACTCATTTGATCTCCACAATAACTCTATGAAGTAGATGCTATTATCCCCATCTTACAGATTAGGAAACTGAGTAACTGAAAGAGGTTAACTTGCCCAGTCACACAGCCAGTAAGTGTCTGAGGTAGGATTTGAATTTGGGTCTTCCTGACTTTAAGTCCTGCACTCTATCTATTGCACCACCTAGCTACCACAAATTTCTCAAAACAAATGTAATTATGGTATGCTTCTGGGCCCTGGCCTCAGCTTTCTTATATTAAATTATGTCTTTACACCTTAGTTCCCCCTCTGTACAATGCAGTTCTTCCTTCCTTCTATTCCCAGGAATGATAAATATCATTATGGAGAGAGACAAGTTGTACTATCTAGACAAAATATTTAGCTGTCTCCCTACTGTGCACCTTATGACCTTGGGCAAGTAACAACTACCCTGGGCTTCAGTTTCTTCATTTGTAAATGAAGAAGTTGGACTAGTTGATCTCTAAGCTCCCTTCAAGCTTTAAATCCCATGCTCATGAGAGAATAGATAATAGTAATGGTTCTCAGTATCATAGCTCTCCATTTTGCACAGACGTGGAATTAGAATTAGTTAACATACCAGATGTTATATTTTGCTGTCATGAAATGATGCCCTTTCCCAAAGAGTGTCAACTTAATAGACTTCCAGAAATAAGGCAGGACCAAGAAGTGCTAGTTGCGTTAGCTTCCTAAAATGGTCTCAGAGCAGAATGACTTTTAGAACAGTAGATTGGAAAGGGTGGACAGAGCTGTAAGATGGCAAGCCCCTGAACAGTATTTCTTGGGAATCATTTTTGTCCTCTCACATGGGAAGAATAAGGAAACCTTGGGGTGCATTGAGAAACACGGTAGTTGGGACAAGGAGGAATCATAGCTCTACTGTGGCTGTCCTAGTTGGACAAGGTCCTGAATATTTTGTTCCATGTCAGATCCCTTATTATAGGAAGGATGTTATGGACTAAAGGGTATTCAGAAGACATATGTCCAGGATGGTTAGGCCTTGAAGTTATGCAATATGAGGCTCAGTGGAAGGGATTGGGGGCAATTATCCTGAAGAAGAGAAAAGTTAAGGAAGACATGATAGCTGTCTTCTAGTTATTTGAAGACTGTCATGTGGAAGATGGAATACTCCTGTTTTGCTTGGCCCCACAGGACCAAACTAAAAACAGTGGGTGAAAGTCGTAAAGAGAAAGATTTAAGCTTGATGTAAGGGAAAACACACAAACAAGTAAAACACTTAACGTCAAAATGACCCCAAAATTAGAATGAGCTGACTTTGGAGAAATCATGTTCCCCCCCACTAGATGTCTGTAAGTCTAAAGCTGCTTCCAACTGAAATACTGTGAAAGAAGAAGGTGCATAGAATTACAAAATCTCAGAGAATTCATACAGAGGGAGTTCAGTGGCTATCTGGTCCAGTGCTATCAAACTCAAATAGTAATGGGGCCACAAAACCACACAGAAGAATCCCTGAAGGCCTCTCATGTTGACTTAGGAAACCACATATTAACTTTATCTATTTTCTATTATATTTTTATTTGTTTTGTTAAATATTTCCCAAATACATTTTAATCTGATTCAGGCCACTCTTGGGAGTGTTGGGCCAAACACTTCTGATTTGGTCCCACTCAAACTTGAACAGGAATATTCTCTAAAACATCCCTACTTAAAGCTTCTGCTTGCCGACTTCCAGTCATGGTGAACTCACTACCTACTGATTCTACTGATTCTGTTTTTGGAAAGCTTTGATTGTTTGGAAGTTTTTCTTTTCAATAAGCTGAAATCTGTATCTTTGCAATCTCCATGCACTGCCCAGTTCTGCCTTCTGAGGCCAAATAGAGTAAGTTAAGTCTATTTACTCTTCTACAAAAGGCCCCCTTTCCCATCCAATATTTCAGCTTTCATGTGCCCCCCTAATTCTTTTCTTCTCCAAGTTAATTACCTCCTTTCAATCCAACTGATCATTATTTGGTGTGGTTTTGAATCTCTTCACCATCTTGGCTAACTGAACAATGTCAATATCCTTCATAAAATGTGATACCCAGAACGAAACTGTGGGATTGTCCCACATGCCACTGGGCCCATGTCAAATTCCTATCTTATTCAAATTCTTCTCCAAAAGAGTCCTATGCTGTAATAATGTACAGCAGAGGAAGAGGCAGCAAGTGGGAGGTATTTGACTTCATTTTGAAAGGTGAAACCATGTCATAGGGATTAACCAAATTTACCTGTAACATCGGTCAGTGAGGGGGGTAATCACCAGCCGTAGGGAGTTCCCCAGGTATTCATAGCCATACAAAGCTTCTGTAGTGATCATTCTCACAATCACATCCCCATTTTCCCAAGTATAGCGAAGCTGGGAGATCCACTGGAAGTCATTCAGATCTCTGACTTTGTCTTTGGCTAATTTAGCAACCACATCACGAGCTGTCCAGACATACAGATACACACATAAAGATGAACAGTGTTTTTCTCTCTCTCTCTTCTTCCACTGAAAACTCAGAGTAAATACCATCCACCTATAGTTCATAGACACCTCAGACAGAAAGAAAACCCCAAAGGTCAACTGGACCACCCCCTGCCTTCAAATAGGTTTTAATTAAATTTGCCTAACAAATTAACTAACAAATTGTCTGTTAGTGAATGAGGGAGATTCTTCACCTTTCACTGACCTCTGGTCATTACACAGAGAACAGTTTCCCTCAGCTGCTATGTTTCACTTCTCTCCAGGTACCAGGGAAGACACTCAGGGTTGCTGGCCAGAAGAGAAATAGTTACTATTTACATTCACTTTGAGCCAGGAGGGCCCCAAAAAAAAAAAAACAACCATTTGATTTTTTTTTGTTTGTTTGTTAAAGGGGGCATCCTTTGATCCTTCTTAAAGAGGCCTATTCACTGAATGGGTGTTGCCTCACTCAAACTGAGAACTTGAAAAGACCTTAGCTTAAAAGGGCCAAGGTCTCCCACTGTATCTGGGCCATCTCCAGTTGTCCTGATGAATATCTGGCTACTGGACCCAGATGCCTCTGGAGGAGAAAGTGAGGCTGGTGACCTTGCACAGCCCTCCCTTAGTCAAATCAAAGTCAGTTGCAAGTCATGTCATCATCTCCCTGATGTCATGGTCCTTTTTGAGAATGAAGGACAAACCATACATAACCACAACCACAATCCAGGTACCAGGGTAGAAAGTCAGCCTTTCTGCGGGATTTTATACATAGATCTCCAAACACATATTAAGCAGTATTAAATGGATGTGGTAGTTATAGTAAACAGGGTTGTTCAGTCACTCCTATTGCCTCCTCCCCCGACTAACTCATTGCTCAGATGGGTTTCTTGAGTACAAACTGTCTTGTAAAGTAGTATCAAAGGAATTGTAATTCTTCTGATCATTTTGTTAGCTCCAAATGCCCAGCCAGAGACAGCACTTATGGTCAAATACCTCAGTGTATCTCTTCTCTGGGAATGAACCCCCTTCTCAGTCAACTCTTCAAAACTATCTTTCTAATAAGTACACCCAGATTTACAAAGGCAGATGGCTAACAATGTTCATAAAGACAAAATAAACATTTAAAACAAAGAAATCCCTCTGAGATTACCTCCAATTTATCCTGTATACGTCTTGTTTATACATAGCTGTTGCACATTGTCCCCATTCGATTGTGAGTTACTTGAAGGCAGGGACTATTTTTTCATTTTATTGTATTGTCAGTGAATGACACACATTATGTGCTTAAAAAATGCTTTTTGATTTGTCTTGAAGAAAGGTAAATAGACTTCCCCTGTACCCAGAGGAAAAGGCTTCAGGCTCCCATGAAAATGCTCAAGGGGAAAGAGAAGATACAAACCGTTTTCTTGGGGTCTGTATTTGTGTGTGTTTGTTTGAGGAGAAGAGGGTGGTCCACAACATAACTTCTATCCCAACACACTGCAAGCCCACCAGCCTAAGGAGTCTCACTTCTAAAGACCAGGATCCTTTCTTTATGGTGGCTGTCTTTCTCTATACTTTCATTCTCTCAGCTCCAAGTTACTTTTTACAAGTTCCCTTTCTCCAGCTCCATGTGTCTTCTACCCATCCCCAATCTGAGCTGTCTCCTGGACATATTGAAGTGACTTTTTAAAAGTTCACCCAAATGACTAACTCATAAAGAGAGCTAATGGTCTGGCTGTATCTTTTAAAGTTAGTGAAACAGGTCGGTGCTAGCCCCTTTTGTGGAGGTGACTAGGTCTCATGCTTTCAAAGTCTACTCCCTTACACAGGTAAGGGAGACTTTACAGAGCTCATTAGGGAATCAGGCCATAGAGATTTTGTGATTAAAATTCCTCACCAAGCTCCCAACACCCTTTCCCCCTTCCTCCAACCTTCCTTTTTTCTCCCCAGAAAATCATAAATCCTCAGTCTTTCCTCACAGCTCCATGACATTGGGACAACCTACGAGGCTCTCAGTCAGTCAGTGGATAAGTTTGATGACATTCATCGTAAAATGGACCTTTAGGCATAGAATTCACTCTTATTTTCAAATTTGGGAATCCTAAAAAAAAAAACAACAGCTGAAAGCTATACTTCTTGCATACAGTAGGTTTTTTAATTCAGTTTACCCTTTCCTTTCATAGGTAGTGGTAGTTGTTTGGCAGGGGGGTGGGGGGGGACAGGAAAGAATCATATGATCTATGGTCATTAATATTCTCCAGAAAGCTCATAGAATTGGTATGGGACATCAGGGGTGGTGCCAAAAATTCAAATTCTTTGACCTATGAGCAAGATTGTGAAAAAGAACTCTCCCTCAAGCCTTTACTATATACCTTGGGTCCCGACAAGTTCTGAAATTGGCTAGTAGACAGGAGGTCCATCTCTGTCTATGGTCATCATAAGAGTCATCACTTAAGAGGTACAGGAAGGCTAACCACATTGGATGGGTCCCACTCACCCTATCCTCCCATCGACCCATTAACATTTTATGCAGGTAAAAGGAGATTTATATGAACACCAAGGATAGCCCTTGGAGGGGAAAAGGTGGAGATATCTCTGAAGACTAAAGTATGATCTGTAGGAAGTATGTGTAAGAGGGAAGGGAATAGTTGTTGCTTCAGAATCAGAGATGGTCAGATGTGAGAGGACAATTTATATTGATTGTATGTGAACATATTTACTTCCCTACTCAATAAACTCCATTGGCTCCCTATTACCTCCAAGACTAAATATAATATTTTCTCATTTGGTTTTTAAAGCCCTTCACAATCTGGCTTCTTTCTACCATTCTGGTCATCTTACCTGTCCATATACTCTAATAATCCAATGATAATTCCCTTCTTACTGTCTCTCAAACACAAAACTCCACTTCCAGAACCCATGCCTTTGAACTGATTGTTCCACATTACTAGAATACTCTCCCTCTTCACCTCTGCCTCCTGGCTTCCCTGCCTTCCTTCAAGACTCAGCTCAAATCCTATCTTCTGCAACTAGCCTTTCCCAGTCCTCCTCCCTCTCATAATTTCCATTTACACTGTATATATCTTGTATGTACATAGTTATTTGCATGTTATCTCCCCCAATAGAATGTGAGTTTCATGAGGGTATGGACTAGTTTTGTTTTTTTTTTTTTAATTTCTTTGTATCCCCAGCACTTAGCACAGTGCCTGGCACATAGTAACATGTTTGTTGCCCATTGCCTTCCTGAGTTGTCTCTGAAGAGCAGCGCTCAGGAGAGCTCACTCTTAGGGACAATTCAGATTCTTTTCTTCAGGTTCTAGAAATCCTACGGGCAAGACCTTTTGGGGTGGGGGGCAGGGAATTAAAGGTGGGGTGGAGACATAGCCACAAAACAAATATACAAGGATACAGATTGTTCTCATTTCATTCGAGCTTCAGGTTGCTGGTCTTCTTTTGGCCCATGGGAACTCAGGTTTGTGGAGCCTTTCCTGCTGAGCTTTGGGGTGATGCACAATGACTGGCCACTCTAGGAGAGAATGCCATGCTTACCGTGGACATCAATGACTGTGAGGGCTCCCAGGGTCAGCCGAGCTCCACTGCTTAATTTACCCCGAACCAGCTCAACAATCTCTGCAATCTGCGTGTTATTTTTTTCCAGAAATACCTGTGAGGGACACATATGGGAAGAGCTATTTACTCTTTCTCATATTTTCCTGAGTTCTTTCTCTGATTCTCAAGAAACACATGCTAAGCACTCCTGAATTATGAGAAGGGTGGCAGGAATTATTTGTGACTGACTTCACAGGAAGGCAAAAAGAACCATGGGGAGGCTGGGTAAGCAGGCATTTGGAGGCAACTTTTAAAAGTTACAGAATGTTTATATTTTTTAAAATTACAGAACCACAATCAAGCATTAAAGATGTAATGACATGAATAAAGCAAATGTCCATAGAATCTAAAGCTGGAAGGGACCTTAGAGATCACCTAGTTTTGTTTTGTTTTGTTTTGTTTGTGAGGCAATCAGGGTTAAGTGACTTGCCCAGGGTCACACAGCTGGTGATTATCATATGTCTGAGGTCACATTTGAACTCAGGCCCTCCTGACGCCAGTGCTGGTGCTCTATCCACTGTGCCACCTAGCTACCCTTAGATCACCTAGTCTAACCCTTTTATTTTACAGCTAAGAAATCTGAATCCTAGAGAGCTGGTGAAATGCCTTGCCCCAATGTCATACAGGTAACAAAGAGAAAAGCTAGATTCAATCTGAGGTCCTCTGAGAGACAGTATGGTGTAGTAGATAGTGTGTTGGACCTGGAGTCAGGAAGACCTGAATCAGGAAGACTTCTAGCCTTCAATCTTTTCACCTATAAAATGAGAGGGGCAGAATCTGATAACTTCTAAAGTTCCTTAAATTCTAAATCTGTGATCATATAATTTCAAATTTAAGGCTTTTTTTTTACTATAGTATATTAATTATTAATTAATTAATTATTAGCTTTAAGCAAAATTATTTTAGCCTGCAAACCATGTTAACAGGAGATAGAGTCTGACATCATTGGTGTGCTAGTAAATGTTTAACAATTGGCTCTTGGAGAAAAAAATTTACTCATGACATTTTTAAGTTTAATCTGCATCATTATCATTTAGAGCTAAAAAAAAAAAATCAAGCCCTAATTTGTAATACGTGCTGATTTCTGAGATATAAATGCCTGTACTGAAAATTAAACAATCAGTTTTTCTGAGCCAGTTTAAAGTGTTTCCATTATATTCCTGATCTGACATAAATATCAGAGAAGTAAAGTTTAGAGAGTTATGATCAAATTTCTCTTTCTGTTTTATGGTATGTTTCATCTATGTCATATTAAAATGCTATATTTGGAGTCCAAGGACCAGAATTTGAATCTCAGCTCTGCTACTTACTCCTTATGTAATAATAACTTGCCTAGGGCAAGTTATTTCCCCTCTCTAGGACTCAGTTTCCTCATCTATCAAATGAGAGGGTTAGACTAGATAACCTCTAAGTCATCTTGGGTCTGTTTAATATCCCTTGCAGCTCTATATGGATGATCCTATGCACATTTGTACTGTTCACTTTCTGGTGCTGTTCTTTGTTGCGGCTGGGAAGAAATGCTTCATTTCTGGATGTGCAGACGGAAGTCTCTGCAGGGCTTAGCGCAGAAATTGGCATGTACTAAGCATTTAATAAATGCTTGCTAACAAGGACAAAAGAAGAATAAGCAACTGGATTCAGAAAGAATATGTTTTCACATAAAGAAAATATTTTCAAAATGTATTAATTTTATCCCTTCCCAAAAAAGACTAAAACCCTAAATCTACTTGTAAAATACCCTACAGGAAAAGTCGATGGTGCCTTGGGCCTAGAGTCAGGAAGACCCGAATTCAAATCCAAATTCCTTCCTTCCTTCTTTCTACAGAAACTCAGAACTCCTTAGAGTGTAGTTTCAACAGCCTTGATTAGTGTCAGAAGATAAGACTTCTCATTACCCAACTATGCTGGAGAAATAAAGCATTACTGGAATTCTACTAGAATAAATAGAAGAGAAATGAAAATCTACTGAATACAGGCAATAATATTGCATGAATCACAAAAGTGGTCAACTGGCTTCTCTTCAGTAATTCTCTTCAGTGGATTCTCTTCAAATCCATTTTACAAAATCCTAGTGCAAGAATATTTCTATTACTCTTTGCAAAAAAAAAAACAAAACCAAAAAAACAAAAATAAATTTACTATGTGTTACCCCCCCCTTTTTTCTTTTTACTTACACAGCACAGGTGTGGTAGGAAAAAAAAACCATGACAAAGTCAGGTTCTGTGTGACCTTAGGCAAGACACAACCTCTCTGGGTCTCAGTTGCCTCCTCTTCACAATAAGGAGGTTGAACTTTTTTGTTGTTGAGTCATTTTTCAGTCTACTCTTCATGACCCCATGCAAAGATACTGGAGTGGTTTTGCCATTTACTTCTCCAGCTCATTTTATAGATGAGGAAACTGAGGCAAACAGGGCGACTTGCCCAGGGTCACATAGTGTCTGAAGCTGGATTTGAACTCATGAAGATGAATCTCCTTGATTTCTAGCCCAGTGCTCTATCCACTGCATCGCCTAGCTGCCTGAGGTTGAACTGAGGGTCACTAAAGTCCTTTCCATTCTTAACATTCTGTGATCTAGGATCAGTTGCCTTGGGCTTGCATCTTCACTGAAATAAGCCCTGCTCACTAAATCAACCAGATCAAGAGTGTTTTAGCCCATTAGATATGAAGCAAAGAGGAGAAGAGATACAAAAGTACAGGAGTCAGCTCTGGAGCCTATTTAGGGAGAACAACTTCCCTGCTGCTTCAGCCAGCTGGACAAATGAATTGTGGTACCACACATCGATCCAGGGCTGAAGAGAATAACAGGTAGAAGAAATAAAATGAATTAGGTAAACTGCGCCTCTCCTTCCCATTACTCTATGAACAGCTTCCCTGACTATGAATGGACTTGACTGCTGACATTGGCATTAGGAAAAAGGAAGAAGGGTCAGGGGATAGGTAAGATGGAAGAAGAGGAGCATTAGTCCAAGTGTTTTGGAGCTGTCTGGGAAATAAAGAAGATTGTCAGGAAATCCCATGGGTCTCTGAGAATTCTGTTTAGGTTGGCCTCCAGGGACCACGTTGCACCTTGGAAGGGCAGAAGTGATTCATGCTAGGCTTACCAGTAACGTATCATTTACAATACATTCAGCAACCTCTGATGTCCAGTAGATAGATGAGACACAGATTACAACTTGCCCAGGCCACTCTAGAACCCACTGCTTTCGAGGAACCTATAAAAAGCCAAAGATCACATAGGTTTAGAGCTGGAGGGGAGATTTTTTTTTTTTTTTGGTGAGGCAATCGGCGTTAAATGACTTGCTCAAGGTCATGCTGAAGGGGAGATCTTCTTCTTCTTCTTCTTCTTCTTCTTCTTTTAAGGCAATTGGGGTTAAGTGACTTACCCAGGGTCACACAGCTAGTAAGTGTCAAGTGTTTGGTCTGAGGCCAGATTTGAACTCAGATCCTCCTGACTTCAGGGCCGGTGCTCTATCCACTGCGCCACATAGCTGTCCTGGAGGGGAGATCTTAAAGGCCACTGAATCCAACCCCTCATTTTACAGATGAGGGAAATGAAGATAAAAGGTTGATATGTCTTGCCCACAGTCACACAAAACCCAAGTGTCAGACAGAGGATTTGAACTCAGGTCTTTCTGATTCCAAATCCAGCTCTCTGTCATTCTCCCACCTAGCTGCCTCCCCTTGATGGCCCCTCCAAAAAACAAACAACAACAAACAAGCAAAAGAAACACACATGATGGGATGCCACAGAGTAAGTGGAAATACTTTAAATACATGTATTGTAAAGGTCACTAGGACCTCTTCCATCTTTATGAAGGGGAGAGTTAACCTTTTCTCCTTTCACACAACACAAGCCACCCTGGCCTTATTCTTAGGAAAAATATAAGGTCCCTAAAAGAGTACAACCCTTCTGAAGAATGTACAGAAGGAAAAAAAAAAGTCTTTCTTCCCACTCAGAGAGAGGTCTGAAATTCTACCACCAGTTCTACTACAATTCCACATTGTGCCCTCTAGTTTCCTTCTTCACAAAGTAAATACCCTGAAGGGGTGACCCATCATATCTTCATTATTTTTGGGTGGGTGGAGTTTCTCAGATGCTTAGCTGATGGCAGGAGAACACTCCTTTAAGATTATTATCTTAACATTCTATTTTGATCTAGGACAACATGGAAATAAGAAAAGGTAACTCCAAATAAGACTTTGTGTTCTTTCCAACCCCTAGCTGGCACTTAGATGATCTGAGAGACAGAACAATTCTAATGATTGTTATTGAGAGAGTTCCTGTCAGTTTTGTCTTCCTCAATATTTATTTATACTAGTAAAGATTTCACTGTCAACTTCATCAGTTCACCATCGCACGAACCCCCGTATTCATGGGAAAGGAAAGCAAGGAAAAGAAAGGTTAAATGACCTGTCCTATGTCACAAAAACAAAACAAAAACAAAAACCAGGAGAAAATGGAATTAATACCAAATCCCTTCTCTGAGCCCTTTCCAACTCTCAGTGATGTGAGATGGAAAGAGTACCATCAAGAGAATGTGGGTTTGAGTCCTGGCTCTGCCACCCCAATACTGAGTGACTTTGGGTCAATCACTTAACTTCTTAATTAGACTTCCCTTTCCTGGACTGTAAAATAAGTGGGCTGGACTAGATGACCTTTGAAGTTCCTTCCATTTCTAAATCTAAAGATTCCACCAAAAGCTTAACTTCACCAGCCTTGATGACTGTGGACTGGACTCTACCTTGGCATAAGCATCAATCCCTTTTTTAAGCACATGTCGGATACTGGCGAGCATTGTCTGTTCCACCTGAAGAAGCCATTTCTCGACCATGCCCTGTAAGGAAAGAAACACAAACAGAAATGGGCAGTAAGTACGACGGAATCAGCAGAGACCACAGGAAAGACCTTGGAAATGAACCCAACTTCAGAACATCAGATATTAAGCCCAAACCAGCTCTTCCCTTCCTCAATATTGGCTCTATTTACATTTTCAAAGTCCTTGTTTTTTTTCCTTTCTTAAGTCTATAATCCTAAAGTGAGAATGTAAGGTTGACCTAGCAACACATATTCATTTTTGTGACAGGCGGATACTGTTAGCCTAGATCAATTTTTAGGGGCAGGTAGGTGGCACAGTGGATACAGCACCAGGCCTAGAGTTCCTGAGTTCAAATCTAGCCTTAGACACTTGCTAACTGTGTGACTCTGGGTAAGTCACTTAACCCTGTTTGCAGTTAAGTTTTTTTATCTGCACAATGAGCTGGAGAAGGAAATGGCGAATCACTCTAGTATCTTTGCCAAGAAAACCTCAAATGGGGTCATGAAGAGTCAGACAAAACTGAAACTACTAAATAATACATTGTCTCCCTGTTAACTCCAGGACAGATGAAGCCTAAATTCCAGAGATGCTTCTGTACCTATGACTAGAGGTAGTCAGGTAGTGGAGGGAATAGAGTGATGGACTAGAGTCAGGAAAACCTGAGTTTGCCCCTTGCCTCAAATATTTTTTAGCTTCATGACCCCTAGGCAAGTTCACTTGTGTCTCTCACCTTCATTTTTCTCATCTGTAAAAATGGAGATAACTATTGAAACTGCCTCACAGGGTTGTTGTGACCAAAATGAGGCACTAGTTATTATTATTACTAGCCAAGTACATATAGAAAATAAACAGCAGAAAAAAATCTGCCCTGTGATAGTGTGTGTCCAAAAGGAGGGGTCTCATTTCACTGGGTTGCCTCCTCTGAGTACATACTTAACAGTGAAAGGGAAGAGGAAACTGAGCTAACCAGTAGGTTATACCTCCAGTAGTGGGGAAATGAAATGTACTGTCTTGATTCCAAGTGGGTGATTGTTCCTCACAGAATTTCTTTATCAATTCATCTTCTGAAACCATGTGGTACATAAGCTGCAATTATTTTCATGGTGACCTTACAAATCCTTTAGGCAGCTGGGTGGGTCAGGGGATAGGGTAAGGGATATGGAGACAGAACGACCTGAGTTTAAATTCTACTTCAGACACTTAACAGTGTGTGACCCTGGATAAGTCACTTAAGCTCTTGAAGCCTCAGTTTACCATTCTGTAAAATGGGATAATAATAGCACCTACCTCCTGGGGTTATTGTGAAGATTAAATGATGTGACAGATACAAAGCATTTTGCAAACCTTAAAGCACTATATAAATGCTTTTATTATTATTATTAGCAATAATAGTACTTATCATTAGTACAACAAAACATGATAATGGAATGTCCCATGAAATAATGTTTCTTACTGCCTTTGAATATATCATAAAACCAATTCCAATGCCCACCCCCTCTTTTTTTTTCTCCTTTTCTTAGATGTACCTGTGGGCCCTCCCTTCCCTTTAGCTGCAACTTCCTTCTTCCCTCTGGTGCCATTTGTCACATCAAGATTGCTATAATTCATTTCTCTTCCAGGAAGAAGTCTACTTGTTAGTCATTGGACAAAGGTCTCACATTTAAAGTACAAATAGTCAAATTAAGGTTTGTTGATATTGATATTGTGATTCTTAATACCCTCTGCTCCATTTCATAATATTCTGCCACCATTGCTGCAGAAATGGAAGGGGCCACGTAAGACCGAAGACAAATTTTTATTTTTCCCCATTTCATGGGTTGTCATGGCCAAAATAATTGATCATGTGGCCAGCCTCTTCACAGATAACTAGTTTGATGCCTCATGTAATAGACTTAGTCTGTTTCTGGGACCATACTCGAAGCCTTTCCATCCTGGTAGAACATTCTAGAGCTTACACTCTCGACATAGACTTCGAGAGCCTCTATGCCATGATGAGACATTAGGGCGGGATTTTGTGGAGTTGAGAAATATGAGGAGAAATATATGAAGTAGCATGATTCAGGAGGAAGAAGTGAGACTTGGAGATTACACAGGAACTTTATGCCTCTATATCATAAATACTATAATAAAGAAAAGGATTTGTAGGTACTAGAAGTAGTGCACATGTTAAAGAATGAAATAGATGCCATTTTAACAGACAGGAAAAGACTAGTTATTGATATGGGCATTATTCCTGAATTAATCATCTGTATACAGTCAGACCATTGGGGAGCTAAGATCATAATTAGTAAAAAAAAAAAAACAAGAAAAAAGAAAAATAGTGAGAAAAAGATATGGTGTGCAATTAAAATGACTTAATCCTGAATGATTTAAATAAGCAACTGAAAATTTGAAAATGGGAAAGAGACAAAAGAAATGCCATTGACATCAAATAGAATGTTTCCTCCTAGAAGTTTAACTAATATAAATTAATTGCCACAATAAAGACACCAAAAGAGCTCAGAAAACTCCTTAGTCAGCAAACAATTGATTAACTTGCCAGATATAAAGAGGTGGCTGCCAAAGGCAACAGTGGGTTAGAATATAAAATTATCTGTAAAATTTTATTTTTAAAAAAAAGTATGGTGGATGGTTATCAATAGTTTTGCCTTATAAAGGAAAGAGAAGCAGTAGAGGGCAAAATGAGTTTAAAGAAAGTATAGTAAGATATCCCAACTATACAAGGTCATCTCAAGGGCATTTAAGGATAAAACTGGAAGGAGGATCACAAACAAGAAAAATGGAAAAAAGTTGCAAAATTCATTATGACAAAATATGTTATAATGTTTTCTCCATCAAGGGCAATGGAACCATCATACTTGGTTCTTAACTCCGCTATTCTGCTTATAGAGGAAGAAAAATGATCCAAAGAGAATAAAGATGAGAAAAGCAGCAGGATTTAATCAAGTGGATATAGAAGAGATTTGCATTGGAGGCAACACAGTTATGAGGGCACTGAGGGACAGTATATAATGTATCTGAAAGAGGAGAAGATAAAAGGTGCAGAAGAAATGCTGGGCCCTATTGATACCAAAAAAGGTGACAGAGAAAACATCTGTGACTACTGACCTACATCCCTACTCTGTCTCTATAAAATCTTTGAGAGTCATCTCTGCAATACGGAAAAGATAAGAAAAGGTATAAGAAAAAAAAAAAAGGTTAGACTCTATTAGTATTGCAAAAGGTGACCAAGAAAATATCAGTAACTGCTGATAGATGCTGAGCTTCCCATTTATATAAAACCTTTATAAGAGTCATCTGTACATGAATCAAAGGCATATTTGATCAGGTTATTAGTAGGGAAGAAGAAAATTTTCATAAGTGATATTCAACAGTGGACCACATCTTTACTATTTCACAACAAACTGAAAAATTATAGAGAATGTAAGATCCTTTTGGGCTTGTTGTTGGTTAATTATGAAAAAAAAATTGATAAGACAAATGCCACCTTTCAAATTATCTGAATTTTTACGATTTAATTGCATGCAAAGACACTGTGCCATTTAAGTTAAGT